TGTGTAAGATATATTAAAAATAGCTTTGTTAGGGCTGCACAATGTATCAAAAAAAAATCTATCAAGGTAATGACCTATGGATTGTGCATGTGGCAAAGAGACATGCAATATTTATTTATTTGAGGGAATTGTGTGCTTTTGTCTGACTTTGACCCGTCAGATGCAACTTAAATGCGCACCACCACTCAATAGTTGGACATTAACCTAGTGGAACTACAATTAGCTGAGAATACATTGAAACTTTTGCCGCATGAAAAAAGGTAGTTTTCATTTGATAAAAAAATATAATTTCCCAAGGTACCTGTACATGTTAAAAGTTGAAAAATCGCTGTAGTCAACATCCATATCGCATGTTTTTTTCCAATATCGTGCAGCCCTTCTCTGTGGGTACCCTACTTTAATTGCCAATATGACCCTTGGTGAGGAGTTAGAGCACCACCTGTTGCTTTCTCATGCTTGAGTCTTCTAAAACCTTGTCATGTGCATATGTAGGATCACAGCTGGACTAAGAGGAAATATCTTCACCTCAGCGTGATGTCATAACATGTTTTTATATCTCTATATCTTTAGACTTCCTCAGGAACAGACTAAGGATCAGTCAACATTGGACACTAGCTCCAATCCTCAGAACACAACCGGCCCCGAATCAGAGACCAAGCAACGGCGAAAGTGAGTGAACATAATAATCCATTGAACCGTGTTATTGGTGCTACATTGGCGATTAACCCGATTTTTGGTACATTTAGGTCCTATCTAACACCAGTTCGGGATGAGGAGGCAGAGGCACAGAGGAAAGCTCGCTCGCGACACGCACGGCAGTCTCGTCGCTCCACTCAGGTACATTGCAGCTCAAAAGACTACAGGATGCATGACTGCACCGCTAGCTATGAAGTCTTAGGCTAATGTCACTCTGTGATCAAAAGGGGGTGACGCTGACAGACTTGCAGGAAGCTGAGAAGACCATGAAGCAGCACAACAAAGTGAGAGAAAAGGAGGAAGATGAGAAGGAAAAAGAGAGAGAGGCAAAGTCTAAGAAGGGAGAGGAAGGGGTGAGACGGTTTTCCTGTTGAATAAGCAGTTTTCAATGCAGCACTTCATGTCATGTGACCTCACAATGCCATGAAAACTCGGATCTGCAGGAGGTGAGCTGGAGGTCTCGAATAGCAAGCCTGCAGAAGTCCGACCTGCTGGGTCTCACGCAGCCCACCGGCACCCCGCGCCCTCAGACCACCGATGGCAGAGGTAGATGTCTCCATTTGTCTTTCCTAACTAAACTACTCAGCGTGCTATGACCCTGACACACAAAGTATTGAGATTGACTTTTTTTTTCCTCCCAAAGTCCTTCCCATGTATTATTTTAAATCTGTTTTACAATCTATCTGATTATGCATAAATGTTTGGGTCTCTTAGGTTACACGTGCTAAAATAAAGGCAAATAATCCATGAGTTAGACTTTTAGGCGTTTACTACAACTTCACAAAATGTTAGCAAACGTGTGGCGTAAACAGAAGTCACAAATCAGATTACAATGCAAACCATTCACATCACTTCATGTTTCATGAAGCGATATATAAACGTGGACTGCATTGAATTTATCTAAACACTATATTTTAATAAAATATACAGAGTAAAAAATCCCTCTGACTTAAGCAGAAGCTTTTATCCCCAAAACAGCAGCTTTTACGATTTGAAAATTGCATTCTGCTACATTGCAATGTCGATTCAAATTCAATTGTTCAGCTTTGTGAAGTACTTTGCTTTAAACAAATGGTTACATTCCAGCGACTGAGGCCAGCGCCGGGGAGTACGAGACTGAGCGATGGGCCCTGGAGCGCAGGGAGAGGAGACAAGCTCGAGCCAGGAGGAAGGCCCAGAGGAGCGGAGAGGTATATTTAGTTCTTGATGGAATAGAAAAGATAACAGCACCTGGGAAGGGTTTTATTGAAAAAAATACTGTCATCTCAAGCTTGATGACAATGATCCCAGCGGGGAAGAAGAATTCTCCAGCAGCCGGCTGGATCTGCAGGTGCGTGTGCTTTTTTTTTTTTTTGGGTCTCAACGGACCCCTAACTAAAGACACCACTCATAACTTGTCGGCCTGTCTCCTCTGTTTACAGTCAGACCAGCTCTCGGGTTCCAGGTATGACTCATACTTTTGATATGTTTCCTCCTCCTGTCCGCACTACAATGGATGCGTCTCTCACATCCACTCTCGTCCACTCAGGTCCAGTGTGCACTGTAATGAGGGTGGAGAGAGCAAGGATTTCAAAAAGGTCAGCAAACAAGTTCTTTTCATTTATTTATTTTACACTTGTTATAAACGTGTCGGTGCTCATGGTTGCAGCTTTTTGAGGAGGTGACCAGAGAAAACAGCCAGCTGCAGTCTCAGCTACAGGACACGCAGAGGATTGTCAGCCAGACCAGGCTTGATCTCGAAAAGGCCACACAGGTGCCAAAGCAAGAAACGCATCCACACGCTAATTTAGCGCAAATAACACATGCAGCAAAGCATTTACACTGTGACGGAAAGCACACGAGTTCTGCGAGGATGCCAAAACTGCTCACATACTGAATTGAAGTTAGTAAACCAATTCCACTAAAATTTAACCCTTTCCGGGACAGCGGTTACTGCTGCAGACAGCTTATCGGGTTATCGTTATTAGTGCATGAAAGGGTTAAATACATTGATTTGTTCACAAATATGCTTCTCCTTTGACCCAAGATTCCGCTATATTTCAACAATATCAGGATGTGCATGTAATTCCAACACTTAATATGATCGTCTCAAAGTTCTATCATTGTTTACGCTCTTTGTTCCATTCCAGAGACAAGAGCGCCTCACTGACTGTTCAGCTCTGCTGGACCTCGAGAGAAAGGTACGGCATCCGCACCGTTCTTTTTTTTTCCTCGTTTTGTGGCCTTCCTCTGCCTCACTACTGCCACTTCTCTGCTCTCACTGTTGACACTCCACCTCTTCCAAAACCACTCCGCACCGCTCACTCAACTTTGACGGTGCCTCGTCACTTGCACTCCACCTTGCGTGTTCCCTGACACTGTAGGACCGCAGGATGCTGGAGCGGCGGATGGCAGATCTGGAGGAGGAGTTGAAGGTGAGCACTCGCGTGCGCTTTGCATGCTACCACTTGGTTAGCTTTGCTTTAGCTTGTTCCGTTCAGCTGCCTCGTGGGCATGATTTTCAGCTGGATTTGATTCACTTTTGAAGTGCAACCTGCAATGTGACAAATGGCTGCCATCGTTGAATTTTCTAAAATGTGTATTGAGCGCTTCGAACGTCTCTAAAATCCTTCATAACAAATTCTCAAGCGCTGCCCTTTTCAACAAATGTTCCATTTGTGCTTATTTGAGTCAGGTTTTTAGGGCAAGTTTGAAACGTTTGATTTGGAGAACCCTTTTGGCCCATACAAGTTTATTGGCGGATATTTTCAATTGAAACTTGTCAGCCATTTGGAGAAGACATATTGAGAAACTATCAAGTTATCGGCATTTTTTTTTTTAAATCCAAAATTGCAACAGGCGATACCACACACTGGTCATTTCACAGAATCCCCTCATTCATTTTAGAAAATTCTTGGTGCATTGTACTTGGGGTGAAGTGGCGATTCCTACCAGAGGAAGCATTTTTACACACATTTTTGGGGAAGATCTTGTCACATTGCTAGTACAATACAAGAGCTGATTCAGAAATTATTTTTTTCAGTTGATCATCCAGCGCATTCAAAGTGGTTCACCTGTATTGCAGATTTATCAGTTAATGAGTTAAACACACACATTCCCATGTTGTAAAACATGTTTTAAATAATCTCTATGAACGGGTCCTTCATTTCACAGCGGATTTTTTATTTCTTTTTTTAATAAATAATAAACGGCCATTTCCTTGAGCCTCAGTCAGGTGGCTTCTTGATTGGCTCCGTTCTGTTCCACGTCACAATTCCTACTCATGACTTGGGAGTCGTTGGTTTTCCTCACATGTGAAGGTTTTTGGTTGTAAATGTTGAACACGTTTATTTCACTCATTCACGGTCAGCCATTTTTTTTTAGACTTTTTTTTTTAACCCTAACTCTGGAGGGTGGGTAATGTGTGGAGTCTAAAGACGTATGTACATGTCTCACCCATGACCCGAATGAGGGGAAAAACAGTTTAGCGTCAGCATAGTGTCAGTGTCATCAGCAGGTTGAGATAGACCATGTGGCTGTGTGTATTCAATTTTATAGAAGGTGAACTAAATTTCACTTGGAATAGGTTGTCGTGCTTTTAGGTCCATACTGAAATTTCACCCAAATGCTGACTATCCCGGACTTTTTGTGAGTCGTGTCCATCCCAACATAATGAATCTGACTTTTTACCACCAGGTTCTGGGTGACCTGAGAGCAGACAACCAGCGGCTGAAAGATGAGAACGGAGCACTGATCCGCGTCATCAGCAAACTCTCCAAATAGACAGAGATGGGACAAGCCACAGAAAGCAGGGACCCTCCTTCTATTCTGCCGCCTCCTCCTCCATCCAATCCCTCCACACACATTCCACCCAAAGCCAAAGAGCAAGAGGGGGGGACAGCCAAATGTTGACTTAGCTTGTGATGCCTTTCAAACAGCTGGAGTGGCTTTTGTGTGCCTTGTTGTGTCTATCACAGGAAGCATTTTTGCATGACTGATGGGTCCCACAGATGCGGAAATGTCCACATTGGAGGGGGCGTGCACACTCCTACCTGTCTTTTGATGCCGCACGAGGCCGATTGGTCTTAAATCCCCCCACATGGTATTTAATTTTTGTGAACACATTGCATCTCACATTCACACGTTTGTCTTGCTGGCCGTCCTGAGCTCGTGTTAACAGGCAGGAAAAGTTGGTTTCTTCAAGATTCAGCCAAAAGCGGTCTTCTCACTACATGCAAGTGTTTGAACCCACCTACCTCTCCACCTATGCACCCCTGCACTCCCTTTACTCCTATGTGTTTGTTTGTTTTTTTGACTATACACACACACACTCACACACTCCATGCTCTTAAATGAAAAGACCAGAGAACCAGGTCAAGGCACTTTATTCTCTGCAAAGCAATAAAAACAATTGCTGTTCAGTTGAAGCCTGTTAAAGCTATGAATGTATTTTTTATCATTGATAAAAATATAAATGTCATAGTTTTTCATTGTAAATTTCTCTTCCAAGAGAAAGTTTTTTTTTGTATATTACATGTGTATAAATATTAGTCCTCCATACCCTTTTTGAAGTAAACCATCATGTAGCCTTCCTTCACATGTTTTTCTAATATATTAAAATGGATGTCTGCACCCTAAAAGAAACCTAGTGCCTGGTTTTAGATGTACGTGGAGAGGACTTAAACATCACGATGGAATTCCCTCATTCCCAAACATGGTCTAAATCATGTTGCCTAACTTGTAATTTGTGGGTACCTGGTTTACTGCGCTTTTGTTCGCATGCACCCTGTGCATTGTTCTTTTTTTAATAGCGTGGCATTTGGTCACACTGGAGCAGTCGTTCTGAAAAGAAGAAACTTATTTACAGTTAAGTGACAAAGATGTGTTACTCTCAGGGGGTGGACACCATGAGGTACGGAGTCTTCTAACCTTTTGTGCGTGAAGATCCATCAGTTTTTATCTCATGAGAGCCAAGTAGCGGATCACTGTCCTGCAGGCTAGACAACAAGCAGAGCTCCTAATAAGGAAGGAACTCTCTGTAAATATCCCGAAGGTCTGAGAAAGGCAGGGGAGCAAGGAGGAAGAGGGAAGCGGATGGATCGCGGCCTTATATGGACAAAGCGTTGCTTTTCCCAGGGTTTGTGCATCCAACCTCCGTCCACCCTCTTTGCAGTTTGGCGACAAATGTTGCACAAATGGCTCCTCGGCGCCATCAAGAGGTCCACCAGATGTTGCGCTTTGGTCTAAGTGGGTCTCGTGCCCTGCGGATAAAAATCACACAACACTCCTGCGATGATGATGATGATAAAATAGTTGTTTCCCTTGGAAGTTCAATGAATGTATGTGTATGCGTTATTTAAAAATGGATGTTACGCAAAAACATTTTGTTGAACTTTGTGCATTTCATCTCTAATCCTCGCGGCTACTGATCAAGTGGAATTCTGCACTTTTCGTCCAGTGCACTTCATAGGCTCCAGGTTCAGCAAAGATTGTTTTAGTAAAATTGAGGATGGTCTCGTTGGGCATATGATTAAAAGCAGCTCTCTGATCCGAACACTAACGTACCATGTTTGATGCATATAAAATGACCATCATTTTAAATGAGCTTTAAGAGTGAAGAATCTCCAGTTATAGAACGTAGCTTTGTCGTTGATAAACAGTGCACCCTAACTATGATTACAGCAATCTATAGATCGATTAAAAAAAAATCTTTTTGTAAGCACAAAAAGCCAGTTTGGAATTGTTTAAAAACATTCAAATAGGTGAGTTTTTCTACGAATAACGGGGGGGGTATATTGATGGTGCATCTTGAGGAGGAGAAAAATAACATTTTCATTCATGCAAAGGCGCAATGTGGATAAATTAATGGCAAATAAATAACTAAAAATATCGACTACTTTTTTAAATCTTAGTGCATGCCCTCATCATACTAGCACCACTCTTTAATTGGTATGCTGGGGCATGCCCTCATCAGCAGGATTCCATACCAGCACCACTCTTTAATTGGTATGCTGGGATAGCTTCCACCGATATTATGAAACTTGATAATTATAATTTAAAAAAAATCAGTTGTCAATGGCCTTTACATCCTGGGTAGCTGTAGCCTCTCTCAGCTGACCTATCACAAGAGGGCGCACATGCACAGATAGACCGCCGGCTATAGCGGTGCTACAGAACCAGTCCTTTTGCCCTTGAATAGATGTCCTTTCTGCAATACTTAATCATTTCAGTCATGTCAAAGATTGACATTTGTTTGTAATTTACGTTTTAAGACAGTATAGCACGGTGGTAGTGATTAGTACTAAGTGCTAAATGCCTTTGCAATTAGACCCTAACATTTTATATTTTCACCCATTGAGCTCCACGAAGGAAAACGAATGAGATTTTTTAAAAAGGGTTACCGAATAGAAAGGCAAAAATCCTCTATATAAGGTGTCCTCGGTAAAATACGTTTGTAACCTTGAAACAAAAAACAATTCTCTCAGTGTAAATGCGTTTAATGGTGATACTTCCCCAAAACTCCAGGCCACGTTTTGCGACTGACCTGCAAACAACTCCAGATTTTGTGAGCTGCGTGGCTTCAAGTTTTCGTTCACTGACCTCAACTTTGGATTTCTTTCGGTATCTTACGGTTACAAGTGAACATTTCCAGCCATCAAAAGGCAGCATTTGATAGACCGAGTTGCAACTTTCAAGCTGGTTATGAATTTTTATTCCAATTTGTATCATCACGTGCCAACTTTCCAGTTTGTGGTCGAAACAGATGCTCCTACATCCTGATCACTTGAGGTAGAAATACTATCGCTAGAAGGACAAACGGATCAAGTTGGATTTGTTCGTTCACTGTTAAATGCAAAATTCCACGCTGGATTAATCTGGGAATTGACAGTGTGTGTTTTATTTGACTGTAGAAGGTAATTTGCAGCTGTTGTATAGTACAATCCATGTGTTGTTGTTTTTTTGTTTCACGGCCCTTCGAGTTCTGCGCTACGGCTCGACGCTTAATGTGCGTATAAAAAAAAGCTTAACGTGACTTCATGTTTGAATACTACGACCAATTACCACCAATATTCATGTGCAAATGTCTACCTATTCTCACACCGATCTCTGAAAATATCAGATCAATCCCCTCAATATTTTAGTTTTTGATTAAGTATTTTCTTCATGAAGTGACATTGTGCCTGAGTGTGCGCCTATGGAGAGGAAGACGGCAATGTCCATAAAATCTCAAATATTGATGCGATCGTTTTGACATTTTCAGACATTAATGTGGGCATAGGAAGAAATGTGCACCGGAATTCGTGTTAATTGGTCGTAGTTTTTTAAAATATTTTTTTAAATATTAAGCCACGTTAAGGGATGACGTCACTCGTTCATAGATGTCCAGCGTGTAGCGGCCACGGACGTGGTCGGGGCTCAGCTTTTTATCATGTACTGTATATACTAATAGAGGAGCGATTCGAGAGAAGGTATAAATATTTTCTCAAAAGACAACAGCGAACTGAATGTAGTTGTTGATAGTAAATCAGTGCGTGATAGTAAATCAGTACGTCTACTGCGCAAACTAGTATACTGTATTGCACCCCTGTCGTGAAACTACAGTAACTGTGATCTTCTCGAAGTTGATTTTCATGCTTTCAGTTGTGGATTTATTTCTGCAAAAATAACACTGAAACGTAAAATGATAATCCCTATGTGACAGTTCAGCCTGCCCTCAAGAAGAAACTCCAGCTCCCCATGTCCGGTGACCCTTACACCTTTACCAGTGATTCTCTCCCCGCCGACCACCGCTTCCTGCCTCCGCTTGCCAACGGGCTATTGGGATGGCGGGTGTACAACAGTACCATGCACATGGGAAGCGTGTACAATGGGGGTCGGGGAGAATGCCACCGTGCCGAAGTTCCTTGTCCTCTAGCTGTGACGGTCGACACAGAGGAAGTTGGTCAAGACTCCTACACCCTCGATGCCCACACAGGTTGTCTCTTGAGTACCTACTTTTTAATTTATCTATCCATCCACTCATATTCTGGAGGGCTTGTACACATTCGGGACACAGGTGAGCTGGAGCCGGTCCCGGGTGACTTTGAGCGAGATGTGGGGCACAACCTGGATTGACAAGCGCAGCGCTCAAAATAAGTAGTTTCGCATCGCAATTTGTGAGGCAAAAATGTCATTATGCCTTCAAATAAAAACACATTGGACAGCAAAATCAAGAATTAAACAACGAGACATCCCAAAGAGCTTCCCTGGGCTGCACACGCGTCACTCACGTCACGTCAGCTAGCTGGCAATGAGTTTCAGTTGGCGATGAGTCCAGCTCAACATGTTGTCACTCTACAGTCAGCAATCATTGCCTCCACGGCTTTGGATAAGATACGTTTTTGACAAATATTTGTTCTCACTAAGAGTTGATGAGGAAAGACGGAGAAGCCATGTGAATTGCTAAGATAACCTAGCGTAATCGTGAAGCACTGGAATTGAGTGCTTCGACGATCGAGTACACTTTTCATAGACGTCTGGCTACACAGCAAAATAGCAATCAAATTATTAGATATCTGGACTGAAGAGAAAAAGTGCAATGCTTAACAGAACTGGAAATACGATCTTTCCCGTTACAGCAAAAAAAAAAAACAAAAAAAAAAAACACTAGCTTAATGCTATCCTCTATTGGAAAATGCCATTGCCATGCTAAGGATTAGCATCAATAATTGCAGTTCTAGAACCCTTTACAAACAGTGGAACAATATTTGTAAACGGATAATAGAACAATACTCACAGGCATATATTCTTTATCCTCCACTAAAACGCCTAATATTACAGCATTTTACTGAGTCACTTACAATCGCAGCTCTGTCCCTATTCCCTATGAATGGCAGCGGTTCAATGATAGTACTACAGTATATATGTGGACCGTATACGTAAAATCAGTGTGTGATTCCCTGTTGATTCCCAAACAGGTGTTTTCACACACACACTGACCTCACCCAGCGTAACAATCTTCCAGTCGTTCTACTCTCACCGCTGCCACTCCAACCTGATGGCGATGGAGATTCTGTTGGTGCGCCATGTGACTTCAGAGGTGGCGTACACAGTGAAGCTAGCCACTTCCTTCACCCCTCAGAGCAAAGACATTGATTTTCAGGCTTCTGCTGACTACAGAGGTGGGAGGTGAGTTTCTCCCCCCAAAATCAAATCCTTTTCCGGCGCAGATTAACATGTTTCTGTGTTTTAGCCACATTCAAGGGCACACACACACCGCAGAGTTTCCAGGAGGCCCCTGTCCCATGGTTCACCTCATCTGGACCCCCATTCCCTCCAGCCTAACGCTGCCACCTGCGCAAAGCCAAAAACGCTGGTGCTTCATTGTGGTGGTGGCGGACTCTTTGAGCGTCGCAGAGACCAGTTTTGATGAGGGCCTCGAGCTGATGGCGACGGGTGGGCTGCGCCGCACTCATGAAGCAGCATGGAAGGAGCTGTGGCTGAAGAGCAAAGTGGAAGTTGTGGGGTCCGAGCGCCTCTTGAAAGCTGTGATCGGCTGCATGTTCTACCTCCTCAGTGCCTTTCCCTCCATCCATGACCCAACCGACTTTTTTGGCGGCGTCAGTCCAGGTGGACTGTCGAATGGCTCGGACGCACAGGATTATTGGGGTCATGTCTTCTGGGACCAGGTTGGAATAAGGCCGCCAATGTCTGCTATTCCTTTTTCTTTGGTATGTCACCTAACAGCAATATCAAACCCAACAGGAGATCTGGATACTTCCCACAGTCGCTTTATTCTACCCCAAGCTGGCCCGTGCAGCACTGGAGTACAGGGTGCGGACTATCGACGGAGCAAAATACAATGCTCAAAAGCAGGGATACAAGGTATGAGTGTGACTTCTTATTGGACTAACGAAATGAATACAATTACAAATGGAACTTACTGCAGTGCAGGAAAGTGGTGCATAGCAGTTGAATATACAGTGCTTATTGGGGCAGTGATGAATGTTTCACAGCTGGTGAGGCACTGACATAAGAGTCAAATTTACAAAATTACAAGACACAAACACTACAAGAACATTCATACAGAAGCAACTGTTGGTTAATGGGATGGATGGATAAAAGTCTATCCATCCATCCATCCATTTTCCGATCCGCTTATCCTCACAAGGGTTGCGGGGGGTGCCTGAGCCTATCCCAGCCGTCTCCGGGCAGTAGGTGGGGTACACCCTGAACTGGTTGCCAGCCAATCGCAGGGCACACAAAGACGAACAACCATCCATGCTCACACTCACACCTAGGGACAATTTGGAGTGTTCAGTCAGCCTGCCATGCATGTTTTTGGAACGTGGGAGGAAACCGGAGTACCCGGAGAAAACCCACGCAGGCCCGGGGGAACATGCAAAGTCCACACGGGGAGGCCGGAGCTGGAATTGAACCCTCCACCTCTGCAATGTGAGGTCGACACACTAACCACTCGACCACCGGGCCGCCGGATAAAAGTCTAAAGACATGAATGGGGGTTCACAGTACTCCATTTTAAGCTTATGTGAGACGATACTGTGTTTAAAATGTTTTGTAAGGTATGCAGGTGTTGTCTGTGTACAGGGGCTGAAGTTGGCCTGGCAGAGTGCCATGTCAGGGAGGGAGATGTGCGCTGACGATATTTACGGAGAGCAAGAGATCCACATCAATGGAGATATCGCACTGGCCTTCCAGAATTATTACTACCTCACTGAGGTTAGCTGCTCAGCGTCGCCACGTCATCTCACGTTTCTTCAAATAAACTCATGTTGACTCGGCTCTTTCTTGCAGGATCTGACAATGTTCACAGATGGACAGGGGAGTCAACTGATATGGGGCGTAGCTGATTACTGGGTTTCCAGGGTAACCTGGAGCCCCGATGATCAGAAGTATCATCTCTTAGGTACTGTTTTAGGTTCTCTGTCCAAAAATATGTCGATTCTAGGCATACCGTCTGTTCGTGAGTTGGCAGGGGTTTCTTCTAAACGTATTTCAACTCATGGGGGAAGCCGTTCATGAGCTACTTTGTGTGTATGTGGATGGACAGATCACCAAACACAAATAAGCACCATATCAGAAATGTCATGGGTTAAGTTTAAAATGGAGAGAAAGAAAAAAATCAATGCAAACTAGTGTGCATTGCAATGACTAAGCAAATTTAAAAACAGAAAATGAATGTGTTTTTCTGGGCCACATTTTTACATCTATTTACCGTTTATTGATTGGAGCATAACAGCCGCAACACGGCACTTGGAATATGTCGTACTGTATTCACAAGGCTAAAGCGTGTAAGTACTTAGACCTGATTAAATGTTGAAGAGTTAATTTTTGTGCCTTTTAGGTGTCATGCCACCAGATGAGTACTACTCCAATGTCAACAACTCTGTCTACACAAACACAGTGGCCAAATTAAGGTACCCCCATTTGCATATTTCTTCACTTCATGCATGTTAGCTTGTATTTGTACCGCTGACGCATTAACGGTCTCGTTTTCAGTCTGCAGTTTGCTGTGTTATTAGCTGATCTTCTCAAACATCCTGCACCAAAGGAATGGGAAGATATCGCAGACAACCTCCTTATCAATTTTGACCAACAATCTCGATACCATCCTGAGTTTGAAGGCTATTCTAAAGGTTTTCTTTTTAACCCTTTAACTGTTTCACAATGACACACATTGAACTAACATTTACTTGCAGGTTATCCAGTGAAACAGGCCGACGCTGTGATGCTGAGCTATCCTCTTGGCCTGCCCATGTCACCTGAGATTAGAAGAAATGATCTTGAAGTGTATGAAATAGTAACCGATCCTCATGGACCAGCCATGACTTGGGTGAGGTACAGTTCCACAGTTCAATCCACCATAAAAACACAATGATTCCAGTTTATTGTCCAGGTTTTTAGGGTTTTAAAATGACACAATTTGTCTGATGAATCTGCAGGTCTGAGTGTTTGCTCTTAAACATGTACAAACTGTGCTCTCTTTATCATTCAGGGCATGTTTGCGATTGGTTGGCTGGAACTGGGGGATGCACAGAAAGCTCAGCGTTTGCTTGAGAAGTGCTTCAGAAACATTCAAGGACCGTTCCAGGTATTGCTCTGGGCTGCACGAACCTCCTTATTGGGTACTGAGGAAATGTGCGATGACCTTGCAGGTGTGGAGCGAGTCATCGGACGGTACGGGCGCAGTTAACTTTCTTACGGGCATGGGAGGATTCCTGCAAGCCGTTGTGTTCGGTTACAGCGGCTTCAAGTAAGTCGTCAATCATCCCGCCTCGCTTGTTGAAACAAATCAATCAAAAATGTAAAAAAGTTCTTTTTATTTCTAGGGTTCAGAAGGAATGCTTGGCCTTTTCCCCACTTCTGCCCGATGACCTGAGTGAGCTCTCCATCTGTGGTGTCAGCTACTTAGGCCATCAGTTGGACTGGTTGTTTCGCAGAGATGAGGTGTGCGTCATACTGAGGGAGCAGGAAGGCAGTGCTGCCAGTGCTAAGAAGTGTGATCTGCAGGTGATCCTCAAGGCAACTGGGACTAAAATCCCTTTAACTCCAGGTAACAAACAAAATGAACAGGGCATCATTGAGATCCTGTGTACAGATGAGAGGAATCGGTCATTTTTGGGTGTTCTCTTTTTTGTGTGTGGGTGGGGGGTGTGCCAGTTGCTTTACACTAGGGAAAAAAGTACTTTCACTATCTTTTGACTAACAACATACCACGAGGATCTACTGTGTATGATAGCTGATTAATTTATTAAGTGGTAGATTAGTAATTGGATGTTATGTTTTGTTATGTCTTTATGTCTTTTTAGGGGCACCAGTAACATTTCCACGAGAGCCTGGATATGTTTGCAGACTTGAATCGTCGACTATCTGCTGGCCTTTCTGAATAATTTGACAATAATTTGTGTTGAATGCCTCAAACTCAAGTCAGTATCCACTTCACAATACTTGAAGCTCAACAACGGACAGCAAAACGAGTTTTGTCGACCATATTCACTGTACTTGTTGAGAGACCCGATGGTCATTTTATGATTTGTTTCTAAATACATGAGCTATGTTTGAAGATAACTGTTGAAAACAATTCCGGGTGCTCACATAATATAGACACTTATGGGGAGTTAAGTGTTGATTAAACACGGTGAGAGAACTAATGTGTTTGTTCGACAGTGAATGTCAGCTTCAGCGGACACGCCAACAGTGTCCTGCACTTGCAAGGCTCTATTTTCCATGATTATTTTCATATACTGTATTTAGGGGGGGGGTTCATTCATTGGCATCAGCCTTGAAGATGTTCACAATGCTCTTGTGCTGTTACAAAGCATTTTCTTTCTTTAATAAAGCGAATATGTATTTGTGGTTGTAATATTTTTCTTGTGAATTACTAGCTAAATATAACTCCCAATTGTAGTCTAGTATGAATAAGTATTTGTAAAAACTTGCTGTTTGAGATGTTTACATTTCTGCGAAGGCCGGATTTTACTATGTGACCTTTCCATGAGAAGTGGGTATGGCTTCTAATTTTTCTTGGTTATTTATTTATTTATGACACAAGTATCGTATCTGTACTGTACGTATACTTAAGTGGAGGCTGTCAGTATTTTGGCTACTTCTGTGAAAAGAGCACGAGGCTCGGAAGCTCATTCTGCAAAATGTTCCTGTTTACGCTAAAAATGGGCGGAGTAATTTTTTTTGGACTGTGCGTTTTTTTTTGTGGATTTAAATCTGGGCAGAACCCGCCTTTATATTTTCCATTGGGGTTTGTTTGATTTAAAATTATGCTTCGATAGTTTCCTTGCCCCGTCTGCTTTTTGTGTCCAGATTCCCGCCCGTCTCAGAGTGTTTGGTCGTTAAAACGAACAAGAGTTATTGACGAAGATGACGTCACCAAAGGCCACCTTCCGATTGGCCGATGTAGTTTGAAATTTTAAACAGTTTCTGGTTCGACAGTGCGGAGGTTGACTTAGATGTCGATGGTCTGTGTTGTTTCCTTGACGGTCATCTTATTTTATGGCTTTTTTTTATAAGATAATATTCGATTTGTCGGTTCACGGAGGAGCAAGCGTTGGATTGTGTTGACGTTTCTTCTTCTTATCAAGGTAAAAGTAGCTGGGGACCAAGTTAAGCTCCTGTAGAAAACCTTTGCCGCCAGCACAAAAATGACACCATAAAAACTGTGATATTTGCGACGCAATGTTGTGATATGTGGTATAAGTATTAAACGTGACGAAATTGCCCTCTAAATAATTGGATTAGTGCTATTCTTTGTGCGAAGGCCAGGCCAGCGCGCGTGAATACAGCAGAATCCGAAGCTAGAGCTCGTCGAATGTTACTTTAGCTGCTTGTGCTTAATATGTCTGACGTTCCTTTTTTGTCCTTCTCGGAAGTCTGTGCTAGTTCTTCGATTGTTTATGCGCAACTATTTCAAAAATCAGCAATGACGAGGTTTCCTGTTATCTGCTTCTGAGCAAAAAGGCCAAAAGTGTAACCGTGAAAGCGGTAGTACCATTTTGGTTTTGTGTGAATTTTACACGTGTTAGTGATTTTTTGTTTTAAAACTACTTCGACTTAAATTATTTACCCAGCAGGGGTAGGCCCCTCAGGGTCAGAAAAGCCTTCTCTTCTGACTTGTACCTTAAACATCATCAGAAGTACATACCTGCAACCACTTACTACGTTTGCAACCTGAAGTTTAATTTAAATCTCATGGAATTGTTATACTGTAATTTATTCCTGGCTGTCTCAGGATGCACATGGACCAGTGTATTTGTACTCAGACTTGCTCTGATACTGCGGCCTATTTTAATGGGGAAATGTTGAGCATATTTAGGTCCCTTGAAAGTATTTAAGTTATTATTACTATGAGACCACCTTAAAGTGTAATTGCTACATGCATGGTAAAAAGTTACTGGTCTGTTATATAATGCTAGTTCATAATAAAATGCACAGTATAGCATGTTCTTAATGCGGAGTCTCCAAACAGAATCACACCCACTTTGGTTCTTTTAGAGAAACATTTTTCCCCAAACTTTATCTGTTTCAGAGAGAGAAAACCCTGCTGCTGTCACCATGAGCTCTGTCAAATCATCTTTGCAGTCTCTGATGAAGATGTTTGTGGTTAAAACACAAGATTTTTTGAATGACATTGACAATGTCCACATGGTTTGGCTTGAGGAGATCCAACAAGAGGCCAACCTCATGTTCTCAAGGTGGGTGTAAAATCATGTCATTTAAAAACTGCTTTGTTTTGGTCATTGTTTTTTGTCCACATTAATTATTTTTATCAGGTTAATACAATTACTTTGATGTTAAAGTAATCTAACTTGAATGCTTTGAATTACTTTTGGATGACTCCATACCAAATATGCTTAAAAAACAAACAAATTTGTTGAGTGGGTGATCGAGGACTCGTCTGTGCCGCCTCCCTCCCTGCATTAAAAATGTTATCTGGTAGTGTTACATTAGGTAACATGTATTCCTTGACTCCCTAAGCCTGCTTGTAAATCAAATTTCAACATGGGTGAAAAATGAAAACCTTTTTGATAAATGTTACAAATTTATTATTGTTGACCTCTATTGGAACCATTTTTAAACACCATATACAGTCGTATAAAGAATGGTGTGATTCTTCAATTGTCCTTTCTTTAAATTGTAGGGACTTTAATTCTGAACCAGAGTTAATGCCCAAAACGCCATCACAAAAGAAGAATAGTCGCCGGAAGCGCGTGTCTGTTGGCCGACAGGAAGAAGTCAGGCGAAGGTTTGTTGCACTTTGACAAAGTCTCCATTTTCAAGATTTATGGAAGCCTGGTGTAATGTGACTTCATCTGCCTTTTGTGATGCAGGTTCTCAAAGAGTCGCCGTAGTAATCTTCGCGGCTCCTCTGTCAAGCCACTGAACTTCATTTCTGAAGAAGCCATTGCAGATGATTCTGCAGCTGAAAGCAGCACCAGCATGCGGCCAAAACGCTCTACTCGCAAAACCAAACAAACCAAGGCGGCGATTACGGAGGATGTGAACCAGCTTTCCCATATAATCTCTGACACTGTAGATGCTTGTAATAAAAAGCCAGAGCTTGTTGACGATGAAGGCGTGGCTAAAAATAGCGAGTTGGACAATGCAGACGTCCAGCTGGATGAGTCGCGTGACGTTAGCCATTCTCCTGTTGCGATACCATCACCTGGCGTCGTCGTCAGCATCCCTGCATCGGAGCGTTTGTCTGCTGAGGAAGCGACACAGCCCAAAGCCTCTCCTGGACGCTCCGCTGCCAAAATTGCAATCGCCGGCAAGGGCAGAAGCTCACGGCGGAGCTCTATGAGGTGCTCGTTGAAGGTGCGGCACTCCCTCGGCGGTTTGCGGCACAGCATGATGCAGGAGTCTCGGCGCCGTACCTCCCGGCAATCCATGCTGAAGAAGAAGGCGGCTCGCAAGGCCAACTCATCACGTAGCAGCAACATTGACAGTGAGAAACAAAACATTGGCAAATTTTCTTCAAATGTGTCAGTCATATTTGGCATGTTTCTGTATCTTATGACTTTTTCTGATTGTAGCCACTTCGTCCTGTGAATCCATGGAAGAGGCGGACGAAGTGTAAGTACTTGGGAAAAAAAAGGCTGGTTTGAATGTACATTTAACATTCAAACAGCTTCTACCTTAGTTAACATACACATAGCCGTAACACATACTAAAAACTCAGTGTGCAAAAGACTCGCAGGCATATATTTCTGCTCTAGACTGTGGAAATGTTTATTACTGGAGGTTGATTGGGCACCTTCTCTGCCATTTCTTTCTTCTTATTTACACTTGATCTCTTCCAGTAGAGCATCGTGCTAATTCTGTCTGATAAAAACACTTAAACAATCGCACAAATATCTGAGATCGAGTGTAAACGCTGCATGTTACTCTCCCGATTACAAGTTGTATATTTTCATTTGAATTTGAAATTGTTTTAATAATTGCAATAATTGAATGAATGAAATTGAGTTTTTTCATGATTTACTTATTTTTAAAATTATTATTATGATTGTTGACCACCACAGAGCATTAGAACTCGTGACTGCAAATCCAGAAGCTGCTGCGACTGATGCTTCAGATGATTCTCCTCAGGTACCAATAAGGGTTAATGAATGAACCTGTCAATGACAAAGGCAGTAATTTCTTGTTTGATCATTCGAGAAGGCAGTTAATGCCTTTTTTCTAATTCATATTTTTAACTTGTGTCATACAAATGTGTGTACGCAGACAACTGTGAGTGAGCAGCCATGCTTGGCACGCATCACTCGTTCTGTGGCGGCAAATTCTCCTAAACTGGCCCCGCCTTCGCTGTTTACCCCTGAGAGGAACAATCTACAAACAGGTAGTTGTTTATGCTTTTTTTTTTTTGCGGAAAATAGCCACTCTTGTTCATGGCCCTTAAAAGTTATTAAATCGTTTCCCCTTTGTTCCAGCAGACACACAACAGTCTCCACAGGCCAGTCAAAGGTGAGTTTCACACTGTTAAATGCTTTTGGCCCAGTGTCCTTGTGACCCATCTTGGCTGGATGTATAATGCCATTTTAAGTGACCTATTTCAATTGAACCATTATCCTGTATTATTATTGTTATTTTTTTTTTTTTTAATGTCTATTTTCATTCGCATTTAAATTGACACATGTTCGCTTTGTCTGTACACATTCACTGAATACATGAAAAAAACAGCCTGGGCAGATGCCCAAATTGCATGTCAGTAATTCCACAAGTGCCAACACTGGACAGTGACAACACACAGTTAAATGGTAATAAATGTATGATAAAGTATGAAACATATGTTACAGCAGGTCACTCGCGTGAATTGTTTGGTTTTGTCCTGGCTGAGTTTTGGGGCACTAATTGGAATCAAAGCCAGCCTGCATAAAAGTCAGCATCGTGAATGATCAATTCACACTCCTCTAATGGGCCATGTAGAGCCCCCTCGTTCTCATATTCACACACGAATCATCTGATGTCTGATAAGTCTCGAGATTTTTAACCACATTTGGAAAAGGCCTAACTCTGACCTGAGGATATCCAACTCGATGGATTTTTTTTTTTTAACTTTACTCTGCCATGACACATACCTCATTTGTCACCTGAACCAAAGAGTTGTCAATCCAGCCTGTTACTGCCTGATGTCACCTAAATGCACAAAATCAATCACAAGGACATTCTTCTTGTTTTCGTCTTTCTGTAGGTCAACTAATAGCATCAAGCGCAAAGCACCCTACACAACGGCGGAAAGCCCTACAAAGAGGTTCTCTCCTCCCAAGAAGAGTCAGAGTGTAATATGCCCAAATAAATCATAGAAATAAATGAATGCACTTTTGAGTGTTCTTGAAAAACGTGTATCATTTTTTTCTCTTACAGGCTCTCAGACCGAACATGAAATCATTTCTTCACACTGTGCAGAAGAATCAGATGTTGATGATGACTCCGAATTCCTTCACCCGGAATACTCTAGTCAAGTCCTTCATTAAACACGCCACCCCTCTGAAGATTGATACTAAGGTCAGCATTAATTTCCACCGTAAAGAGCGAAACAGAAACACCACATGATAAGCTTGCACAGACGAATACTGTAGAGTGTTTTTTTTTTTTTGGTGGTGTGGTGTTATACAAGCAATGTTTGAGTATATTTGGGCATATTTAGTTTTGAGTTCGTCGGCCTCACAGTGCAGAGGTACAGGGTTCATTTCCGGCTCCGGCCTTCCTGTGTGGAGTCTGCATGTTCTCCCCGTGCCTGAGTGGCTTTTCTCCGGGTAGTCCGGTTTCCTCCCACATTCCAAAAACATGCATGGCAGGCCGATTGAATGCTCCAAATTGTCCCGAGGTGTGAGTGTGAGCGCGGTGGTTGTTCGTCTCTGTGTGCCCTGCGATTGGCTGGCAACCGCTTCAGGGTGTACCCCGCCTACTGCCCGAAGACAGCTGGGATAGGCTCCGACACACCCGTGACCCTCATGAGGATGAGCGGATTAGAAAATGGATGGATGTTTTTGGAATGTGGGAGGAAACCGGAGTACCCGGAGAAAACCCACGCAGGCATGGGGAGACCATGCAAACTCCACACATGAAGGCTAGAGCTGGAATCCAACCCAGTCCCTCTTCACTGTGAGGTCGACGCGCTAACCACTCGACCACCGCCCTGACAGTCATATGTAATATGTAAATTGAGTCCCAAGTAATGCAGTTACCAAATATCCTTTTCAATATACGTTTATGCGTCTTGTCATTTTTTTCAAAATAATCTCGCTGAGCAGTGAATCATTGTATTGCTTTATTTATTTATTCATTTTTTTTTATTTTTATCTCCCCTCCCCAGATGAGCATGAATGTAGTGGTAAGTGCATGAGCACTGTGTGTTGGTGGTCATTTGGTGATAGTGTCCACTCATTTGATACTAAACTAAAGCACCCCCTTGCCGCACCTGCTAACCTTTGTACACCCTTCCGCTTGTCTTGAAATGACATCTGTTAGTCAAGTTCCATTGTTGTGTCCACCTCTGTGAGAAGTTTCCAGTTTCATAATTGCCCCCAGTTGTACTTGTTCGTTCATGGCATCTTCTTCTGCAATTGAAATACAAGTTACCTGATGTTAGCATGGTAATGCAGCAGCAAATCACTTCACAAAACAAGTTTACAGGGAAAGTTTCGTTGTGGCCACAAAATATATGTATATATTTTTCCATGTTTCTGTGTGCCCTTTTAAAAATTATGATTATGAAGGACTTTGTTTTCTGATGGCGCGTATTCTATAGGCAAAAGAACGGCAAAAGTTGGAAGCACTTAAAAAGAAGCAGGAACAGGAAGAGGAGCGAATGAGGAAGATGGAGGAGGAGAAGAAAAAGAAACAAGAGGAATTCAAACGGTCTGGTCCATTTCAAAACGTTTCCCTTTCTGATTTGATTGGTCGATTTACATTTATTATTGTCCGATAGGAAGCGGGATGAGAGGCTAAGAAAGGTGTTTGAGGCCAAAGTGAAAGAAGAGCTGAGAGAAGAAGAAAAAAAGAAGAAGATTGAGCAAAAAATGGCCCACATTGATGAGAAAAATGATAAGGTGAGTAAGTCATTTGAACAATCCGAGTAATTACTCGGACCAGTTGTGCCATGTCAAAATTGTTCAACGTTGGTCCGTGAATGCAGCGTCAGGCGGCAGAGATGGCCAAAAAAAGAACTGCCATGAAACGTCAGGAAGAACTTGAACTGAAACGAAAGCTGGAAGAAGAAACTAAAAAGAAGAAGATTCAGCAAGCGGTAAGACTTCTATTTCTCTTATCATTTCACATCCGAACCTGCTTTTGTGTCACTGTCACAAAAAAATACAGCACATAACAGTAAGCCTCTTGACATATTTCAGTTCTTGAACGAGGTGTCCATCTCTCTGTTTCTTTTTTGTGTTTGACAAATTCAGGAAGAGGAGAAGCGCCAACAAGAATTGCTGGCAAAGAAGGCCAAGGAGGAAGAATTGAAAGCCAAGAAGCTGGCAGAAGCTCGCAGAGCTTTGGAGCTGAAAAAAGAGCAGGAGCGGGAGAGGGAGCTGGAGAGAGAACGCCTGGCTGCTGCTGAAAGGTCATCTTTCAAATAACCATTCTCAATATGAGGCGTACACAATACATGTATGTTGATTGTTATGGCATGTTCCTCTAGGGAGCGAGTCGAAAGAGAGAAGGCTCTCGCTCTTCAGCGGGAACTGGAAAGAGCAGCTCGAGAGAAGGAGCGAAAAGAACTGGAGGAGAAACGAAAACAGGTGACGAGGCTTTTATCGAGACTCATGTAGTGTTTGTTTCAGCCATTGAACGTCTAATAATATTTCGAAACCCTGCCTCGTACAATGACGGGAAATGAATTTTCGGTGGCGTGTTGCTATAAGAAACAATGAGCCCGTTTATCAGATGTAATGTTCTCGGGTGATTTGTTCCACTAGGAGGAGCAGCAAAAATTAGCCGCAGAGGAAAAGGCTATGACAGACAAAGAGGCTGCTGCCAAACAAGCTGCTAATGCAAAGGTAAATATAAACTAACTTATTGGAGAGGGATGGGGGTGGGGGGGGGGTCGTCAGGAGCCAAGCCCATTTAACAATAACACAACAATGACACCCCATTTAACAATAACACAAACTTGTCAGCTAACAATGTCACTTGCTTATTTCAGCGTCGAAATAAAATCAAGAACCGGAGTAGATTTCAAACTTTTAGCCCGTCCCTCCACATTATTTTCTGCTTCTCATTTGCCCCCCCCCCCCCCAAAAGAATTGCCCATCCCCGACTTAAAATATTCCCATTGTCAACACCTGTTAATAATAAAGGTAGCGTCCCCTTAATCTGAAAATAAATCCGAGAATCACCACCACAACGAGGTCAGGAAACCAAATGTGTACCAAGCAACAACCTCAGGTGCTCCTTTGAGAGCCTAACCACAATTCAGTGCACACGATCAAATAATTCTGGACAGCAATCTGTCTCTTGCTAATTATACATGAATTATTGTATTGTTTGAAGGCTGTATTTAATATCTCATTGATTTATATCTCCCCCCCGTCGCTTCTATTTTTTAGACTGCCGTTGCCCTCAATGTAACTGTGGATATCGAGGTAGAGTGAGTCTGATCATTTTTAATGACCCTGTGTTCTTGGTTAAACCACAATAATGGACATTTCTTGTCTCATTTTCTTTTTGTTTTGCAGCATTCTGTGATGAAAACGCCTACAGCAAAAGGCGGCGGCGGCCTCAACGTCACCGTGGATATTGAGGTGGGGGCACAAGTATTGCTCAGATTTCATCTCAGTGTACAGTATATTGAGATTTTTTTATACATGCTCACAAAGTGTTTTCTCCCGGGCAGAAATCACCGCAGTCATATTCTATCACTCCAAAGGGTGGGAACAAAACTGTGACTTTGTCCAAAAATCCAGAAAACTATGGAATGGACCAAAACAGTGACGATTCCACTGATGATGAGTCTGCTCCAAGAAAGCCCATTCCATCTTGGGCAGAAGGTATGCCTATGAAGTATCATATAAGCTTTATATATGACTAAAGTAGGGGTTCCCCAAAAAAAATAAATAAAATAGCGCTCCCAATCAGAAAATCGTTTTTGAGTTGAAAAATCAAATTGTTACATTTTTTTTAAATAGTTGCATCCTTGAGTCTTGGCAAGAGATGTATTAAATTGCCTTTTATGAGACATTTTAATCAGATATAAATCTGTTTGACATTGATGATGATTTGTTGTTTCTTTGAATTGAATCAACTTGGAAAGTATGGGCTTTGGAGGGCTCTCACTTATTGCATATTGATGAATAAAACAAAAACTATATCCCTAATTTTAAGATGTTACATCCTGGAATTGATTTGCATCCCATGAATTGAGAATCATATCGTATGATCTTAATGATAGATGCCCCCCCCCCCCTTCAAACCCCCCAGACTAAAGTATAGTTTATTTTAGAAAAAAACTCAAGTGTTAATGTTGTAATTCTTAGTCTGTACTGCTATATGATTTTATACTTTATTAATCCTGTGAGGGAAAACGGAGTTACGGTATTACGTGTACAGTACTAACAACAAGAAACTCCCCCCAAAATGGCAGCATTGAGGAGGATTGAAACAAATTCATTGCTAAAAAAAATGGTTGCGTGTTGGTACTGTATCTGCTCATTATTCTAATTATTCCAAAGCAATATTTCTATATGTGCACATTTGAGAAATAATGACATAAGTAATGACTTGTATTTCCCGTATCGAACTGTGTTGTGAAAGCTCTTCTTTTTTCCGTTTTTGGCCAAAGAGATTTTTTTTTTTAATTTTGTATGAATAGTGATTAACATTACCTGATCTTCTTCCACCTAGGTCACAATCTACAGCAGATTATTATGAAGCAGTACTTCAACCCTCCTGACTTGGATGCTTTCTTTGGAACAATCGAGCCGCCCAAACTGGAGAACCTGTTTTACAAAAGCAAACCGCGCTACTTTAAACGCACCAGCTCTGCTGTGTGGCATTCACCCCCCAACGCAAACAAATACTGATGCAGTGATGCCATTCTGTACACTTTTTTTTTTTAATTCTTTCTAATAAAAATGATGTTCTCTGTTTTTATGAAAATAAGTGTTAAATGTCTACGCAGGAAATCGTTTGGGATATTAAATGTCGACAATTCACAGTTGTTATCAGGGTTTTCTTTTTTTCTGTCGTTTTTGAGTGAGGTCATCTTTGAAAAGACAGTCAGAGCGTAACTTGGCGTTTAATGGACTGCATGCAGACGTGGATCAATTCCCACAAAATAAGTTAATTGCATAAACAAATCAAACTCTGATCAAGTACCGCAATCCTGTCAGCCGTGTATAAACGATAGCTGTGCACGATAAACACAAAGTGGTCAATATGGTTCAGAGCAAGCCACGGTATTGTTTTTTTTTTTCTTTCTTTCATATCATGGCAATACAAAAAGAATGCCGTTCTTGGTTTTCAGAGTGTCCCATTGTGGTGCCTCTCATGTCCAAGCAATCTATTTTCCAACGCTCTATTTTCCATTCCATATGTTTTTATGCATTGTTTACTTCTGACTGTAGCTTATTCATGCTACTTTTAAAATATGTTTGATATTTGGAGTGTTTTTCTTTTAAATTGGCAGACGCTTTTGGCAGTGCATTGTAGTATCCTCAAAATAATCAGAAATCAATCACTGTAGTTTACTGAGTGAAATAAAATGTTCATCAAATCTTGAACGGTGCTATATAAATCGAAACTATTAAATGTTGCTCTTACTGTATGAAAATACAGCAATTACATAAATTATGCATATTTAGATTAGGACTGAACGTTTTACTGGACATTTAGAGGAAAGGAATTCATCTAAACATTTTTATTTGCGAATGTTTCGTGTTAAATTTGCTTATTTAAGCAACCCTGTGCAGGAGGCTGTTTTTTTTCCCTAAAAGAGATTGAAGCTATTTTTTCGATTCGTAAGGCAAATTTTATCCGGCAACTCGAGTTCTCTTTGGAACGGAAGTGACGTAATGCAAGGCGCATCACTTCCGAGTGTACATCGGTTTGAAACTTGGCGAAATAAGAGCAAGATTCCTATAAATACAGCGGTTCAGATGATGGTGGATGTTTTTCTTTTGCTTAAACAAAACACATTTTGATCTCCAGAAAATCGTCCATCCACTGTCCAAAGAAAGAAATAATAAAATACGAATACATTATTATTGTTTTTCTGAGTCTGTTGTTTTTGCTGAGATGCAAATGTTCATGAAAAAATATCCAGAATGTTCCTGAGTGGTGATGATGGGGGTTGAGCGTATCTGTAAATGCCATTGATCCACCCCCTCTAAAATAGCGTGTGTGTATTTATAAGACAAATAGCACTAAATGGCTGGAATATTTTTTGCTTTTATAATTAACTGGGTTCATAATATTTCTGTATGTTGGGCGGCAGGGGTGAGTACATCTCTGCACTAAGTGTCCATATTGTTTCCATGCATGACGAAAAAAAAGCAAGAAAAAACGACATCGCATTGAATGTTTTTATTGAAAAAAAAACAGAAAACAGGGCCATTCAAGGTGATGCAAAAAGGAGCAACAATCTTAAGGCCCGGAAGTTTTAAATAATCCACATTTAGTCTTCGTGTTTCTTTCTTCCCCATATGTTAACACTGAAATCTTTTAAGGTGCTTTGTGCCTCACAAGTGGGTTAATTGTTCTGGAAGCACTCACCAGGAAGTGGAGATTACTTGTTATATTTGTTGTTTATACGCCTCCAGTTGAGTTTAACACTCGTACACACACACACACACACACACACAAAAAAAAGAGTTCTATATGTAGATTGGCATGTGACATACAAACGTCATTTTCTTAGTCCTGCTTCCTGCTTGTAGCTGCTTTGTTCCCGCTGCCATCTACGAGCACGCCCAGCAGGTCCCCTTCAGCTAATGAGATTCCAGAATCATTGGGGGAATTTTGTTGATGGGCTTCTTGCTGCGAAGGTGTCGAGCTGGGAGCGGTCAGTGTATTGAGCCCACCGTTGCTCGCCTTAACATTGGCAGGGAAGTTACTATAGCTGTTAAGATTGCTGGTGTTGAGAAGATTTCCTGTTGTGCCAGCGCCATTGCTGCCTGTCACATTAATGCTGCTCGAGCTACTGTTGGGATTATTTGGATTTGCTGGTCCATGACGAGAGGGAGGCGTGAACGAGAATACCCTTTCCCCCCCACTTCCTGTCGTTCTAGCGCTTAGGGGTCCTGCCTGACTGTCGGCGGATGGCAAGGTGTCCAGCGTCAGGCACGGAGGTGGAGGCCGGCGAGACAGCAGGCCGTGCCCACGCCTGAGTTTCGATATGGGACAAAGCTCGGGCGGAGGGTCGGGGAAGGAGAAGGCCTGAGCGGCGGGCGCGTCGCCGTCCTCGCTCAGCCAGGGGAAAGCCGATGATGGTGGCGGGATGTGATTGGGAGTGTCGGGGGGCAGAAGCTGTGAGCCAACTGTCGGAGGAGCAAGAGAGCTGCAGCTGCGATCCCATTCGTTCTGAGGCCGCCGCGCAGGCCGAGGTCGGGCCAACGCCGGGGGAACGCAGTGGATGGGCGTCTGGGGGCAACTGTAGAAGCCTGCTCTGTCGTACAAGGGCAGGCCAGAGAATGCGTAATCCTGATCTCGCTCTGCGTTTGAGGGCTGGCGAGCTTGGTTTGTGACCGATGGAACTTCTGGATGTAAGTAAAGGGGGAAGCGACTCAGAGGGGCTCCGGGACAACGGCGCAGCAGAGAGACACGGGAAGAGCGAGGGAAGCTGGGAGACTGGACACCCAGGAAGCGACCCAGACCTCCCAACAGTGGGGTGGAGTAGTTGGCTTCCTCATTTTCTTTAATCTGCTCCAAGTTGGACTGAAACTCCATCTCCTCTTTAGGAACACTATAGAGTATCACAATGTCACCATAATTATGAAGCTGTTGTCAGAATAACTCCAGATCCATATATAGTCACCGCGCCTTGAGGTACAAGTTTATTTCGTTCCGTGACCATGTCTGAAATCGTCTTCGTCAACAGAAATTAATAGAAATACGTTCAAGCGCCCGTCCCACCACAAAAGCAAAAATGTTTATTAAATCAGAGTAATATAATTAAATAGAGTGTAAAGAATGAAACAGTTTGTGTATCATGATTCATGCTGCACACTAATTCATTATGCTGCTTTTCCCACTGAGAGGCAGTATTTAAACTGGGTTCGAATGTCACATGACCAAACTCAGAAAACAGGTGAGCCATGACATTTGTAATGTGAGGCTTTGGGTATTTTCACGTCAATTAGGGGACTTTGCTACATTAAATGTCAGCCTCCATGGATGGCTGAAAACGGGTCAATTACTCTTCTTAATCCTTACACCACCAGTATGAATCAGAATATCGTGTTTCGACTAGTGGGGGCGCGTAGAACATAATATTGGAAAGTACATTTTTGACTTGACTTCCGCATGACGCATACCTGATATCGAGAGCAGAACCCATGAATGACGGTTTGCAGTGATCGGCGCTGGCAGTTGTGTAGGGAGGGCGAGGCTCGGACTCATTCCAGTACATGTCCTTCTCAACCAGAGGGAGGCTGTCGTACATCTCATCCACAGACAACAAAGATACCTGAAACACAGTGAAACATGGCAAGTGTTGACAGTGACAAGCATCCTCTTGTTTCTACTTCAAGTGTACCTCCGGCAGGCCGTTTTGAGGTACTGATGGGGAAACGGAGCAATATTGTAAAGTTTGATAAATATCTGCTGTTCCCATTTTTGCGGCTCGTCTTGTATTTGCCGAAACAATCCCTCTGGTTAACTTTAATGCAAGGCGCCATGATAGGAACGGATGTTACGTCAGAGCGACTGACTGCACCCAAATCTATCCGGCGTCAGGTATTTATTTATTTTAACGAAAAGGATGTAAGCTGACGCATGTCCGAGACAGGCTTTCACCCTTGCGTGCAGTGGCTTATTATTTATAATGCGCTGCAGCACCGGCCTCATGTGACACAGAGTCATTAAAACTGGCGTCCGTCAGTGACGATTAACGAACCTTCCATCGGTATCTGGAAAATGGCGAGACAGACCAAGATAATGCCGCGTTTACATGAGAGACAGCCGGACAAAAGACGGGGCCAGGTTTTCAACACCGGGCTTTCAACGCCGCTATGTCACGGCTCTGCTTCTTGCAGGCACCTATGGCTGGACGCGTTAGCTGCCATGGCGTCTCAACAAATAGGTTCTCCGAGCTATTACAAGCTAGCTTGAATACAAAAAGTGTAACCAAAATGCCAATGGTTACAGTTTTCTTGATAAACCTCATTTGTTTTTCCTTCCGACCATTACAGCTCAGTGGTTCCTAATTAAGGTATATATTACTTTACACTGGACCAATCACGACGTGAAAACGGTGTCATTTCCCCAGCACATAACATGGATAGAATCAAAACCTGTAAATTGCGATCGACGAGCCAGTTGGTCTCAAAGTCGTCGTCGTCTTCACCAAAAGGATTGATAAGTTGCTCAGCCACCTGAAAGCAGGACCGAATCAGATGTGCACCAGTCATCAAACAGACTGGATGACGTAACGTGTAGGATCAGACCTTGAGCCACCCAACATAGAAGAAAAATTGCAGCAGTGTGAAGACGGGAAGATAGAAGTCCAGGTCATGACCCGGGTAGCCTTGGGCCGGATCCAGGAACTGTCGGCCAATGAGACAAGCCAGGAAGAAGCTGTAGACAGCCACTGTCGCTACCTAAAGCACCATACACCAGTCAAGTCGGCACAGAATGTGATCAAGCTTCAAGGGTCTGGGAATTGAGCTTTGTAATGTCAAATATGACACCGGATGTGTCTGACACCTCATACTGCGGATGCAAACAGAAACAGCACCTGCGTATATACGAGAGGCAGGCTGATCCAGTCATATCCGTACAACTTCATGCACTTTGCACGTAAACTGTTCAACTCCTAAATAGGGAAGAACAAAAAAGTATGGCTTAGGAATATTTTCGAAGCTGTTGGTGCCCGCTCTCTGGACAAACGCACATACAGTGAGAATGGCGGTGAGAGCCACGTCGTTGTTGATGCGACCCTCGGTCCGGGCCCGTAAAGCCAGACTGACAAACCACATGCAGGGAACCCAGAACTTGTTATGAGGGGACGGCAAGTCTTCCAGATGCCTCAGTTCCTCGGATGTCATCAGCCCTGATGGGCACCAAAAATTGCATGAAGACAGAAAATGACAAAACACACAGTACTAAGCTTCGATCAAACAAAATATAAAATGAATACACCTGTGACAAACTTCCTCATTTAATCCCGTTATCAATTCCAGATCTCACAAAAACCCAAAGATAATACGCTCGGTGTCAACCATAATGGGATTGGCTGGAAACTAGTCCTTGGTGTACACCAGCTCTCCCTTAAAACAGTCATTTAAATTGGAACAACTTTAAAAAATCAATTATTGACATTTACGGCAACAATGTTGGTTGGCAACACAACGCCAGCAAGTTTTTTTTTTCCGCCAAAACAATTCGCTGCGTTGTTTTTACTTGTATATTTACATTCGGGGACTATAAAAGGGATAATTAGCTCTCTAAACTCTTATTTCTTTGTTGTGAAATGCGTAAAAGCCACACTTCAGAACAGCAAAACTTAAAATATTTTGTTGAATTGCCCAACTTCAAATTGCATCAGTGTTTTTTTTTTTGCCTTGAAATTTTGAATTGATCCAACTCAATACTTTTACTGCACAGTTGCTTAAAGCGGAACACCTCCACATACAATACCTGCTAATTGTTAGCCTGTCTATGGCGTTTTGCTTTATTTGTTAGCAAGAGGTCACCAGACTTTCCCAAGGCAAAGCTATGTGCTTATTTTAAATACAGAACACATATTTATCTTTGTTTAAAGTTTAGCTTGACAATAAACCTCAAGTGGGAATGGTAATAAACCGCTTGAAACAAAATAATCTCAGCACTTCCTTACATCATCAGTGCACAAGGCGTTTACTTCTACCACGACACACTGTGCCTCAAGCCAGTGTTCAGTGAATCCATTTGACAGCGTACCTGCCTGCACCAAGTGTTCCATGGTGGGGAACCTCTTGTAGACGGCCGTGCTGACAGAACGGTAGATGAGCACACCGGAGAGGTTGGCGTACCGCATCAGAGTGCGACGGCTCAATCTGGCGGCCTCGTCTGCTCCCCGCACGTGACCTGCCACTAGTGATGCCAGGCGGTCGGGCCAGGGGACATTTTCAAACTGACCCCACCAGCGGGATACCACCAAGGTCACATAGAAACCTGCAAAGCAATGTTGACGTTTGGGATTCTTTAAGGGTGCCTCAAACTCAATATACTGTCATATATAGTACAGAAGGATACTTGGTGTGTTCAATGCTGCGTACGGACTCCGAAATTATTTGATTCATACATTCAAACCTTAATAATAAGCTTTAATAATTATGTAAGCTTATGTTAAATTATTAATTATTTTCATTTTATATTTGAGCATTATATTCTTTATGTTATAGTTATCTAAATTATATTCTGTTTAATAATTGTTGAAACATTCTTATGTTGCTTGCGTCTGATTGGCTAAAGAGAAGCAGGAAGTGCTTTCGTGACTGAAAGGGGGGGGGTGTTCTCGTTCATCCATTCGGAGGTGCAGACGTTTTTTTTTTCTTTCTCCTTTTAATAAACTGAACTAAAGGATTCCATCTCTCCTTTTGTCATTCGCAAAGAAGAGCCATCCACTGAAAAACAACGAACCCCTCAAATTACAATTAGTTTTCAGTTAACACATCCTCAAAATGGTGACTGTATTTTCAACTTGATGAGGGAACTCCTTCCCCGTCCTCCATTACTGCTCACGTGACATAATATAGACACGTGCGTGGGCAACGCGTCTAAAATATGACGCGGTGCGTCCCTCAGGTGGCAATGTTAAGTTGAAGTCTCCCACAATGCCTTTCTATATTTACGAAGGCTGTAAGTACGAGCGTTCCCGTTTCTTACCCGTTCCATAATGTTCAGTTATTTGTCAGCGCCTTTAAGAGTGCTACTAAAAGTGTTTAGTTGAATGCGCACCAAGTGTGTGTGTGTGTGTGTGTGTGTGTGTGTGTGTGTGTGTGTGTGTGTGTGTGTGGGAGGGGGGTGTTCAATTGTTTCTCACTGCTGCCACCTAAAGGTAATTAATTGCAACTGCTTTCGGTGGTTGAAAGGTTTTACTTTTTGAAATGCAGATGCCACCTTCAAGAATACGTCAATATATGCTACACAGTAATGTGTTGTGATATTTAAAGAGTAATTGTAGTCTGGAAGGATATTGTCAAAAGTAAAGTATCAGTGAAAAACGTGCAGGTTTAAGAATAATGTGTCACTGCCATCACTGGATTTCATGCAAAAGGTCATATTAAAAGGAAATCCGCTGGACTCACCGAGAACAAAAGACACTGGGATGAGCTCTGCGTAGCGGTCACAGTACATGGAGAGCTTCTCAAAGAGTCTCTTCTGCTCAACATTTAACACAAACCTAGTGTGGAAAAGACCATATTAGTTAACATATTTTCAAATCTCCTCATGAAGCAAAACAAAAGTTCATGATCGTTTAAATATGCAGCGGTGGTTTGAGATTTGAGTACCCCTGCTCTATGGATTAGCAAGCAAAAATCACGAAAAAAGACTGTGTAGGATTGCATGACATTGTAGGACTGTACATAAAGAAGTGCCCAGAGTGTGACTTAAAATCACCATTAAATGCTGTAATTTATAAATTCAGAGAATGATGAAATATTCAATCGAATCCCTTCTAGATGTGAAAATGCACGAATGCAGGTGTCACCAACATGGTGCCCGCGGGCACAAGCTACACCCCAGGGACCATATGAGTAGTCTGTGGGTCTCTTCTAAAAATAGCTCACTTGTGATGGGATATTTGGAAACGTGAACATTGATAGAGATTTATAGTTAGAAAATGTTAGCCCCAACCTCAACCCAGTTCCCCAAGAAGTAGCTCTCAAAAAAGCTGTTGAGGCTGGCACTAATGTACTGTATACAAATGATTATGCCATTTTTTAGAAGAAAGCGCCTTTTAGTGGTACCTATAAACAATGCTGAAGAAGTAGTAGAGTAGGGTGAAGATGATGAGCTCCCTGTAGAGGAGCTTATAGATGCTGCCCCTCCAGCGCAGGAGCAGGTGGAAGAAAGTGCCGAGGCCTGCATCTGCCACCCTCCGGGAGTAGGTCACTGTCATTGCCGCTGCCGCTTCTTCTTAAAAGCCGACTTCCTCCTTTCGCATTGGCCTGACATGAAGGACGCCTCTGTTGCCTCGTCAGATCGCGGAATCAGCAATCGGCCGACTTGGTCTGCTGTCAACCTGAATCCATACGGCGAGCGTTTGAAATAAAAATCTAATCCTTGGTTTGGTCATGCGAAACCAAATCCGAACAAAAGGTCAACTTGGCTGCATACTCACCACTGGAAATGTAAAAGTTTGACCGTGACTGCAAGTGAGGAGGAGGCATACGGTAGGGCTCCGTCGAGCGAGAATGTTGGAGAAAGAGAAGCGGGACCAGAAAAAGGAGAGCGTGGAGCTTCTACACCTCCGGTCACTTGATGTCTTAAGCTGTTTTGAGCAACAAAGGTGCATTGTGAGCTCCCGCAGGCTTTGTTAATCTCGACAAATCACACACAGCCGCACAACTGGTCGCTTCGATACATGTATCAATTTATGAAAGCTATTTGGAAAGCTTGGTTGCTCTCCAAATGAAAATCCGTCTTTTATAAGTTCATGTTTCCATGGAAATGGTTTCATTATGATCATGAAAAAGCGGGAGCATGTTGAGACCTCTGACGGAAGAAATGTGCACAGTCGGGAGTAGTTGTGGGCCAGGAGGTGTTCGGTGTTAGCGATTATTAACCCTTGCTGTCTAACCAGAAAAGCCGCAGCAAGGGCGAAGTGCGGACAGAGTTCACTCGTCTAAACTCCTTGGTCACACTGATCTATCACATTTTGAATTACACTTCAAACAACTGGACACTTTGTTCCGTCTACTTTGGTGAGTGCCACTTACTTTGATGACGTTCTTAACATTTCATACCGCAGTGACCTCAGTTAGCGGAGAACAGTCCCTTTGCTCCAGCGTTGAACACTTTGAACACTATTATTGTGTGCCGCCTTGAGGTGTGGTTGCACTTTTGAAAACATTTAAAGGTCACTTATATACAGTATATATACAAGTATGTAGTGGATAGCATTTTTGTATGAAGCATTGTGCATTTCCTCCCTTTCTTTTCCAAGACCCACCCCCACGAGCTCGGGATTGCTCATACGGCTTCCACAAGTGTAAACACAAGTGAACCAAATTGACAAAGTGACATGGATGCTTTCGAGGGAATTCACAGCGTTCGGATTTCATCCTCTCCGCCACCCATGACCTCCTCCGGTCGGGCCTACGAAGTCCTGAAGTCGGGCAGGTCGGGAATAGCGGTGTATTCCTCTGCGGTGTTCTTTGGGACGCCATCCGAGGCTGAGAAGAAGGGCTGCGTGGTAGGAAGGTACGCTACCCCTAATCTTGATCATCATCATGCTGAACAAGTTGTTTTCTGCTACCTGGTAGCGATCATAGTGGATGTATGTCATTCACATGGACAATGAGATTACAACTACCCATACTCTTTTTACAGCACGTTTTTTTTTTTCTTGAACATATAAACAGGCAACAGAAATTTGGTAAGAAGTAAAAGGGAAGTACAAAAAAATTCAAAAGAAGAAAAAAAAAAGGAATTTTGCACAGTTGTGTTCAAAAAAAGTAGGAAGAAGTAAAAAAAACTTCTCGACCTAGCCTTTGTTCTTTGTGTGTTTCAACTTGTTTAATGTTAGTATAATAATAGATCAATCATGTAGAGCATACTGTATCCCAAAAACAAAAAGAAACGGAAGAAAGTCAACAGAGACCAACTCAAGTATCCAACTGCACTTACGCTTAATGCGTACTGTACAAATGGTGACAACATACAGAGGGGTCAAGCACACACTCTAGCACATTTAATAATAATAATAATAATAGATTACATTTGCAAGCGCCTTTCATAGCACTCAAGGACACTGTACAACCAAGAGCAAATAATAAAACTACAGATAAAATTTAGAATAAAAGTAAAAAAAGTAAAAAATAAAATTAAAAGATTTAAGGTGGATAGGCAAGTCTGAATAGGTGGGTTTTGAGCTGGGTGATAAATATGGAAAGAGAGTCAATATTACGAATGTCAGGTGGTAGTGCGTTCCAGAGTTTGGGGGCAGAGCGACTGAAGGCTCTGCACCCCATTGTACTGAGACGGGCAGAGGGCAGCGAGCCGGAAGACGCAGGCGGCGGACAAACTGAACTGGCGGCTGAGTTTTGTCTTTTCTCTTCTGGACGCTGACGGGGTAAACGTGTCACTTTTTCTTGGAGGGGAAAACATCAAAATTGTAAGTCGTCTGGCTAGCTAAAGGTTTGACTGCTCGGAAGCGCGAGACTGACTGTCGCTTCAACGTCATCATGTTGGGAATATTTAAATAGTCAGAAATTGATTTGTTGTTGAGAACTGCTCCTTTCATTATGGTTGTTCGCGTTTATAACCATGCCTTGCTAGTAAAGTTGAAGTTTCGTTGTTTTAACTGTTTATCACAACCAGATGTTTGAAGTCACGTGAGTTCACTTTACCCTGGCACCACTCAAACTCTTGTGTTCTTGTACAAGTATTCATTCAACTTCTGGTGACTAATTCAAAGTAAAATAGACTCTGAAATCGACTTTAGTACAACCTTAATGAATTTCCCTGTCGGTGTGTGTGTAAAATTTAAAAGATTTACATTAGAGGAGCATAGCTCTTGTAAAGACGATTCCAGTCAAGTGGTATTTTTGTTCTGAGATATGTTTGCGAATCTTTAAAACTAGTGAAAAAGCACACATTTCTGGCCATCGTTTTAATGCAAAGACAATACGGGCTGAGACAAAATAATGGTCAAGAGCAGAAGAGTTTGCAAGATGGTGGTCAGATGATGTGTGGTTTAATTTGGCACTCAAGCATACATAGATAAAAACGAATTGAGAAAATCGAGAATGAACAAACACTCCGTAAGATGTTAAAATAAATAGGAAGGAATAAATATGGCGCAGTTAAGTGGCATTTGTCATTTGTAAAATTCATGAAATTACTGTAGGAAGCGATGGAAAATTTGACCAATTTTTGTCACTTTTGATGGAAATAAAAAAATATACAATACGTAAGTATAAGGAATAGGAAGTACAGATGTTTTCAAGAATAAAAGTGAAAAGTCGTCAGAAAAATAAACACTCAACGTATGGAGACCAGAAAAATCAGTACAGTAACAAAGTACTTGTACATGCAGCTGAACAATCCTCTTTGAGATTGAACAACAGTTTCAACACAGAAGGATTTGGCCACGGCAATGAACTGAGAGAACAACAGCTCCATAGCCAGAAGAAAATGACTTATCAGTGAGACGAATGGCTCCAATTTTCTCTGGAGCATAAAGATTGGATTCTGTTATAATAGGAAAAGGTCACATGGTCTGATGAGTTCCAGGCGATGGATTCATTTGGCTTGGAGGTTGACGTGATTCAGCTGTTTTGTACAACTTGTACATGCCCTAAGATATGAGCTTTGTTCAGTTGGCCACATTTAACAATGGTGCTGCACAAAGTGGATGTCAGCTGACGACTTGAATGAGATGGAGTTGAGTCGGTCACAATCCAGGCCCTCAAACCAACAGTGTTGTTACCTCACATTCAGAACAATGTGAAAATGGACAAAAATAAATCTGATGACATGGCATAATTGAAACAATGGTGTTCAAATGTGGAGGAAAATTAACAGCAGCACCACATGTGACTTTTTCTTCTTGCTTAGTTTTGGAGCTGACTTTTTTTTTTGAATGAAAAAGTGATAAAGTATCAGTGAGGCCAACAAAGGAAAAAAAAACAGCTGTCCTCGTGGCATATTCTGAGACAAAGCAGACTACTTACTGTCGTGGCTCGTTGAAACAATTCACAGAATGTTAGTTGTGGTGGAAGTAAATAAAACTCAGTTAACTGAGTATTTTTATTTATTTTTGCGCTTCAAAGAATTTGAATTCATCTCCAAAATTAACACTTCATTTGAATGTTTGCTTGTGTACAAATACAATGGGCAAACTGTAGTGACGAGGAATCTGAGTTGGTAGAAAATGAACACGATCGGTTATGTTTATGATCCCGTCCGTATAGGTTGGTAGACCTGGATCCCGAGCCCGAGCCCGGATTGGAGGTAATAGGCCAGGCTGGGCCCACAATGGAAATAGACCAGAACAATGTGAAAATGGACAAAAATAAATCTGATGACATGGCATAATTGAAACAATGGTGTTCAAATGTGGAGGAAAATTAACAGCAGCACCACATGTGACTTTTTCTTCTTGCTTAGTTTTGGAGCTGACTTTTTTTTTTAATGAAAAAGGGATAAGGTATCAGTGAGGCCAACAAAGGAAAAAAAAAACAGCTGTCCTCGTGGCATATTCCGAGACAAAGCAGACTACTTACTGTTGTGGCTCGTTGAAACAATTCACAGAACGTTAGTTGTGGTGGAAGTAAATAAAACTGAGTTAACTGAGTATTTTTATTTATTTTTACGCTTCAAAGAATTTGAATTCAGCTCCAAAATTAACCCTTCATTTGAATGTTTGCTTGTGTCCAAATACAATGGGGAAACTGTAGTGACGGGGAATCTGAGTTGGTAGAAAATGAACACAATCGGTTATGTTTATGATCCCGTCCGTATAGGTTGGTAGACCTGGATCCCGAGCCAGAGCCCGGATTGGAGGTAATAGGCCAGGCTGGGCCCACAATGGAAATAGACCAGGGCGTCCATTCCCGCCTGCGCAGCTCCTCGTTGCAAATACGAGAGAAAGAAATTCGTGAAAAGGGCTCGGAGATCCTCAGTGAACAGTTAGACGCTGCAAAAAAGGTGCTGACATTACTTTTAACACACACGCACACACACTCTCAGTGCAGTGAAAAAGGAGAAGTGCCACAACTGAACTCCTTTCTCCTCGTCCTTTTCAGGAACTAAAACTAAAAGACAAGGAATGCGAGCGTCTGTCACAGGTCAGGAATCAGCTGGAACAAGAACTGGAGGAGCTCACTGCCAGTCTCTTTGAGGTCAGCGTCTCAAAGTTCCTGTCCTTCAAATTCATTGTACGCAAAAAATAATTGTATGTGTGAAACAGCCGAATTGTTTCCATATTGACAACAGGAGGCTCACAGGATGGTGCGGGAGGCCAACGTCAAACAAGCAGGAGCGGAGAAACAACTGAAGGAGGCTCAGGGGAAGGTGTGTGATGTACTCGAACTCAACTAAGAGTAGTCTGGGAAGCGCAACGACAGTCTGAATGAGGGCCTTTATGATCAAGAGACACTTTTTTTCATTTTGTGTGGCGATCATGAGAAAAGATGGCCGTTCATGGAGTGAATGACGAATGCCTTGTAAAAAAAGGCCACCGATGTTCAATTTGAGCAAAACGGTAGGTCGGCGTTAATCACAGTGCCATTTTTTTTTTTAGTTGTGTACCCGTATAATTGTATATCCCTTTCGCAGTCATTTTTGTGCTTTAACATACATTTTTTTTAATAGGTTTTGAGGGTTTTTTTTTTTTTTATCAGTGTCACAAACGGAAAAAAAAATATTCGCATTGAAGCATGTTACAGAAGAACTTTTGCCGAGAAAATTGTGTTTTTGGTGAAACCAACCTATATCTTTCTGCTGATTATTAAAAAAACGTAAGGGGTTGAAGCAAGCTTTTTCTGGCGAAGGAAGACACTGTTCCTTTTGGAAAGTTCAGTGCTTATCTTATCACAGAACACGATATTAAGAGACCGACGACGAGAAGAAAGGAGCATCAGCGCAGACCGCCGATGCGTATGTGGAACTGGGAGTCGCGGCTTGGAATTGAAGCGGATTTATTTGGGACAGAAGAGAGCCAACCTCTTTTTCGTTAATGGATGCTACAACTTCTTGTTGCTTTCAATCTTAGCTTGTGGCAGACGTGTGCACACTGCAGCATGACATTTTTGATCCACTGGTGAAAATGACACTTTGATTCGCTCCTCTTTCATCTATAACTGCTTCAGACAACAAAGCGTATGCAGGAAAGTGGTTAAGATTGCACGATTGTCTGTGTCTAATGTGTTGTCTTGTATTATTTTGTCATTTTATGTTAACTTTTCTTTTGATGGCGGCGCGGGCACCCGCAGCGGCTTCTCTTGTTGTATGTTGTGAGAGGGAAGAAATTTCATCTGTGCTGTATGTACAGCACATTTGACAATAAAGTTGTACTTGATACTTTCATTCAGAACGCCTTGGAAAAGCCCATTTTCACATCTGCCTTTGGTATCCGCCTGCCAGATTGACGTCCTTCAAGCAGAAGTGACGGCGCTCAAATCCCTGGTGTTAACCTCGACGCCGTCCGCTCCGAACCGGCAGCTGCATCCCCAGCTGAAGCTCCCAGTCGGCGGACACACTCGCAACAAGAGCCTGAGCAGTGGTTCACTGTCCCCTCCTGGGAAACCAGAATCTCCGTCACTTCCTGTTCAGCCAGTCATCAAAGAGGACAGAGAGGTAAAGAATGTTTAGAGATCTTTTTTCCCCTCAAGTCTTAGTTTTTCTTCTCTTGAGCTTGTTTTCTTTCTTGTCACTTTTCTTTTTCTCTCAGCCTGCTGTTGCTGCTCTCCTCTAATTCACTGTCTGCTTTCTGGCCAGTCTTTCAGTATTATGGCCGAAGCAGGGAGAGGGGCTTGGGCCTGACGGTGAACAGGTAACTGGCTCCCCTCCGTCATGCTCGGCCTCTTGGTTACGTTGACTTCCAGACTGACGCCTACGCCCTTTCACCGTGTCTTTGCTGACAAGATGAGTGAGGGTCTGTCTTGTCTCCGCAGATGGACTCAGTTTTGTACGCAGAGTTCCTCATGTGGAAGGAGCATCCGAGTCTCGATCGCTCATCCGCCCTCATGAATCGCATCTACAGAGAAGACATCGCCCCCTGCCTCTCGTTTACACGATCCGAGGTCCGAATCAATCGGTTGTATAATACTTTTTTTTTTTGATTGCGGAGGTCTAATTAGTGCGGCTGCTTGTGTGTCCACAGCTGGCCCAGCTGGTGCAGAGCGCCGTGGAAAACAACTCTTTGACTATCGAGCCCGTGGCTATGTCAGCGTTACCAATGGTTAAAGCCTCAGCCATGGAATGTGGAGGACCGAAGTGAGTTGCTTTGCGTGCGTCACGACAGCCACACCGTCTTCCCTTTCACCAGTCGCTGCTCAACTTGGGCCAGCCGATACAAAACCTAAAGTGGAACCTCTGAGGTCAAAGGCGGCACGTCGTGGGATGCTGGGCTAATTTGTTTTGATTTTGAAACCATTTTAAGCTCATTGTCACTGCACACGAGCGGCGGAATTTACTTAACCAACCTGTCTAAGAGACATAAAAAAAAAAAAGACAACGCCCACAGAAGGAGACAGAACAGAGATGTCTCGTGAGTTGCGGTTTTATTGCCCCCCTTTTTATTTTAGGTGGATAAAAAATAAAACATAAGGGAGGAAGGATGCTCCAATAGAGAGGGGCTCAGTATGGGATTGTGGGAAAAAAAACAACCCTTGCAACAGCCGCATAAAGAAAAACATGACAACTAAACTCAAAGACTTGCTCATGTGGGGTGTTTGCGTTGAAGTTGGACCACGGCACACCATTGGAGTTTATCATTAACACAGTGATAAAGTCATAACTAGAGCAAATCGTGACCTCATTTTTTTTTCACTAATGCATGAACTAGTTCATTGAGTAACCTTTGTCATCTCCAAAAATATGTTGGGACCGAAGTTTCAACTCTTCATGTTTCTTAACCGTTGAGGAAATGTACCATCCAATACGGTAGATTGCAATAATTCCAACTATGCATCTTTTAGCATTTGACTTCACGGGTTCCACTTGTTAAAATTCAAATTCTCTTAAGTCTGACGAGGGAATTCAATCAGCGGGCACTTTTCCAATCACTATCTCACTTCCACATCTTGTGTTTCCAGTTACTATAGGGCAGCAGTGGAGACGTAAGTCCACTCAGAAAGCATGTCGCTCTTTCACTCGTCCGCATTTACTGTAGCATGAAATGACTCCTGTGCTGACGGCATAGAGAGGCCAATAAAGGCACCGGATGCATGCGTCCGACCTCTTACCATCAATTAACACATTGCTCTTTCCTCGACTAACCCAACCTCTGATTGTGCACTTTTTGTAATTTTTGGCTTAATTCTCAGCCGGAATGTGCTTTTTTTTTTTTTTTTTTACCTAAAAGTGCACAATCGATGTCTACTGGAAAGACTCAACAGCATGTTTCTGTTATTGAAGCTGCAGTTCTTTGAAACGGTGCAATTTCCTGGCAGAAAATGCGCGCTGAGCGGCGTGTCGCGACTGTGCAGACATCGCATTAAACTCGGCGACAAGGGGAACTACTACTACATTTCCCCCTCCAGCCGAGCACGGGTAAGTGTAGTTTGGTGTCTCTTTGTGCTTTTGTCATCGTCTGCTGCTGTTTCGATGATTCCAATGGCCTCGTTTTGCCTTCCCAGATCACAGCCGTGTGTAACTTTTTTACGTATATCCGCTACATCCAGCAAGGTCTCGTCAGGCATCGTGGTCAGTTCATTCACAAGTGACGTTTTTATGCATTCTTGTCTTTTGCCAAACGTAATATGAGATGGTTGTCGTTTTGCCCCGTGTCCAGCGGAGCAGATGTTCTGGGAGGTGATGCGTCTCCGGAAGGAAATGAGTGTGGCCAAGCTGGGTTTTTACCTCACAGAGGAGAGTTAGACGACCTGGTTGACCAGCGTGACACGTGAGGACCAGGACACGTCAGGCTTACAAAGCGGTAACTTAGAAGAGGTCAACCAAGAAAACAGTTGTGCTACCACAATAAGACAATGAAAGGCAAAGTAGATTTTAAGATACCGTATTTTACGGCTCATAAGGCGCATTATTTTTGTGACGCATTGTGTGTTAGTTTATTGTAATTGTTCCGTATGTTTAGTTGATTGATTTAGCGCTGTTACGCTAGGCTAAGATCAGACATGAGACATTGGGTAGCGCCACGTGTCTCGCTCGCTTTTGTTTGTCATGCAACTACACGGGGGTTGCTTCGAGCAGAGGTGTGATCCTCCGACAGACCAAAAACAAAAAAGTTCAACATCGCTTGTGTTATTTATTTATCTCATGTCGATTGATATCTTGGTTGACAGTTCAACAGCTGTAAACAAATCAATGCACTGACCATTATACAACCTTTTTTTAAATTCAGTCCTGGCAGCTACTGGAAACTGGCTGGCCCATCTCAAAAGCTCAGCTTATATTAGGCCTCGCGGCGTAGTAGGACTACATTTCCCATGATTCTAAGACACGAAAGCAGAAAGTAGTTCTAGTTCCAGTATGACAAAAACAAACGCCTGCAAGCGATTAGATGTTGGTGAGAGTGAGAACGCAATCATAAATGTGAAAATGAACAGGAAGGAATTTAAGTTACGGTTTACCTCTCGGTCCCACATCTCACATGGTGACATTGGAAATACGCAGCCAGAAACGCGCAGTTGACCGCGACATTAGGACGACCTTTGACCTGATTCTTAGACATAGGAGCAGGAAGTAGTCCTAGTTCCAGTATGACGAAATCATATAGATGCCAACTCGCGATTCGACCTGGATGAGAATGACATTGTGAACGGAATGGGAGGAAATTTGCATGAAAGATGAACTGAAAAGCTGACATCCGTCCAAACGTAGGGCACATTACATTGTAAGGCGCACTGGCGATTTTTGAGAAAATGAAAAGGATTTTAAGTGCGCCTTATGGTCCGAAAAATACAATACTCATGATATTTCCATGCCTAGTTTTTAATCTTGCTCATGAAGTCCCCACAACATTGTTAGTCCATACAAATGCATTTTAGTTCAGGCATTTGCGCTTGAAGACTTCGAGGAGTAAAATATCGAGCAGAATGTTATTACGAAACAAAATTAGCATACATACGTTTAGGTGTCAGTTTTACAAACAGCATTCATTGCCTTTTAGGTCCAATCACAACAACAGTTCAGCCATAACCGAGTTCCGAAATGAGATGTATTGCCCTGCAGAGCTCAGCTCTAAAAACTTGAGTGAAGTTTTGCACGTCCAAAATCAACATCATATACTGCATGAGCTATTCACAACAATGTATAAATGTCATCCATAAGCCATGGTATGTAATTTGCATTGGCTGTTTTACCTCATAGTATATACAGTGTGTATTATTGTAGTTATTTTATTGTATTTTTTTAGCAGTCCAACGGTATTATGAAGGTGAGAATGAAGAAACACGTAGGTGCGATAAGTGCAATAACCACTTCTAGGCCTCTAAAAGGCTTTGATTCGACATCTTCAATGTCAGTGTACTGATACCTGCCAACACTCCATTAAAGTCTGACAATGCCACACTCGTCCCATTTGTCATTTCCTTAAAATGCGTTTCTTCAGATGGTAACACCGAGATTATCTGTACCGGTAGTTGAAAGTTCGGGAATGGAGTCTGGATTGTGGTCATCGCCATGAATGACGTGTTTACAGCGACATAAACCACAGTCGGGACACACCCGTAGTTGCTCTACAGGTTTGTAAGCAGGAATTCAACACGGGAGCACTGAATAAACATCGAGGCCACGTCCCCACTTACGGCGGGGGCTTTATGGAGAGAAAATCTTTCTTTCGGAGCAGAAATTCCTCTAAGCCTGTGGTTTCCGGCTTGAAATACTTTTTCGTAAGCTTCCTGCTTTGCTGAGGTGGCCTCACAATACGGTTTGCGGGAGACCTTCATAAATCATTTGTTAATGATTGAGTACATTGGCAGCGCTTGGTGACATAATGGCACAAGGACAAAACACAGGCTCACTCTTTTATACTTGTCCATGATTCATCAGTAGTCTGCACATTTCCATCACAATGAAAGCTTATGTCAATTTGCAGGGTTTTTTTTTTTTTTTTTTAATTAAAGTGGTTGCTTAACTTTCTCTTTGACAACTTCCAGCACAGACTGACTCTTCTTTGTTTGGCAAACACCTGAAACAAAAACATCAAGATCTTAAAATAGGTTACATTTTTCTTATCACGCATTGGACATTTTCTAAGAATGAATGAAAAGTGACATCTTCGCGTCACTTATGTCGGTGGTGACTTGCCTTCGATAAGATCACGCATTGGACATTTTCTAAGAACGAAACGAATGAATGAAAAGTGACATCTTGGCGTCACTTATGTCGGTGGTGACTTGCCTTCGATAATAGCAAAGGATCAGCAGCATTCCGGCAACACCACCGAGCACAACAATGGCTGCCGTCACGACCGGTGCGGCGGATGGCGAGGAGACCTCTGCATCAATACACACACAAAGAGCAACAGTCACAAGAGAAACAAAACGCTAAACAATGTGCACACTGCAGCAGGTTTGGGGTACATGATATTCATTGTAAGGCTTTCCTTTGAAAAATTCTCGAATGAACCAACCTGAGCAAGAAAAGGAACCCGGCAGGTTGAGACACTCCATATTTTGGGGGCAAACAGAACTCTGTTCTTCACATTCATTCATGTCTAAAATGAAACATGACATGGACAATTTGCGTTTGATTAGTGTCGTTAGGACATTTGAGGCCGAAAGTATGATTTGACAACTTTCTATTGATTAAAAGTATGATTTGAATACCACGGCATGTTGGAGGCGGGGAGCTCCACTGCTGACTTTGTGCGTCACAGCTGATAGATGAAGAACCTTGTAGCTCAAAACCAGGTTGACACTCATACGTGACCGCCGAGTCGCAGAGCTGGGAGTAGCCAGACTGAATTCGGGGTATGGGTCCGCAATTTGGATCTTGGGGAGAAGTTACCACACAGTTGTAACAACATGATAGACAACCTGACCTCTTTGATCACGTTTCTAACCTGAGCGCGGTTCTTTCCAGGGGCTGAGGTCGAGGACGGGGATGAGTGGGCCGGAGCAAGGCAGCATGGCGTCAGGTTTCTCTGTGTGTGAGAAAGGGTCGTCCGGCACGTGGGTGATGTGACTGTTGTCACAAATGATTCGGGACAGAGAGATGGTATGGAGGCGTGTCCTCTGCGCGCTGGTGAACACTCCCTTTCTCTCCCACCAAAACCTTCACATCGGAAAGTTCTTGTGTTGAAAACAGTATTTGGTAGAGATCCGAGCAAAGATATATTACCTGTCACCGTCTCTCAGGGCTCTGAACTGTCTAGCCAGCAGGCAGGATAACAGGGGTCCTACTCGGCCTCCGGCTAGAGGTGGTTCAGAGATGGCCCCCACCCACACGTCGATGTTGTGCGGCGTGCCGTACAGTTGCTGGAATTTGTGCGCTAGGTTTGCATTACCCAAAATGTCTGCCAGCTTTGATGTTGTGTTGGGAACCGAAAGACCGCAGAACCTTCGCCATGCGCTGTATCCTGGTTGCGGATAAGGTTGAGGGAGGTCAGCAAAAGCTTGTGCGTGAGGTGCTTTTGGGTTTCAACGCTGCTACCTGGCAGGCCGTGGTCCCGGCCCCTCTGAAGGTTGAGGGCACCGAGGTCCAGAGGCATTCCACCGTGCGCCTGAAAAAGATGCTCTGTCAGCTCCTCCACCATCATCTGACCAGGAGTTTGGAGCTTGGCAGGAGACCGCAAGAGGCCACGCAGCACTGGGTCGATACCGCCTGATGGGACACCAGTTAAGGAGATACATCAAGGACGCCACACTTCACTTCCTCAACTTACCCTCCTGGACAACTCTCCACGAGGCGAACAAAGAATGATGCAGGGGCAGCGAAGGATGCTGGGAATTTGCGGCGTATCCGGGCCCGAGCCTGGTCACGGTCGGCTGCACGGTGACGTGAGCAAAACGAAAAGCGGCGGTGGCGAAGATGTTGGCGACACTGGGATCCACGTCAGGGTCGTAAGACTTGTAGGGAGGCATCTGCCTGGACATGGCCTTCTCCCCGAGGACTCGTGGTAAGTAGTGCTCCCACGTTAGGATCTAGAAAGCAACAAGACTCAAGTCATGGCAAAAAATGTTATCTATATATTAGAACTCACTGAGGTGTTGTGCTGTTTTTAGACCTATAGGGGGCAGTGTAGTCAGAATCGGTCAGCGTAACAGCAAACTACAGCTTGACAGCAGTGAGCGCAAAAAAATGGGCAACGGAGTTCTGAAGGAGAAAGTAGTCCAGAGATTTAGGAGCTTCAGGAGACAACGCAAATGAAAAAAGTTCAGGGTCTCAAAATAATGCACAAACATTGGACACAGTCAATATACAATCATTTGGAATCTCCTGAAAAAGAAAGACACTATTTGTGTACTGACCAACAGGCATCTAACAGGTCGGACAATTTGAATTTGCCAATATTTTTGGAGGAGACATGTGGCGAGGTGTTGTACCTGGTGGATGGCGCCAACGATCTTCCGGGCCTCCTGGTAGAGGGTGTTGGGACTCCAGTGCGGGTTGAGGTCATGTAGCTCTTTGACCAGACGGTTGTGTTCTCGCAGGAAGAGTGTGTGCAGGACCACCATGCCGAGATGCTCATTGGCTCTTGAATCACCTGTCAAACATGATTCATCAGTTCAAGTGGTAGGAAGTAACAATGCATGACAGATTTTTCCGATATTTGCACTTGAGTATTTGTTTTACTGAATACTTTTTTTTGTGGATGTGGTGAGGAACGAGCACCATGGAAGACACCTTCTGCCCTCTTGCCATCAATTCCCTAAACTCAAAATTCCATTGTGAGTGGCACTTTGCAAATGTTTGCCAATTTTGCAGATCCCTGTGCGACAGTATTACTGTATTGTAATGCAGCTTCAACCCCCTGCTTGTATTAAAATTCGATCAATATTGCACACCACTTGACACTTTGAAGGATTGTACTCAATAACTTTCTGCATCATTGCATATTTTAAGTTGTATCATACAAAACAGATTGAAAGCAGATTATCTGTACACCCTGCTCCTTGTTACTTTTTTTCAACTGCATCTAATGACAATTTCACATGACATAAAAAGAGAGACAAAGAGTGGGTGATGCCCACTATGGCCAACCCAAGCTGACTTTTGGCACGAAGCTTAGTACACCCTCCAATGGGCCGGACTGGATGTCGCTCACCCGCTTGGAAGCAGGATGTGGCGTTGCTCTGTGGTGTCGAGCCCTCTCTCGGGCCGCAGGGATCCAAGTGAGCTTGCTGGCGAGGCAAGAAGGGCAGGTAGGCCAGCTCCCCGTCCGAGTGCTGCGAGTTGCAAGCCATCGAGCCGAGAGGTGAGGAGTGGTCACGTAGCTCCAGAGCCTGGCTATCGGAGCTACCGTAAACCATACTGGCGTCTACAAAAGAGGTGATGGCGTTGAGCTGCTCACGGTGCAGAGGAGGCCCGACTCCGTCCACACAGCTCGGAGCGGAGCGGAAGAAAGGCATGCAACTCTGGATGCCATATCGAGGATCTGATGGTGGAATCTGAGAAAAAAAAGCGACAGAGGAATAATCAGAAAAGCTTTCGGTTGGACCGAAAAAGAAAAAAAAATGTAGCCTAAGCTTAACTCTTTCATGCACCCTGTAACCTGATAACATGATAAGCTGTCCACTGTAGTAACCGCTCTCCCTGAAAGGGTTAAGGTGAACCACCTCTATGGGGAAGCATGGTGAATCCTGGCTGCAGGTCTGGGTACAGTCCGCCCCGCTCCGGAAAGCCACCGTGCTGGGGCTCTGAGGGGTCAGGACCACGTCGTGGTCAATCCACTGGCCCCATTCGACCAGCAGGTGGGACAGAGTGGAGTCCGGGGAGATGTTGTCATTGTGAGTAAAGAGAACCTCCTGAGACACGAGTCGGACCTGCGCAGACCACCAAGGTGAGCGGTAAGAGAGGGCAAGCAAACCTGCTGTCAATAGGAGACAGTGGTGGCGGTGGGTTGCTCCACGGGTTTTACAGGTGGCAGGCTGAAGTTGTGGTAGGTGTGATGTGGATCCCAGCCTCTGGGTCTCCCCCATGTGTCTTCGTACTCTGGAGGCAACCAGCGAGAATAGGGAATGTTTGCAGAGCCCCGTCTGGGATGTTCTCTGAGCAAGAAGTAAAGCAACAAAATAAGACAGATTTCTCTATGGGGCCCGTTACATTTCAGCCTTACGAAATCTGCCCAGCAACAAGTGACAAAGCAAACTTGGAGTGACCAGAGGTGAGAATTCAGGCAGTTCTATTGATCAACATGTGTCTGCTTGCTAGAGCTCATTTTTCATTGTCGTTTGTGTTAACACAGCATACATCTCTGCCTTTGTGTTATTGTCTTATGCCGTTTTGTCACATTTTTTTTTATTTGATCGTTTTTAATGCACATGTTAAATTGTATTATAATTGACTTTCATTCCTATACAACACTGCTTCAGCTATGTGTGTTTTTCAAGCGATTATAATGAGTTCAGTGTGATTCATAGCAAGAGAAATGAAAAAAAAATGATGAAAAGCTGACCTGTTGTTACAGTGGCCTGTAATGGATCTGTAGCGTTCTGCCACGCAGCCTGTAGGACAGCTCGGTGTGCGCAGTTGAGCCAAACAGCCAGTGGCTTGTAGTAGATTGTCGACATCTGCTTCACTCAGAAGCTCTTGGGCGACAAGCAGTTATACTTATTTTTCAACACAGTTATTTTTTTTTACTCTTCTTTTTGTGGGGGGAGGAGGGGTTTGGTGTTGTTGGCAATGTTTACATTTTTTTCCATCACTTTTCATCGTTTTTATGATTATGATTTTTATCATCCATTTTTTTTTTCATTCTTTACTACAAAGAAAACGCAATGACTAATATGTAGCTGAAAACAACAAAACTAATTAATTGATTGCGGTTCTTGGTTAAGGATGAGGTCAGGTTCAGTTTAAAAACTTTTTAACATTTTTTTTAAGGACTACTCAGTTGTATTTAACTTGTACAGTGCAATACATTTTCACTGTGTCTTTAAAAGCGGTTTGTTAGGAAACATTCAAGTAAAAACTTGGTACCTTTATTGTGCAATACAATATAATGAGTCATTGAGTCCAGTTTTGGGTTTCCTACCTTTCTTTAAGGTTTAACTTTAATGTTGGTTGTTATGAGGGTACTTGCGGAAGTATGTTTTAAATTTGATATTTGCTTGAGAAACACTGAGCTGGTGGACCCCAAATTTCAATGTCAGCATAATTTCACCCATATTTTGTAGTTCTATAGATATCAAATCAAATTGCTTCCCTATTCAAAAGAGTCATGTATGGTGATGATGACGATTTGATGACGAAAGCACTGTCACTCAGGACACGACAAAAAGCACACTGTATCCCAATTCTGTCTCTAAAAATTGAAATCGAATTTCATTTTCACAGCTACGTACCAAATGAAGTTAAGAATGGTTTCTTTTGACCATTCACGTGTTCAAAAAAATTAGAAACGGCTCTGAGGTACACCACCGCACAGTCCAACCACAATAATAAACACGTCCATGAGCAGGCAGGTGTACCTAATGAAACGTCCGGCGAGTGTTTAGTTGCAAGTTTCTAACCGTGACGGCTGTTTTGCGTCAAATTGTGCGTGTCGACCATTTCTCGAATCAGCTCCACCGTGTTGTCTAGCAGCTCGGCGGCCCGAATGTGAGTCCTGCTTGTGCTTTGGGTCTTCTTGAAGTGAGCCAGCAGATCAGTCGGTCTCAGGGCACCTTCGGAAAGAGACTTCTTCACCCTAAAAATGTTGAAACCACTTAGAGTGTCTTTCTTTCGTTTGGGAGACGTGAACATGGTGTAAGATGTTGCGGACCTTTCACTTGTGCGAACGTAGGCGCCGTGGGTAAGCTCGGTGGCCCTTCGAAGAGCCTCCTCCACAAACACAGAGCCCACATTCACTGTTTAAGAAATCATTAAAAAAACATGACTAGTTGGGCCTCGTTGCTAGTAGAGCACAGTAGTTTACTGGTAAGGTTTAATTGCGTGCCTTTCACTTGACTAGACACTATAGTGGTGTAAAATAAAAGATCTGTACAACTAAGTAGTAACAGTCTTACGATATTTTTTTTTCTACTCCTGACTTCCACTCTGCATTTGTAGTGGAAAAAAACATTACTCGTAAATGTAAATGAGACAGCCGCGCTACCAGGATGCTGAATTGACTTACCTGGATGAAAATACAGCAACAGTACGGAATAATTACAAGTAAGAAAACAGAATTAAGAAAACAAAATTCTTTCATTGGAAAAATGGAGGGAAAAAATCCTTAGGCTTGTGTTCACGATTCCATTTTTAAATGCTTTCTAGTGTTGCTGTCCAGCTTTCAAATGGCACACAAAAACATTTCAAGTGGCATTAACTTAACATTGTTGCCTACCGTGCGGCCGCACATTACGCACATGCCAGAAACCATTACTGGCCGACATCTTGCAAATTTCTCCATTGTGAGACAAATAAAGGTTTTTCTTCGTCTTCTTCTAGTAGTAGAAAAAATTGAGGAAGACGGTTGTTCTGCCAGTGCGCTAATTTGTCTTACTGTACAAGTGCGTACTATCACATGGACTTTAGATGAATATCAGTGATATCAATTAGACGTTCAAACCGCTTTCCATAAGTAACAAGCTGAGGTCCTCACCTGAGGTGCTGTCAAATGACATCGTCTGCTGTGGGAGGGACACGAGCAGGATGATGGTCATCTACAAGGACGAGACTTTGAAAAGAAGAGACCTCGCACAAAACGATGAATTTCAACCAACTCACCCTGTGGAAAGTGTCCATCTTGATATGGTGTCAGTTAAACTCGGGCCGCCGGTACTGAACAGTATCTTACTGCTGTGCTGACTGAGGCTCATGGCCAGCGCCAGCAGGTGTGTGTGTATCAAATGGCCATTTATACACTAGCAGGTATGTGCAGAATCCCCTTATTAGTCACACTGGTGACAGGAAGGCAACATCAAACCTAAGGCATGCAGCGTACACCTCGCAATCCCTTTTTTTTTCTCCCCTCCCAATTCAATTTCTGATGAAAAGCATTCTGTCACCTTAGGATCATTTCAAATAGATGAAAGTGTGTGTCACTTGTGCTTCATGGGAGCTACATGAGGGGTGGGCACACTTTTATGCTTAAGGGCCACATTGGATTTGGGGAAACGGCCAAAGTCAGCTCTGAACAGGACAAAGTCTCTAGAAAATAACAATTGAACCCGGTGGGGCTTTGGGATACGTGTGCCTTGACTGAAAAGTTTTTCCAAGATATGAAGCTGTCGCTTGAACAATTTTGTGTGTTGTGATACCCAGTAACATTTAAAATACAAGCGCTTTCAAATCTCCGCCACTAGATGGCTCCAACAAACTTTAAAACGTCCATCGGTTACTTTGAAGTTAAGTTGATTTGCCAACAACCGATGGACACCACAGAAGAAGCACAAGAAATTAACGTTCAGTTACCGGTAGTCATGTCTTTTCATGGTTTGACGGTTGTGTGGAGAGGAAATACTTTTTTAATATACGGTTGAGCACAAATTTTGTTATGACAAAAAAAAAAAAAATGTATGAATGTATGTGTGTGTGGTCACGGTATTACATTTGTAGCTCAAGTTAATACTGTCAAAGATTATCTTCCTCAAAACTTGCTTTTTTTTAATGAATCAAAGATATTACTTGTTTTCTGTGTATTAATGGTGCTCTACAAATGAACTTGCTTGCCCTCATGTATATGTAAAATGTTTGTTTTAAGTGTTAACAAATCAATTAACCCATTATAGTATTGAGCCAAATATATCAGTAAAAACAAATATATTTTTTACAGTGCCTGCCCCTGAGCCACACCGTGTTTGTTTGCATTTTTGTTGAAATAAACTAAGACAATAATGCGTTAACTTTTTTTTTTTAATTCTAGCATTGTGCAAGTCCACAAAAAAAAAACCCACCCCACACATCAAAGTAGCTGATTGTTTCTGTGCCAGAGTTAGAGAAGGAAGAAGGAAGTCTGGCAAACTCAACGTAGGAATGAGATTGAAAAAGGTCAAAGTGACTCATCGTTATAATGTTACAAAACAAGAACATTCAAATGTGAATTCCCAATTTGTTCCTTTGATGCGGCAGCTGTGCGATACAATCTCAGGAGTCCGGTGTCATTAACTTGTTATTAACGTTGATCCACATTAGCTTCGTCTACTTGTGTGCCTTCAAATGTCACATCCAAAAATGCTCAATTAGTTTCAACGGTTCTAGTCATATTTTTTTAAAACTTTTTAGCCGTATTTGTTATTGTTGTTTCTATAGCTCATTTAAACATCCTGCCAAGATGCTAAAACTGTCATCCATCCATTTTCTAAAGCGCAAGCAGTCCTCTTTAGAGTTTGCTAATGTTAAAACGTAAAACACTTCGAAATTGCGATGGAACATGAGATAATGTATTTTTTTTAAATTTTTTATTTACATCGTAAATTACCGATGAAGGCACATGCAAAACAAACAGCCTTTAAAAATCTGTATTGCACCAACAGTACATTCAGTCGCAAACAAGAGAGTGCCCGTGCAAAATATGAGCAATTAACACACTGATGTTTTAAGGGTGAGTACCTTGATTAGTAGTAAAGCACATAAATTAATCCAAATCAATGTGAGGTAAACCCTGCGTAAGATGCTGGCATGCGCGTGGGTCAGGCATGTTGGGACCACAGGAAGCGATCGCAGCGCTCCAGCATCGTCTGAATGGTCGCCCTGAAACACAAGACACGATTGACTCGTCACATGGGAAACATCCACCAGAGGCAGCGATGCCTATTTCGCACTTTTAGCAACTTTTCAGACCACACTAGAAAGCCCCCATATCCCAAAAAAAGCACCTAGCAGCAAACTGAAGGTTTATAATTACCATAACATCAATGCTCATTTCTGTTAGCTCGTCGATGTACAAATGCACAGAGTTGTAATAATTTCTTTCAATCTTTCAGTTTGAGTATACTACATGCATACTATGATAACTTTTTTGCACATTATGCAAGCTCGACCGTCTCGAGGCCCGACTTACCGCTGCCGCTTCTCGGCCACCTTCAGCAGCTCGCACACCAGCTGCGAGTGAGGAGAAAGACTGAGCTGCACCCCGCACTCCTCCAGGACAGCCACGGCGCGCTCCGGCCCGACCGTACGGGCCAGGCGCAGGGTGACGGCCTCGGGGTTGATCTTTCTGCTGCAGTCTGCGGAGCCGTTGGACAAAGTGTCTCCGTTCACGTCTGACGTATGGCTGCCGTCCTGAGCCAACTGGATCAGGAGCTTCCACTCGGCCAAGTTTTGAGGCTCCACGCCTGGATGGAAAAACAGTCTTTGATAGTACACCTACTCTTATATTGACAAGCGCTAAATTGCTTTTCAGTGCGGCTACACCTCATAGCTTGAAATTCAATGAAGGGAGGTAGCCTGCTATGACAAAATGGCTCAGAGTGGCTTATTCTTGAACAGGCAGAGTCATCCATTTGAATGAGTGCATTGTGTACTGTAGTAGCTATACTTAAAGTTGACATTAGTAACCAAGCTGCATTACTCTCGGTGTCTGGCTGTGAAGAAAAAAGTAGTTGATTCATATCTGAATTGCTGAAATCAGTGGAAATGCCATTGATCTTTTTCACTACCCCCCCAAAAAAAACAAGAACATGTTTTGCATTATGTTTTTTTTTAAAGCAAAGTTGCACTCTATAATATTTACTGTTAGGAGGATAAAGAATATATGCCTGCAAGTACCAATACTGCCTGTGCGTTAAAGACCTGTCCCGCAGACGATAATTGTTAGCCCTCAAGATCTGGTTCTTAAATAAACATATCAACTGAAATAAATGCAGGAATCAAGATGTGGACTCCTGTCGACTCGGAAATCATTGACTCCAAAAAAATCCGACGGCGACGACTACTATGCTTTAATGGCTAATGCGGCGATGTGTAGAAATTGCGAGAGACCCTCCTATCACACCAGTGGTCTCGTTTAGAAACTGAAACGGCCAGTGCGGGGTGAAACGAGGAAAGTGAAACCCACCGTCCAGGTCCTCCAGCAGGCTTATATCATCCAACTGACAGATTGTTTGGAAAGCTTCGGGGCGGCGTTGTAGCTCACAACAGAGATGGAGATAACCTGTCCAGTAACTGTACACACACACAAACATATTGCAGAGATGACATGCATTCATGTAAATCACAGAATAAATTCATTTCAATTTCAGAAGCCAAAAATTATATTGCTCCATTTTCTGCTGTGTTTTTGTTCAAGTCCAATTTGTGAACATCATCACAATGATGATGCTCAAATAAACACTTTAAACAAGTCAGTTGACTACAGACTTCTTGTTTTGGTGTGGGAGAAGTGAGATGGAAGTACAGGTACCCGTGAGCGCGGCAGGTTTCTGCCATCTTCTGCTTGGACGAAAAGTCTGCGGGAAGTTGGATCAGCAGAGCGAGGAGGCGCCCGTAACCCCAACTGAAACAGTGAGAATTCCACCTGCAACAGAGGTTGTGATTTCACATGGATGTGAGTTTTAGTTGTTGAAGATACAATCATTTCACGAGAACAAGACAACATTCAGAATTCAGTCTTTACAAAAGACAAATTTACACAAACTCTTTGAAATTGGATTTGACGGCAGTGAGACTTTTTTTTTTTTTCCAAATTGCAGCTTTCTCGATTTGAAAATTGCATTCTACTATCCATGGCGATTTGAATTTAATCAACTGTTTGGCGGCAGCCCTAATTTCCACATTGTTCTCCCCACGTGACGAGCAGACCTGGGCTGTCCCTCGGGTGTCATCGTGTCGCGTTGCTGAGGCGCGTCGTGGCTAAGTGCCAGCTCAAACCACTCCTGCCGCAGTGATTCCGGTTCAAGAAGAGATTGCAGGAATGACAACCTAAGGGAGAATTTAACAAAGCGTCGCCACACTTGGATTGTTTTTCTTTCAGGAAAAAGTGTCAAGCTGCGAGTGTACCTCTGTTCTTCAGGTTGCGACAGGACCAGGTTATCCAGGTAGGCCAGGAAGTGGCTTTTGTGAGCCATCCGCATCACATCTGCAGGGGTGACGGTGGGATAGAACGGGGCAAAGCAGCGCACGGCCGCTTCACCGTGCTTGTCATACAACCTACGTATGGACATATTCTCTTATGTACTCGACGGAACTTGCACAAAGGCGAGAACCCCGATAGTGACTGACCTGTGTAAGTGAGCGATCAGAACGGGAGGACTCCAGGGCTGCAGTTCTCGCAGATAGCGTAGTGATCTCTGTAAATCTCCTCTGTGAATGATTTCCACCACTTTACTGGACTGTGTCACACCTATGGAGAAAGAACTTTTTTGGCCCAACCTTTCTTACACACAGTTATAGAAATTCTGTTGAATAAAAAGTGTTTAACTTTCTGCCATACAGTTTAAAAAGGTTTGAACAGAACGCAAATTGTACACTGTACTACAAAGCAAGCTCTCTGCTCAGCAACATTTAGACAAGTTGGGGTGCTACACCCTGTAAAAAGTCAGACCTTCAAAATAAAAGCATGGCAGTGTAATAGTTTCAACCACATTTTCTTTGGCCTTTGTTGCCTGACAGGGTCCTACGTTATGCCTTTTTGAGTGGCACAATGAGCTATGCTGTGGTGACCCTGCCAGAACTGGCAATGGTTCGGTATATTCCTAATATATTTGTTTCAATGACTATTTCACATTTAGTCTCATTATGCTGTTTTAAGCTTTTAAAGAAAATATTACTTCTGTATAGTCACTTTTTTTTCAGTATATCTAACAACATATTTAACATTTGAAATTTTCTGGGCTTTACATCTTGCTCACGCCATTCCTTATGGAAGGCCCTGACACATAACAAAATGTGTACATTGTGGTAATAAGATCAATAATGAGCGATCAATTCAAGTAGCTAAAACTCAAAATATTGTAATATTTAATATTTTAAAAAAGCAAGAACATGTTGATTTAACCATATTTACACTTGAAATTTGTAGTGGCCCAGTCGAGCCAACATCAGTGAACCTTGGTTGGCCCGATACAATCACGTCGTGGCCACGGGGCACCAGGTCACTGATAATGTGCAGTAGAACCCTGCTTTGAAGTCAAACGGAAACTATTGTGTGCCTGTTTATTAAGTGTGACTGCTAAATAAGTCATGTGGCCAAAGAAAGCGTGGCTGAAACTCTAACTGTAATGGGTACTTTTATTCTGAAGGTCTGACTTTTGACAGGATGTGTTACATCACTGTTGCCCAAGTGTTACCAAGCAGGAGTTGTTGTCTTGATTTGTTAATAAAAGCTCACACTGTGAAAAGCTTTCTACAAAACTTCCGAAACGCTTCTGATGAATGCCCATAGATTCTAGGAAATGAGTGGCTGAGCCATGCGATTTGTCAGTTTTTGGGAGGTGAAAACCGAGCATCTAAAATGTCACTTTACTGTAACTTTTTGTGAGGCTACTGATGCAAATGTAGTAATGAGTGACAAAAACAAGGGATTTCTGACCTAACATGGCCTCGATGAAGGAGCTCTGCACGTCCTGCTGCTCCTGGCGGCATAGCAGACACATGCGTCTAATGCGTTCTTGGTCCAGCAAGAAGAAGTAACGTCGCAGGAACGTCCCGCAGCTCAGTTCCTGGCCTTTTGTCTCCTTGCTGAAGCAGCTCAGCTCTGCATAAAGCGTGGCCAGCTGCGTGAGATTAACCAGAAGATCGGAGGGCAGCGCTATGGGGGACACCAATCGCAAAGCTTCTTCAGATGCCACCGTTCCATTTTCTGAGGCCAGCTGACGGTTGCGCTCCGCCTCTGGAGGCATCTCGGTGTTCTCCTGTAGTGAGCTCTCTGTCGGTTCTTCTGTCGACTCTTCTGGTGTGTGTGAAGATGTGTTTGAAAGCGGTTCCGTGTCTTCATCCGTGTCTGAAGGCTGAGCCGGCCTGAGGATTCGCTCCAGCGCCTTGAGCCACTCTTGGAGAGTTTCTTCCAGGAAATGTGGATCCAGTAGAACCAAGGGATCTTGGATCTGGAAACTGATGTCAGAACAAGTTTCATACTCTGTTCATATCAAAGTAAGCTAGGGACCCGCATGATAAATAAATCTACTGAGTTGTGATTATTATCATTAATATTATTATTAAGGGGAACGCAAAGTAAACATTTGCTTGCAATATGTTCTATTGGCCCGATTAAGATTGCGTTTGTGGAATAAGAACTAAGTAGATGAATCTCTCCGTCCGTTTTCACCTATCTCAAGGGGCTGGCATTTTGGCCTGTGCTGAAATTGGTGTGAAACCGCCCTCAGGCTTGAATTGCGAATGGCACAGCTCACCTTTTATCTGGGTTTGGTCTCGTAATGTTCGCAAAGTGAGCCTGAGGACAATCTCAAATCAGTTTCAGCCAACAGCACAGGCCAAAAATCTTGGAAGAAAATGGATGGATTCATCTGCTTAATTGCTATTCAACAACTGTAATATTAATCGAAATACCATGTTTATACTAGTGGGCGCGCATAACATATCACTGACGAAAAAGATATCAACAAGAGCAAAAAGCAATTTTTTTTTTTTAACTTGAGTTTTCCTTTAAGAATGTTGCTATGACAACAAAGTCAGACGCAACTAGTTCCTATTCAACAACTGTAATATTAATCGAAATAACATGTTTATACTAGTGGGCGCGCAAAACACATCATTGACGAAAAAGATATCAACAAGAGCAAAAAGCAAATTTTTTTTTTTTAACTTTAAGTTCTCCTTTAAGCATGTTGCTATGACAACAAAGTCAGACGCAACTAGTTTGCTGCCCAGAGGGATTTCAAAGAACTTAAAGTAGGAATCAGGAAACTGTTCCAAGGACATTTATGAATTTGATCAAGGTATCATGGATTCCATGAACAGATAGGAATCTATAAAAGGCACAATAAGTGGCTGCAATACAATACAATAGATTCTAATTTATATAGCGCTTTCACAACAGCTGCAACTATCACAAAGCGCTTAACAAAACAGTTGACATCAAATCAATAATAAAAACACGGACAGTCGTGCAATCTTAACCACTTTTCCCCTCATACGCTTTGTTGTTTGCAAAGACATTGAAAGTAAGAAGTGGAAGTTAAATGACAATGTGCGGTGCCCACAACATGCAAATGCTAATGCTAAATCAAAGAGAGAACTACAAGAGGAGTTTAACCATTAACGGCCTGACAGCTTTCTTTTTAAAATAATCGTTAATAAACAAGGTATTTGATATTTTATTTCTGTGAGTATTTGTGGCCTATATTCAAGATATTTTTTTTTCTGGAAAATTTGCACAAATCTTTTCTGCCATCAAAAAAAAAGAGATTTCAAAGAACTTAAAGTAGGAATCAAGAAACTGTTCCAAGGACATTTATGAATTTGATCAAGTTATCATGGATTCCATGAACAGCTAGGAATCTATAAAAGGTACAATAAGTGGCTGCAATACAATACAATAGATCCTAATTTATATACAGCTGCAACTGTCACAAAGCGCTTAACAAAACAGTTGACATCAAGTCAAATAATAAAAACAACACAGATAACATAAAAACACGGACAGTCGTGCAATCTTAACGTATCATGGATTCCATGAACAGATAGGAATCTATAAAAGGCACAATAAGTGGCTGCAATACAATACAATAGATTCTAATTTATATAGCGCTTTCACAACAGCTGCAACTATCACAAAGCGCTTAACAAAACAGTTGACATCAAATCAATAATAAAAACACGGACAGTCGTGCAATCTTAACCACTTTTCCCCTCATACGCTTTGTTGTTTGCAAAGACATTGAAAGTAAGAAGTGGAAGTTAAATGACAATGTGCGGTGCCCACAACATGCAAATGCTAATGCTAAATCAAAGAGAGAACTACAAGAGGAGTTTAACCATTAACGGCCTGACAGCTTTCTTTTTAAAATAATCGTTAATAAACAAGGTATTTGATATTTTATTTCTGTGATTATTTGTGGCCTATATTCAAGATATTTTTTTTTCTGGAAAATTTGCACAAATCTTTTCTGCCATCAAAAAAAAAAAAATCTTTCAACTAAAATAGTTCCTTTGACCTCAACAAATTTTCTGTACTTACATGGCATGCTCAGTGGCCGACTGAAGCTCTAGCAGTTCAGACTCTGTGTTAGGCATGTCTGGATAAACCCTGAGGCGAGTTCACAGTCACCGGTTTAATCATATCACCAACATCTAATCAATGTAGAACTGCATCTTGGCGTACTCACTCAATATCTGCGTCTTCCAAGAACGGAGCAGAGGTGGCAGACATCTCGGCGTGAATGCCTTCTCTCAAGTCAGGTCGCTGCCAGAGCTCAGAGTTCATCTGGAGCGTATTGATCTTCTCGGTCGTCTTCTTGACGAAACTAGAAACACTGAGAGTGGGAGAGGAGGGACGGGAGGGAGAGCGTTGATGAGTTTCTCCACTTAATAGAGTAGCCAACTTGCAGGATTGGTCGGCAAATGAGCGTGATGCCTGGCAATGAAACATGTCAGCAAACTCATGAAGAGCGTGAAAATAAAACTGATGTGGGTTGAAATCTTCACTGGAAAGGGGAAGTTAAAAGCCACCGCTACACCTCAGTGAGTCGTTTCAGCTCAGTTTCAGTTCATTGTTTGAGTAAAACCCCATCATAATCTCATCCACATCCCAAGGTTATTATAATGAACAAAAACAAACAAAACAACTAAAACAAAAATATGAAATAAAAGTGTTTTGGAAAAAATAATACATGTTACAAAATTAACAATAACTATAGTGAAAATGTTCTGAGTTTATTGGGAAGCACAGATAGTAGATTTTAAAAGAGCTAGTTACCGTATTGGCCGAATATAAGACGGCCCTGACTAGAAGATGACCCCCTCTTTTTCAAGACTCAAATTAATTTTTATACAGAAAATAATTACAGTACATCTGAAACAAATTATTATAATATATTTGAGAGAAAAAGCGTGTTATTTTGCCTCATTCAAACCTTAATATCTGAACATTTAAATATGTAAACTAAAGTGTAATCACATTTGTAAAAGAATGGCTTCTGGTTTTTCAAATGTAAATTAAATCATAACTTCTCCTCAGCTGCCGGTTAACCTGGCCGATATTTGACCCACTTTTCTCCAGATTGTTGCTACGTTTCTCCATTTTCTGTTATCTCTTCTTTTATTTTCTTCTCTTTTCTTTCTTACCGCTATTTTTTTATATTTCTTCTTCGTGCAACCGCTATTTTTATTTTTATTGTTCGTGACAGGGGTTCACTTTGGCCTGGGGAGTCAAGTTCAGCATTCGCTTCAATTATATCTGGCGCCATCTAGTGTCGCGAATGGGTATAATGTCTAGACCCCGAATATAAGACGACTCCCACTTTTTCAGTTAAATTTCAATGCAAAAAACACCGTTTTATATTCAGGCCAATACGGTACATCGGTCAGCTGATTAATCGGTTAGGCCTTGATATGTACCAACAAACGTGCTCTAAAAACCAATAAAAAATTCACCGAATTTTGAACCCCTCCCCTAAAAAAGCCAAAGCCCCCTCCCAAAACTATAATGAAAAGTCCCAAACTATTCGGACCCGGCTGCATCCACATCTCAGAAAGACACTGCAGCTGTTGTGACACTTTGTGTCTACTACTACTGCTGCTACGACTGTTCACCTGTCTTTGACGGCCTGCAGTGCAATGCGGGGGGGTTTGGTGCGGAATGAGATGGGCAGATGGAATTGCAGGCCTTGTTCGGATCGCTCTGCTTCCGCCCGCTCGCCGCTCTGCGCATCTGAATGAATATCGGGGCGAGAGCCAGAGGAGAAACACAAAGATGGATGGAGCACTGGTGGCGTACGATGAGAGAGTGGAGACCGCATGCATGTCGCCGCAGGACGAGGAGGATGAGGAGAGGTAAATGCCGTGCAATACAAATAAAACTGAACGTGGGTGGCGATGCGTGTGTGGCATACAATGACACAGAGAAGAGCAGTCTTATTAGAAATATGGTCAAGACATGGCTGGATTATTAGATTCACTCTTCACATGTATGAATTTCCAGTATTTCAATGTCAAATAAGAGGTGCCTTGAGAGAAATGGGTCTGCGTTCGCACCCCTCCCCTCACAGAAAAAATTAAAATAAATAAAATAATCATCCGAAGAACAGCTCATAAGTCCAGTGACTCGTTTTTCAAGGCACCCCTGTTTAATCAATTTAACAAGTCCTGAAACAATTCCATCAATATAAGAAGTGCACGATGGCCTTTTACTTTCAAAGCAGGCGTCTCAAGTGTCTCTTACCGTGGTCCACTTGATCTTCTTCCTGCGCAAAGCTGAACTCTTTGAGCCGCTCCTCTTCCGAAGCGGACTGATTCATGAGGGAGCTCGTCTCTTCATCAGACCGGCTCCCTCGGCGACTGATCACTCGGTAGATACCGCAGTCCAGGACATTGAAGCTTTCCTGGATTTTTAGAAGAAGTGATAAGGTCATGTCGCGCAGGACCAGGATATGATTTCGCACGTGGAACACTGTTCACAGATTTATTTGGGACAAGTTTATCTTTTGCTGGCACAGTGAACGAGTGGTTAGCACATCCAACTCACAGTTCCAAGGGTGAGTTTTGAAGAATTTTAATAAGTGAATATTTTTTTTAATTAAATGTAAATTATAAAGTAAAAATGTGAATGAGTCATTGTTATATTACAAATGCACTATTTATTTATTTATTGTTTTTAACCTCATCAATGAATGACCTGCATCCGGTTTTTGAAATCAAATTGCAAATATTTGCGCATCCCGAGGATGCATCAACGTCAACTTCTAGGAAACGTGATTTTCACATACATGAGATGAGATGCTGCTTCTGCGGCTGCTGCAGGCCGAGTCCAGGGGCTCCAGCTTGGCAATCACCTCATCTAGCTGCCCAATCAACTCGGGGTGAGTGCTGGAACTGAGCTGGGATCGAAGGTGTTCCAAGCGCTCGATGGGAATTGATTTTCTGGCCTGAATTAGACAAAAATAAGGCAGAAAGCACAAATAACAGACATGCATTTTTTTTGACTGAAACTTTTTTTCAAACATCTGCCCTCTATGCAGTTCAGTTTTGAATTTTTCATCATAGTTAGCTTTTAGTTAATTTTAATGTTTCAAATTTAGTTGTAATGATTTTTTTTTTTAAACAAACTTTGTTTCATTATTTTGAGTGCAAGATAAAAAAAAAAAAAGTATTGCTTATCACAGCAAACTACGATTTAAAATCAATTCCAAAAGTTCATCAAATTGACTAAGATGGAAGAAAGGACATTTTTGCGATAGTGTTATTAACGTAAAATATAGCTTCAGTTCGCTGTAGTTTTTATTTTACGTCATTTGCAATTTTTTTTTTCAATTTCAGTTGTACTTATTTCGTTTTGTTATAATATCCTTGCCTCTATGATAAGAGGGTATTCCCAAAAAGTGAACAGAATTTCGTAGCCTAGTGACATTTTGCTTTTTTTCTTCTTCAATTTTTGTGTGGATTTTACCTTGTCAATTTTTTTTCACGGGGAAAATGACATTCCCTGCCAATGAAAAGGCATTGCGTGTTTCCAGATTACGTCTGTTTCACTTCATGTACCTAAAACATGTAGTGAATCAGATATCCAACACGGCATCAACAAAATAATGTCAAATGTTTTGAACCACCTTGAATTTTAAAAGACACACAGAAAAACCATGTTGGACACGAGCCACCATACCCGACTGATGCTGATGGTATGCTGGAACATACAGCAGACCGAAGCCGCCAGAGGCCAGGACTCGCGTCGCAGAAGGCGTTCAACACAGCGTTCTACGGACAACAGGGAGAGGTGGGACAGACGGCCGCCGCCATGGAGGCAGAAGAGCTCACTGCGGTAGACTGCGATGTCGAGCACATCTGCAACACCCCAAAAAAAAAAGAGTGCTGACTACCTAAATTAGGGTTAATTTTCACACAGCGTTGAGTATTAAGTGTACCTTTGAGCTCTGTCCATAGAAGAACATGGCCATTGTGAGGTGTAAAGATATAAATAGCTGAATCAGTCCAGGTAAGCAAGTTTTGGTCTCTGTTATTTAAAAAAAAAAAAGGTACAATTAGTCAACTGATATTCCATTACATGTTGAGAAAATGTGGGATTTTGATTTCACATTGTGGGTATCAATTTCATTTTCTTTATTTTTAAAAAGGGACAAAGTATATGAATCAACATTTCTTACAAAAAGTAAATTTGCTCAAATTAGCTAAAAGCTAGTTTTCATCGGTCGTCCCTTTCCCTGATGTGAATAGGCACTTCACTACAAATACAGAAGCTGTCAAAACATTTAAGTGTGTGACTCATACCCAAAATATAGTAGCTTTGGGAAGGCAATTGATTGGGGGCTCTTCTGGCTTGGATTGTATTGTGGCTCGTTTCTGGAAGAGACAGTGGGTTTTAAACACCAGTTTTATATCACTCAGAGAATTGTTTTAAGCAAGTTAGCGGTCACTGTATCGCTAAGACCTGGAGGTTATTACCTGTATGTGATAAGAGGTAAAGGAGGGCAGTTGAGCACCTGTTTGAACTGCTGTGTGCTTAAAACATCGCCATTAAAACTGGCTTCCCATATCCGGGACCCCGGCCGGGCGCAGTAGAGCAGCGGGGGTTGACCCGCCATCAATCCCTTGTTCTGAGGGAAAAAACAAGCTCCATATTCCCCATCACGCTCCCTGTTCCCCACACGCCAAAACTTCTCCCTGGCGACAGAATATAAAAGCATGAAGAAAGATGACTTGATTGGAAAAAAACCCCACCCACAATTAGATGATGAAAAAAAAAGAAATTGGGCATTTGAGAAGTATGTGTCAAACTGGTAGCCCTTTGCATTAATCACGAGTGAAGATGTCGACATCAGTAACGAAAAAAGTTGTTGACCTCTACTCAAAGCCATCACGATCCAACTCACTTTTCTGTGTCACAGAGGTAACAGCGGCTCAGAGAAGACACAAGCAGCCGACTGTCCTGGTACCCAAGCTGAACCACTTTGGAGTCAACAGTGGTGACTGTCTGAACAGGAAACATAACGAATCCTGAACCCTGCACAACAAACGACGACAAAAACATGTTATGCTTAAATAATCATCAATAAATACTGTAAAATTACAACAAAATCGAGTTAAAGGTGTTACAAAATTGTACTACTGTACTACTAATACTGCAGCGTGCCACAACGACTCCCGGTCCCGTGGTTGATTCGATTTCAGGCCGCACAAAGAAATTGGAAAAAATATATATTTTATTTTGAAAATAATGTGCCTCTGTACATACAAACCAATTAGCCTAGCCTTGTGATACATTAGGTTAAAAAAAAAAAAAAAAGTAAGCAATTTCCGAAGAAATTTGTGTTTTAAAAAGTCTTTGGAAAGAAAGAAAGGCCAATGAAGGGAAAGACAAAGAGGAAAAGCCTACAACTTCCCAAAAAAGAAAACAACAAGCAAACAAAATGGCGTCAGTAGTCCTACTTGAAATACACTTACTTTTAAGTGTTTAAGTGAGTACAGTATTAATATACATACGTTAAATTTGGCAAACTAAGGTGTTATTTGTACATGCGTACTTTTCACTGTCAAGATATTTTACTAACCAGAACTGCTGATTTAAACAATGCTGAATGAAGGGATCAAAAAGAAATTAAGGCAAAACACTTTGTTGGGAGTACCTTTCCCATCTTAGAGGATGCTGCCCGGAGAGAAGACACCTTCCCTGTCGTGTCTCCGATAAAAACCTTGAGCGCGTTGGTGTCCCAACAGAGCGCGGTGATGTTCTGGCCCCTGTGCTCCCAGGACACACTCACTCTCTCTGGACGTCCACGGCGCTCTAGCTGCAGCTCCCACACAACCACCAGACCCTGACTGGACCACACATTGTCAATCATAAAGAGACGACGAAGTGTAAAATACACTTTGTGGACAACTTTTACCTTGTTGCAACAGCAATAAAGTCTTCATCATGTGGACAGCACGACACCTGAGTAATAGATCCTTCCTGACAGGCAGGCCATGTCAAATAATCAGGAATTATTTTTATGAATTCATGATGTGCGGCAATACCCGGTGAGGTATCTCTTAATATTGTGTCACATACTACCTTGTGAGTAAGTATAAGCCTTTGTTTCCAGCCCTCCCTCTGAATCAGGTGCAACCCTCCAGCTGACGTTCCTAACGCTAGCCACTTCCTCGAAACAGCCAAACATGTACACTGAAAGACAATACGAAGGAAATACAGAGTCATACCGGTGCAAATTCTTAGGCCTCATTCGATTTGACTTATAAAAGTTGATGGAGAAACGGTTATGAATAAATCCGCTTCAAAACATCAAAAAGCAGCAGGATGTACACTGCTACCTGCCTGAATTTGGCTGGGATAAGCTACAACCATCCCACTACTTTAATAAGGACTATAAGGACTAGATTTAGCCATTGTAGGCATTAGTCACATTTTTTGCAGGTTTGGGTTGGGGGAAGGGGGGTGCTTGACTTCTGATCCGAATGATATACAGCGTGGAGATTTATTGTTTTTGTTTTTCTCAAAATGTGATCAGTTAACACTTCAATATGGAGCTTGTCAAAACAGTAAAACAGTAAATGTGATTATATCTACCTTGAGTCTGCTAGAGTCTAAGCGTAGAGTGGAGAGGAGAGGGTCGAGGCAGTCGAATTCTGCCAGGACATGACTGTGGACATCTGGTACGACTGCTATCCGAGGCATCTTCTCTCACGGTTGTCCACAACTGGAAAAGAGCAAGACAGAGAGTTTCTACTAGTCACGTTTGTGCTTGGTCACGTACACTGTGGAATCATATGACTCTCAGCAGGGTTTTTAAGCCCCTCAAATTGGTCAGCCATGACTCTGGTTATAAAGTATTAGCCCACACAGTCGCCGTGACACAGCTGGATTTTAAACAGGAAACTGTAGACAGTACAAATTTTAAGCTTAAACACAAAATTTACAAAACGTAAGTAAAAGGTAAAAGCTCTATATTTAGAAGTAGTCGTTGAAAAAGTGAAAAGTAGTAGCATCTTTGACTTTTTCTTTTATTTGCTGGCACTACTGTAAGTGGGTGAATACAGTATCTTGGATCTTAGTATTATTTCTGACCTAAAAACCAAAGGCTGATCATCAATATTTATAATTCAGAACCCAACTTTGCTCTGGAACAAATGACTAAGTTATCCTGGATTCCCTTAGGCGGCTTATTGAACCTGGCTTTTAAAAGTAGAATGGCTGACTCATATTAAAAATTAAAAAAAGAGCAGAAAGTATTTGCCAACCTGATTATCCGTGATTTGGGGTTTGGATATCAACTTGTGCCTTACACGCACTGGTGGAGAAACCCTTACTAAGGCCTAAGACCTTAATCAGTAAAAAATAGCACGCAAAATCCTGTTTTGCATATAGGAAGAGTACTAATAAATGGGATTAGTTACAGGCATCTTAATTGGGACTACAGTAAATGCAACCAAAACAGGAAGAACAGTTGAGTTACACAATGATATTGATAAATTTGTGGTCATAACATGGTCAAAAGAGAATGTCACAGCAGCGGATTGTGGTGTAGGAAATGTTCTGTTCAAGAGGTATCAATAACGTTTATTAGCATAGGTTGGGAACCAATGTCTAGGAGGGGAACGAACCATCGTAAATTAAGCAACCCCTAGAAGGCATGTGTCACGTGACTGACCTCACCAGGAAGTACTGTACGGAAAAATGTAAACTCTGTAATCGAAAGTGACGTCATACAATGGAGCTGTCGAGTTACCTCGATAAATACTAACGGTTGACGAATTCTCACATGACAAACATATTAGATTCGATTTCATCGGAACGCAGTGTTTCATTCGTTTACGTGGTATAGCGGCGCTCTCGCAAACCACCTCAAGGGGCGAGTCGGTCACGAGACCACAAACACACACGTCTGCTGACCCTGGAAATTAAACGCTCGTTTTCTAAACGACAGCTTGATATATATTCACTGTACTTTAAAAAAATATTGAAAATATAGCTGGATTCTTTTACATGCCCTCACTGTTTTTTTTTCTTTCTTTGAGAACGATAGCAAGCATGCTAGCTGTTTTGGTCAAGTCGTCGTTCAATTAAAAAAATGATGACATGCCGAGTGTGAGCACAAAGATGCGTTGACAGCTTTTTGTCCGCCGCGCATCTTTAGGTAGCTCCGCTTTTTCGAGAAAATCACTCACGTTACCGCGGGAGCTGCAGCCGAGTGGCCAGCCTCCATCAGCTGGCGAAGAGGCGACTTCCTGAAAGCGTGCTGACTACTGGGCATGTTTTGCATCTTAAGTGGATGGGCGACACGCCTCATGAAGAATCCGCAAATTGAGAGAAAAAGCCAACTCTCGTAAGATGACGTTTATTTCTCTCCCTGAAATGAAGGCATGAATCCAAATCACCGGGCTACAGCTACCAACAAAAACGCGTTACCTCTTTCATCTAGAGTAACATTTGATATATACAGTACAGTGCAGACAGTGCGAACCGTGTCTCACACACACCCAGCACTCTCCAGTGTGAGGTGGCATTAGAATATTGCTAAATTCACTAATTCTGGAACACATTTCCATTCTTTGCCCTGTTCCTGGAGGGGTTTCTCCACACTGATGAAACATTGGCAGTCCTCTGCCTGTCATCCTCAGAGCCGACATGATTTCCATAAGAAATGTGGTCATACAGTACTGTACCATTATAAAAGTCCCAATACTGAAGCCAATCTCTCATCCGTAGAAAGAAAACAAAGAGTAAGAAACAAGTTTTTGTGACTAAAATGCCGTTTGCCTCTCAAACGTTAACTGATGCGGCATCAGCAGCAGCATCCGTCGATGTCTTCATCACGAGCCTGCCGTGAAGCCACCTGGCTGCGATTTGTAGTCTCAGCAGGCGCCGAAGGCCTCCACGGGACATCTTTGCCCACTTTGTCTTCATTATCTTTCGACAATGATGCATCCGGCCTCAGGTTTTCCTCATCATGCGACGTGTTTGCCAGACGTGGAATTTGCTGTATGCAGTCTGTAGCATTTGCTCTAAGTGTGCTGTGAGCTGCAGGGGAGTCAATGAAACAAGATTAATCAAGGAATGTATTCGCTAATTACAGTACTGTTTTAATGTCATTGTAAGATTCTGACTCTATATCTGAGAACTATTCAGTCATCAATGGATAAATCGAATGTGAAGTCTCAACACTGCCTGGAACTACTCAAATATTTGCAGAGGTTGTTTGTAAAGATGCTATTCGTTTGGTTGTGAAAACAAGTGACAATCAGTGGTGGGAAGTAACAAAGTACATCTACTTTGTTCATGTACTTTAGCAGATTTTTGAAGTAAAAGTACTTTACTTGATTATTTATTTTTACAGACAACTATTTTCTTGTACTCCCTACAGTGAAAACAGTTCTCTGTACTTTCTATTCCTTAATTTGCCAAAATAGATGCACTCCTCTTTCCAACTTCTGCATGATGTAAAAAATATATACATATATAAATATTACCTGGAATAAATATAGACGCAGTGCCATCGAGGAATGTCAACCAAGGAGCGTGAACAACAACAGGATCGTAGAAGCTAAATTTTCCCATTCTTGGCTTTCAGTGAATTGTTTGATATTGTCAGCTACAGATATGGTTTGTGGCGAGCTTCCAGAGTTACAAAGCTATGGGAACCCTTATTCAGCCAACAGCTCGTACAAACAATACACATCATGTCACCTGATTATTTTTGCCCATCTCAAAATCAGCACAACGTGAGTTAATAAAAGAGGAAAATGATTTTATGTGCAGAGGTTTTATGTTATGTTGTGCCAACGTATCGAAATGCATATTTGTATGTAATTGACAGAAAAAAAAAAACCAAATCAATCTTTTACATTTAGCCATCTACTTCCACATAAGTACAGACTGTAGGTACATCAGGTGAAAAAGATACTTACGTTTTTATTTAGGTACTGACGTTGAATCTTCTCTTGAAAAGGACAAAGCTTCGTCGTCTGAAATCTCTCGAGGGTGGACTTCATTTTAATCAACTGTAGAAAGCAATGAGACATACAGGGATCAAAGTCAGGGGTCACCAACATGGTGCCCCTCGGGCACCAAGTAGCCTGGTCTTAAAAAAAAACCCCAACAAACCTCACCGGTGATGGGGCATTGTGATTTTCTAGGAATGTTGTAGTCGTGATTATTTGAAAATGTAAACACTGGCAGAAAATTTTAGAAAACAGTGTTGTGTTTGAATACTTGTTTCCTAATTATTGGGAGTATTCATTAAGATGATCAATTGCTTCAGATCAATGAATATCATTAATCATTAATTATTCATAACAGTATGAAAGGTTATTTCATCCAAGTTACTTTCAAAAGTGTCAATCCAGGCAAACCAACTGGTCTGGAATGTTAATTAATGCCCACATACCGCTGTGTAAAATCAGCAGAAATGAAAAAGGTTGGGACACCATGTGATTTACAGTCATGTTTTTACACAATGAGTCACCTTCTCTTCCAAAAATGGTGTGTTGACGGGAAAACAGGACCAGAAGTGTCTCAACAACTCCCCAGCAGCTGTATAAAGATGCTTCAGTTCCCCTTGAATGTCAGACGGTACCATCTCTGCGAATATTGCAAATGGAAAGAAAGGCAAACAACTAAAATCAATTTGGGAGGGGTCAGAGGGGGGGGGCAGGATGTTCTATCAGAGGAAGTGGAATGTTTTCCACTGAGATTCTGCAACTGCAAAATGCCGTACGATTTATGGCTTGCTGCGATCCCGTCTGCATGAGGAGGCCGCCGGGAGAAAGTGCTGCAATGGCGGACGTTGCTGCTGCGCTGGTCAAAACCTGCAGAGAGGAACTAGGCTTAGATATTTGCAAGACATGATCCAATGCAGAACTCAAGAGATCCAAATTAAGAAGAATCTGAAGTGGGCTTGGCTGGAGAATACACCATTGCCCACAGTTTGGTATATTGTAATTATATTACATCCAATAGGGATTCTTTTCTCAGAAGAAGCAGCTTTTCATAGAGTACCGCTCTCCAAACAACAACACGATTTGATGCAAGAGTAAGAAAAAGTTGTGCAAGAGCAGATCAAGTTAATGCAGAGTGCCCGAGTTAACCTGAGTTAGGTTGGGTTTGTAATTGGCCATCTCGTGGCGGATGTGGTTGACGGAGTTGATGATTTCTTGGCTCGTTGTGTACTTGAGGGACTGAAGAGGCACCGGCCCATGAGCATACCTTTAGAAGAAGAAGAATTAAAAGAACTACATGAAAAGCACTCTGGAGAACAATACAAATATTTCAGAAAGAGACCGATTCCAGCATCATCCAATGTCAGGTTTTGAGTGGTCACGAAGGATCCACTTGTGAGAGTATAGCAAGCCAAAAGGGAAATAATGCTAACCTGTCTGACTTTTTGAGGTTTAATGCAACCACGTTTGGTCCGTTTTCCCTTTGCAAATCCTCATACTCTATGGCTTCTTGTAATTTCACCTGAGAAACATTGGAAACATTTGTGATTCTGTACATTGTGTCTTTATCTGGTGGACAACAAAACAAAACAAGACAACAACAACGGAACCCTTTTACCTTCTTGATGGGAGGCTGAAAGAGGTCGGAATCCCGCGAGTTTCCATCGGTGCTGCTCGTCTCGCTACCTTGGTCATTCTCCCTTGAAAACAGCGGCAGTGAAACTTTAGAATGAGGACGTTCTTCATGTATTACATCTCAAACTATATTTCTACCCCTTGCGTGAGCCTGCTGCCAGCACCATGGCACTGTGATGGTTGAAGCGCTTTATAATGGCGTAGTTGCTACTCTCCTTCACTGTTCGGTTTGAATTCGAAGTGGAGGGCAGTGGTGTGCGCACACCGTAACCCTGTAACAAAGACAAGCGAGAGACTGAAAGGGGTTTTTCATTATCGAATATTGTGCTCTGTCATATTTTATTTCATAAACACAGAATACAAATATTAAAAACATTGTTAAAAAAACGGTTTGTGCATCATGCTTTAATGCTTCAATTCATTGTGCTGCTCATTCAGATGTGCATACCTAGGGGGAGTATAATACAATCTTAAGTACTACTACAATCACATTAGGTGTGAGAGTAAACTTGGCTGTGAGTACTTTGATAGTCTGTCTACATGTGTTGCCTCACCATTTGTGTTCAAATAGCCATTGCTTAAGAGTTATGACACCGCAACTATCAATGCTATCTGAGAGCTGGTTAATGAATGGTGTTTTCCATTATGTGTTAGCACACAGCTAGTGGGGGCATTCTCTTAAACCCATAATAAGTAATAATTCTCTTTGTTTTATGCTCAGTTTGACAATAAACTTCAAGTGGGCGTGGCATTAACTGGCCTCAAGCCTGTTTTTGAAGAAGTAAGTTTAAATCAGGTCACTCGCGTCTCGGGGTCAAACTATATTGCTCCTTAGTGCGTTTCTCTGTCTTTTGTGAGTTTTAATTGCAAGAATTATTCAAAAAGACAGGGAAAAAAAATAACTGTGGTATTAGGAGTCACGTTTCAGGCAAGACTCCAGTTTAACCATGCATGTCTATCTTCAGGTTTTACTTTTTTTTCTTGAAGGTTGTGTTGGTTTACATATTGCAGTTGTTCAAACAAATTTTATCACCATAAAACCTGTCGTGAAATATTATTCTTAAGCCGTCTGAAATGACTGACTCTGGCATAGATTCGTTCAATTTCCATTATTTCACATGGGGAAACAAATCAGAAATCAACAAGGGTCCTGGAAGAGACAGTTTTTAATTTCAGTTTCCACAATACTTAAATCATTTTAAGGAAACTAACTGTCATCATTTCGGTAACTCTTACCTCATCCAAGGATTTATCTTCTAATGACTGCAGGTCAACCAGGGGGTTCTTAACTCCTTGGACCACCATTGATTTTAACCCTTCACCGCAACACAAGATTTTTAGATATAATATCACATAATGACATATATGTGATCCTACCTATAACCAGTACGTATTTGCCGTCTACCTTTTTCATCCAGTTTGGCACACTCTGTGAAGATGTCCTGTGTGCTGGTGTTGATGCGGTCCCGATGAAAATACTGCGACTGGAAGAAGCGCGTCCAGAACTCCTTCTCGGTCAAGTCATGAGGCACACTCTCACAATACTTCTGTTTCACTGTAACACCAAATGGAGTTGATATTGATTGTGTACACACGTAGATTGCGCATACAAAGAAAGAGTCGCAGCCATATTTACCCGCAGGATAGGTTCTGAAGATTGATTCAATTATATCAGCTGTCAGATTATATCTCAAGCCGTTGCAGCCGTCTGTTTGAGGCCGTATGTCTGCCTACAAAGATCAAAAAATGCTTTAAAATGCAGCTGAAATTCTGGATCAAAAGGTTTGAGTGAGTCACTCACCAAAAAAGCTCCAGAGATACCAACTTCCTGTTTACTATTGCATACTGCGGGGTCTGTGTGGTTTAGGCCTCCCAATCGGTTAGCCCAGAATTCCTCAGCACTGATCACTTGGCTGACCACTAAATCTTTGTAGAGCTGAAAAAGCACCGGATCTTCTTGAAGCATCCTACGGGTTAAAAAGAAACAATAGAAACATACAATAACAGTCAACAGTTTCACCACGGTTATGTATGGTTTGTTTTTGAACACAGACACAAAGTGTGTCCAAATTTGATTCGAAGTGTATGCCTGATAACAGGATGTAAAGCATTTTGAAAAGTTTACTTTTCCATAGTGCAGCATTTCTGTTTATGAATCAACTCTCCATTCGTACTGGTAAAGGCGGACTAAATATTAGAAACATGGTTGTCTTTACATTGTGAAATAATCCAATTTTACAAGCCTAAATTTAAGCAATTTAAAGGGAAGCAGTAGATTAAATCAATGAGCATTGAAAGAGATAACGACCACTGAGACAATCTATATTTTGCTCTCCGGTGAGCACACTCTACATTGCGGTAGTAGTAGTAGGGAAAGGGCAAATCGTAGAGATCTGCCAGTGTTAATGGCCAAGAAGGAAAATGCATAGGCAAAAGGACCAAACGTTATGACAGCTAAACACCAGGCCACCTTCAAAAGTGACAAAGAAAAAGGCCTTTTTGGCGAAAGTTATTTTGTGATATTGCTTGTAGAAAATCTATTCAAAAAACACCTTCAATGTAAAATGGTACGACGTGATTATTTCTCAACATATCTCCTCAGCCCTTTTGTTACTTGGGGAACACTCTCTCATTGGCTGATGAATTGCAGTTAAAAATATAAATATATAATAGTCAAAATTAATGTCACTTGTCTGAAAAACGCCACTGAAATAGCACAAATTGAACATTATTTGCGTGAGCAGCAGTGCAGGAATTGGAATAAGTCATGTATTTTAGTAATCAATTTTTTTTTTCCTTTCTTGAATTTATTCATGAAAGATGATTTGGGAGGTGTTTTAAGCACTCATTCCAGGTTTTCGAGAACATTTCTGTCACATTGCTCCTGAGAAGCTCACCTGTTTTTCTCCTCCAGTTCCTTGTTAGCTTTCTTCTTGAACTTGGGCAGGAGCTGCTGGAGCAGCTCCTTAGCAGCCTCCCGGTCTTTGAGTGCGGTGCTATCATTTGAAAAGTGGAATGTGGTACTCTCGCCGGAGTGAAGGACCAGTTGGAGTTGAACTTTCGCCTTGCCATCCGGGCTGATTTTCTGACCTGAACAGAGCAGAAGTAACACTCCATCACACGGTGCTTTTGCACTGTAATGCTTGCACGAAAAGATCTCTCACAGCGAATATCCGCATAGAGGTGGCTGACTGTAAAGCGATCCTTGCCCTCTGGACTCCACGCTATGCGTTCAGCCATCAAGTAAAGCGTGCCATCCTGTTTCTTCTGGCGAACTTTTTTCACCACCAGAAGCACCTCTTCTGACAGTGAGGCCATGGCTCGGATGTGTAAACTGAGCGGAAAAAAAAAGCGTCATTTTTTTCAGATCGTTATTAATCGCCGCATCTTTAAAGATACGTGCATGCTTGAGAGGAGTAATAAACAACTAGCCTTAACAAAATAAACAAATAAACACCGGCTCAACGATTGTCATCTATGCAAGCTGATGAATGCTGTCACTGACGACACACCATTTTTAAATACAAATTCGTACCTCCACCCGAACAATTAACTTTGCTGCTCTGAATACGAACAGCACAGTAACATTACTGTCTTACTATCGTATTTAAAATGAATAATTTCGACTCAGCTAGCTAGCATGACGTTAGCTAGCTCTAACAGTGAAGATGGAAAGCTTGAGAGCAAAAGTACACAGTAAAACTTACTTTACCTTCAAACTGATAGACCCCGATGCAGATATTTCACCTTTATTCAATACATTATTTCAAAACTAATACCTTGTAGGCCCTGAATCAAATAAATGCGCCATCTGGCAATAAAATAAAATAAAATAAATGTAGACTACTCTAATAATGAACAGACATACTTGGTTGCCGACATAGCTGGCTGACACTGTGTCACATTCAAAATGTCCGACCGTAAAATCAATCGCTCATTTGTTCTGACCGGAAAATACCCTCGGTGCCGGCAGACAAACAAATGAGCCTCTTTTTTTTCCCCCAAATCATATTATATGTTAAATTTAACAGTATATTCATCATAAATGTACATGTTTTTCCATTATTTTATTTCACAGTAAATTAGTAAGTATTGATTTTTTCCTTTCAGACTTTTCGTGTTTACGCATTATTAAAATACGATGATCATCATAAATAATTCCACAACAAAACATATCGTCAACCTTCAAAAATAATGGCCTCACTAATCTTTTCAGTTTTCTCAGACAACATGAAAAACTGAACCAAATACTGATTATATCTTATTTATGGATAACTCCATGTCAGGGGTAGAATTTTTCACTAAAGATGTATTGTAGCCGATTTTAGCATAGGTGGCCAATGTAACAATAGTTTGTTAAAGCTGTTAAAACTCTGACTTTATGCTCTTTATTTGGAATTTTCGTTTGAAATTCCCTAGCTCTTCTTTTTGTTTATCTCTCTTCACATTGTGTATGTATTAATACAGTAACTTATTCGTTTAGTTTTCTGTGATTTGTAATTTGACTTGTTCAATAAAGATTGTTGTTTAAAAAAAACAATAGTACAGTACAGTATTGTTAGAATGAGTTGTTGTTGCTAGGGGGACAGCCTTGGGTGCGGGATCAGGATCTGACGTGTTTCTCTCCGATGTTACGAGACTGAGTTACGCACTTGTACCGAAAGAGTTATGCCAATAAAAGTTAAGTAAGGCTAATGCATCACATGTAGTGGTACTGAATAGAATCATATTTAAATATTTCTTAAATAAACATGCTGAGGGAGGTTGGGTAAAAAGTACATAACTCAATCTCACATTTACTAGGATGAACGCGAAATGAAAATAGTGTCGCATCTCGTACTGTATATGTCTTGACAGAATACTTGACGTTTGACATTGCACAAAATAAATAAGACATAAAGTGCTGCAATAGGAAAGAGTTTATTGGAATTAAGAGTTTTTGAGAATGCCAAAGTCGAACAATATCAGTGGTCCTGTTTCGCAAAAAAACAGTGTATGCATGATAGAGTAGCAATGTATATATCAATGGGATGCATTATTACATCAATTTATTTGACATTTATGTAAATTGAAAAGTGTCAATGTGTTCTTGTAAAACAAGGTCTTAACACATTAGTAACACAAATACATTCTTCTTGTCAATGCTCAGCAAATTACATTGCACAATGGACACTATCTGACTCCATGTTTCCCCATTTCATGAGTAAATCCCCTAATTTACAGTATATAGGAACAGAAACTCCTCCAATCCAAAACACAAACAGATGAAGACTTTGAAATAGAACCAAATCAAAGAACTTACGCTCAACAGCTAGAAGAGTATTTGCTAAACCTGAATGAAGGTATCTTAGTGTAGTTTCCAAACATGCTACAAATATTCTCAAATAAATATGAATCCTTAGTTTATTTAGGCTCAAATGGTTCTGAGCCATTTACATAGGTTTGAATGTATAGTTTACAGTGTAATAAACATTCTGTTTTGCTTCGATCTTATACGAGCGGTCATGACATACAGTATAGAGCTTTGATTGCCAAATTGTTTTTTTGAAGCAGAATAAATGATTTTTTTTAACCGTGACTGGCCTCCTTGCATATGATACAGCCATTAAAAATGTCCAAATTGATGGGTTGTATTTTGTGTACAATGTGTGAGTTGACAGTCACACTTTTCAATCGAGATGTAGGAGTGTTTCATCTTGCTGCCATCAGCACAAATCATCTCCACTTCCTTCTTGCTGGTGGCCGTTTCTTGACAACATGAGCAAGAGTGCGTCAGGCTGTTGCTCTCCGCAGAGTACCTGAGCCGATCGAGATGGTTTCAAACATCATCACTGTTGCCAAGCACACATTAGGAAAAAGTACTATTTATCGTAATGAGAAGTCTCACATTGATGTTGACGCTCCGCAGGATCCCTCGCAGGTTGTCATTTCCACTGGCGCGACTGACTTGCAATTATTTACATGCAAGTAGTTGGCATTTGTGTTTATTTTACATTTGGAAGGAAGGGCAACTGGGGATGAGAAGAGATTGCACATTCATATGGGGCAGAAAATTCATCAGGCAATATTTTAGTGGATGCGAGGACATCTATAGATCTGGTTCGTCATTATCATACACAGTACAGTATATCACGTAGATTTAAATGCCATTTTTCCTGTCGGAAAATGCCATCAAACTTATCTTCTGAAATGTAATTACGGAGCCTCTTGACTGACTATTTTATTATTTTAAACCATTTCTCTCAGTCTCCTTATGTGTTACACCTTCTCCAACTCACCACATGTCAGGGTCTGGCAGCAATCCACCGTTTGGTTCATCAACACCTCGCCTTCCTTACAAGTTATGGGTGCTTGAGTGGGACAAACGCGAGGTTCACACCGCACGCTCAGTGTCTCCGCATCACAGACACACTGTTGGCAGCCACTCAGCCAGGTGTCACCAATCTTTGGGTGGTCAAGCATATGTCAATCATAATTAATACTATATTAGTAACCTGAACCAGGGAAACATTGCCACAGATACCTCTTTCGGTTCGCCATCAGGTCCAGTGCAACCTTTGACAGGAAACATATGCTTCAGGGCTTTAAATCAATTTAATCACATATCTGATAATTGTTGGTCAGTGAGTCTTACAGGCGATGACACAGATGTCGGAGCTTGAACCGAATAAGATCGTGCCAGGTGGACAGAAACATCCCTCCACAAACGTATTGCAGTCAGACCTTTGGTAGTAGTTTTCACCCTGGCATTGCTGTGTATACTTTTTATTGTATCTACAACGACGACAAGCAGGAAAATGCAATGATATCAAAACAAATGTTCACCTGTGTCTGATTTGCAACGCAGAGCTACACAATCATGCAAGTGCATAAATACAAACAGAGTGAGTGAAACGAGAGTCGTTTACCTTTCATTGCAAGTTGGCTCCACAATTGGCCCGCATGGTTTGTAGACTTTATGTGCAGGACATTTATATTCTACGATGAGAGAAAATTGTTGATGCGTCAAGATAAAGCAATGCCTCACAAACAAAATGAAGATTTTTAAAAATACTTTCATTTCAAATATTTAATTGTTATATACATATGTAAAGTATATAAAAATGTAATTTAGATATACAGCCATCCATTAATTTTCTAATCCGCTTATCCTCACAAAGGTCGCGGGCGTACTGGAGCCCATCCCAGCTGTCTTTGGGCAGTAGACTGGGTACACCCTGAACTGGTTGCCAGCCAATCGCAGGGCAGAAATAAATGGACAACCATTCACTCTCACACTTATCATTAACTTTTTTCACTGATTGCCAGGGGAAAAAAAAAAACTATGGTTGTAATCCATTACTGTGAGGTGTGGGGCACCCACGTCCACTTTATACAGCAAGTTAGTGAAGTGTCCTCGGTGCAAAAAGGGCTACGCTTAAACCAAATGCTCTTACCGCACTGCCCCTGTGTGGCATTCCTCCAGTCTATACAGACCGACGCAGCAGTACACATCATGGCGTACGCCTCCAAACTGGAGCATCCCACACTGGAGTTTGGCATGTGGCAAACATCAAATTTACAGGCCTCATAATAGTCCTCTGGCGAGACGACTTTGTGGCATTCCTCAAACACACTGAGCCCCCCCCAAAAAAAACAGTCATGAAGAGAACTACCAGTACTGTACTCACGGAAGCTACTGAAGAAATAATGGATATTATATGTGCTCATTTACCTGCTGAGTATGATTTCACAAATTTCAGGGTTACAAGTAGGTTGCGTTGGTGTTGGATTTGGTGTTGGTGGCGAAGGTGGCTTCTCGCAGTATGGTTTGTTCTTATCTGGTACATGCCACTCATGAGCCATATCGGTGCAAGAGGAATGAATCTGCCCGCTGGGTAATCTGCAGTCATTCTTTCTATTATTGTCACATGTACCTGTTGAAATCAGATCATGACTGTAGCGATTGCACCGTAACGCAAAGACTTCTTTCATGTTGTTAATAAATACAAGATTGGCTCACCGCACTGTCCCTCCGTGTTGTTGTGGAAACGGGAAAACGGTACGTCAACGCTGAATACAAGTCCCTTGAACGTCACAACAGCTTCGATCGCCGGGATTCTCAGGAGCAGCTCGATCACAGTGCTCGTGATGATGAAGTCTTCGTTGGAGTACGTTGGAATGACTTTCTTGCCATTGACGTAGACCTGAACGCATCAATTAAGTATGAGTCGACACTCAAGAATCCTGCTTTCTGTTTAAACTACACTGATTTTCATTTAAATGTGAAGCATCAACGAAATATCAAAGAAACACACACAAAAAAAAGATGTACCGTGTTGATTGTATTTGCGCCCCTCTCCTGTGTGAGAATGACTTCATAGCTTTTGTAATACACAATCAAGCTGTTCGCACAGGTGACTTCACCGGTGGCGTCGCAGTTTTCATTGTCAATAAGGACGGTAAAATTGTGACGAGGAATAATCTCTTTAAACAGGACATAGGTGCAGTTTTTCTGAAAGCTGTAGTATTGACCATCAAATGTCACATAGTGTGGATCTCCCCAGCCACTGCAAATACCTACAAAGTGACAGAAATCAATTTGGACAGGATGGTTAGTGATTTTAGGATCTTTTTTTTTTTTTCAAGTGGAATCCCAGAAGTGCTTCCGATTGAACTCACAGGTGCATTCGTAATGGAAACAGCAACCATCTTCATCATAAACCCTCACTGGTGGTTGGCCATTTTCACACACAGGCATGGTTATTGGTTCGCATGGCTTATGTTCTGTCAGGACTTTTCCATCATCGCAAATCGAAAAGGTACAGTTGCTTGAAATCCAAGACTCGCCATGCTGAAAAGGACAAATGACACATTACGACACAAACCTCGTTTACTCTGGCAATCTAACCATTGTTCTTCTCATTGCAATCCACAAGAGTTGCAGTTCCTGATTATTAAAGAAATGCTAATTGAATACAAGCCCAGTACGGCTCTGACGTTTGCAGTCTGGGGTCAATTCGTGGTGCCCAGATTTTAAAGCAAACATGGTGAAGCAGCATTTAGCTGTTATGCTGTACAGAAATTAAATAAACTGGCAACAGAATTTTCCCCCAAATTCTTGTTCTTGCACTGTATGTCCTTTCAGTAATTTTAGTCACCTATCTTTATTTCTTTATTTTTCATCTAAATGCCTCAAACTTTTTTTGTCTGGAAATGTTTGTAGATGTACTAGTAATTAGGTGAAGCATTTTGAGGGACTGTGTTTGAAATGCACTTCAGATGTTAAACTGCCTTGCCACTACGCTATCTAAATGTACATTTTGGGATGTCCTATTAGAAGCGCATTTCCTGATTAGATCAAATACTGCCCTCTGATTCTCATTGCTTTCCTGAGAGAATAGCCAACAGTAACCGGTGTATTCCAAATATCACCGTTTGTATACGTCAGGTACCTTTCTTGGTGGGATGAGAAAATCACAGTCTTTGGGGGGCGCTTCAGTAGATACGCCGATGGTACTGGCGGTTGTTGTGACAACTTTGGTCGTAATGGCAGTTGTATAAGCGGTGGTGGGACTTGGTGGAGTAGTTGGCTGACACGGTCCTGCAAACTTCTCAACATTGCAAGTCTCATTGCAATATGCAACGAAACACCAACCTGCTCCATCTGTCTTGTTGTAAATGGTAGTCCCTAAAAATAATGAATGAATAATCAAGTCAGTTTGAGAAAAGCCTTTCCAGAATTTAACATCATGAAATGATTGGTTCTTGTGGTGATAGCTCGCGCCATAAAGAAAACACACCAGCGGGCTTGTTGTTATCAGATACGGGTACGGTATATCAAATGACAACAAAAACAAAACAACAGTCAGTACTTACCAGGAGCAAAAATTTGATCAAGGTATTTGCAGAAGCACTCGGTGGTGCTGCCGGCTGTTGTCTGAGTTGTTGGCAATGTTGTTGAAGGTTTTTCTGTTGGCGCTGCGGTAGGCTTTGTGGGGATGGTGGTGCTATTGGAAGTAACCAAGGGGGCTGTTGATGGAGCAGTTGGAACAATTGTATTTGTGACTATTTCAGGGGTTGTTGTGGTCATTGGTTTTCCAGTTGATGTGACTGCAGTTGTTGTAGGACCTTCTGTTGTTGTCCTTGGTGGCTTTGTTGTGGGTACCATTTCAGTTGTGATGGTGGTAGGCTTTTCTGTAGCTTCTGTGGTCGGTTTTTCTGTGGTTTTGGCAGTTGAGCTAGGTTGTTGTGTCGTCGTTCCGGTTACTTTTTCTGTAACTTTGGATGTTGTGGTGGTAATGCCAGCAGTTTGTGAAACAGTGGTTGTGGGTTTTTGTACTATGGTTGTTGCAGTAGTTGGTCTTTCTGTAGTCGTTGTGGGGTTTTCTGTGGTAGTTGTGGGTTTTTCCGTTGTTGGAACAATTGTGCTTATCTTTTCTGTGGATGCTGTGCTGGGTTTTTCTGTAACTGCAATTGTTGTGGTTTGGGATTCTGTAACTGTGGTTGGTCTTTCTGTGACTGTGGTGGGTTCTTCTGTGGCTGTGATGGTCGTACTTCTCACAGTGGGCTTTTCTGTTGTTACGTAAACAGTAGTGCTGGCCTTTTGCGTAACTGTGGTGGGGAGGTTTTCTGTAGCTGTGGTGGGTTTTTCTGTCGTTGATGTGACTGCAGTTGTGGGGCCTTCTGTTGTTCTTGGTTTTGTTGTGGGTACCCTTTCAGTTGTTCTGGTGGTAGGCTTTTCTGTAGCCTCTGTGGTCGGTTTTTCTGTGGTTTTGGCAGTTGAGCTCGGTTGTTGAGTCATCGTTCCGGTTACTTTTTCTGTAACTTTGGATGTTGTGGTGGTAATTTCAGCAGTTTGTGAAATTGTGGTTGTGGGTTTTTGTACTATGGTTGTTGCAGTAGTTGGTCTTTCTGTAGTTGTGGGGTTTTTTGTGGTAGTTGTGGGTTTTTCCATTGTTGGAACAATTGTGCTTATCTTTTCCGTTGATGCTGTGCTGGGTTTTTCTGTAACTGCGATTGTTGTGGTTTGGATCTCCGTTGCTGTGCTTGGAGATTCCGTAACAGTTGTTGGTCTTTCTGTAGATGTGGTGGGTAGTTCTGTTGCTGTGATGGTTGTAGCAGGCACAGTTGTGGTAGTTGTGGGTTTTTCTGTTGTTGGAACAATTGTGCTTATCTTTTCCGTTGATGCTGTGCTGGGTTTTTCTGTAACTGCGATTGTTGTGGTTTGGATCTCTGTTGCTGTGCTTGGAGATTCCGTAACAGTTGTTGGTCTTTCTGTAGATGTGGTGGGTAGTTCTGTTGCTGTGATGGTTGTAGCAGCCACAGTTGTGAGTTTTTGTGTCGTTACAGCAACAGTAGTGCTGGCCTCTTGCGTAACTGTGATGGTGGGTTTTTCTGTAACTGTGGTGGGTTTTGCTGTGGTTGTGGTGGTCTTAATCTGTTCAGTAGTAAGTGTGGTTGCCTTTGTTGGACTAGTTGTTGGTATGGATGGCTTTTGTGTGGTGGTTGTCATCGTGGTGGGTTCTGCTGTCGCTATGGTGGGTTGTACTGTGGGTGAGATGGTGGTTTTGGCCATAGTTGTGGGCTTTTCTGTGGTTGTGGTTGTTGTAGGGGTGGGCTTTTCTGTTGTTCCTGCATTTGTTGTGGCCTTTGTAGTTGTAGCTTTGGTTGGAGTAACACAATGGTTGAAGCAGCATTTGACTCTAATTTCATAGTCATAACAAATTGGAGGTATGCCTTGGTCTTTGTTATGACATTTCAGTCCATCGGTTGGGTTGCATATTACTTTTTGACTGAGCTGATCCAAAGGTACATCAGGAAACGATTTTGCTCTGCATTCAATTTCAAGTGGTTGGTTGCAGTCATTCAGACTTGGATCAGTTATGTTCGCAATGGATTCATAATCTCCACCACTGAGGGTAGGATCAGGGTAATGATTATTGATCCAATCTGACCAGTGACAAACAAAACACTCAGCTGGTGTTGATGGTGTTTTTTCTGTTGTTGTGGTGGTTTGGGCCTTTTCGGTTGTAACTGTTGTGGGAGTAGTTGTTGGTTTGGAAGTTTTTTGTGTAGTGGTTGTGATGGTGGTGGGCTCTTCTGTAAATGTTGTGGGATGGAGGGTTACTGTGGTGGGTTTTTCTGTCGTTGTAGTCTGGGACTCTGTAGTAATTGTTCTCAAGGGTGCTGTTGATGGAGCAGTTGGAACAATTGTATTTGTGACTATTTCAGGGGTTGTTGTGGTCATTGGTTTTCCAGTTGATGTGACTGCAGTTGTTGTGGGACCTTCTGTTGTTGTTCTGGGTGCCTTTGTTGTGGGTACCGTTGCAGTTGTTATGGTGGTAGGCTTTTCTGTCACTTCCGGGGTCAGTTTTTCTGTAGTTTTGGCAGTTGAGCTCGGTTGTTGTGTCATTGTTCCGGTTACTTTTTCTGTAACTTTGGATGTCGTGGTGGTAATGCCAGCAGTTTGTGAAACTGTGGTTGTGGGTTTTTGTACTATGGTTGTTGCAGTAGTTGGTCTTTCTGTCGTTGTTGTGGGATTTTCTGTGGTAGTTGTGGGTTTTTCTGTTGTTGGAACAATTGTGCTTATCTTCTCCGTTGATGCTGTGCTGGGTTTTTCTGTAGCTGCGATTGTTGTGGTTTGGATCTCTGTTGCTGTGCTTGGAGATTCCGTAACAGTTGTTGGTCTTTCTGTAGATGTGGTGGGTAGTTGTGTTGCTGTGATAGTTGTAGTAGCCACAGTTGTGAGTTTTTGTGTCGTTAAAGCAACAGTAGTGCTGGCCTCTTGCGTAACTGTGGTGGTGGGTTTTTCTGTAACTGTGGTGGGTTTTTCTGTAACTGTGGTGGGTTTTGCTGTGGTTGTGGTGGTCTTAATCTGTTCAGTAGTAAGTGTGGTTGCCTTTGTTGGACTAGTTGTTGGTATGGATGGCTTTTGTGTGGTGGTTGTCATCGTGGTGGGTTCTGCAGTAATTGTGGTAGGTTCTACTGTGGGTGAGATGGTGGTTTTGGCCATAGTTGTGGGCTTTTCTGTGGTTGTGGTTGTTGTAGGGGTGGGCTTTTCTGTTGTTCCTGCATTTGTTGTGGCCTTTGTAGTTGTAGCTTTGGTTGGAGTAACACAATGGTTGAAGCAGCATTTGACTCTAATTTCATAGTCATAACAAATTGGAGGTATGCCTTGGTCTTTGTTATGACATTTCAGTCCATCGGTTGGGTTGCATATTACTTTTTGACTGAGCTGATCCAAAGGTACATCAGGAAACGATTTTGCTCTGCATTCAATTTCAAGTGGTTGGTTGCAGTCATTCAGACTTGGATCAGTTATGTTCGCAATGGATTCATAATCTCCACCACTGAGGGTAGGATCAGGGTAATGATTATTGATCCAATCTGACCAGTGACAAACAAAACACTCAGCTGGTGTTGATGGTGTTTTTTCTGTTGTTGTGGTGGTTTGGGCCTTTTCGGTTGTAACTGTTGTGGGAGTAGTTGTTGGTTTGGAAGTTTTTTGTGTAGTGGTTGTGATGGTGGTGGGCTCTTCTGTAAATGTTGTGGGATGGAGGGTTACTGTGGTGGGTTTTTCTGTCGTTGTAGTCTGGGACTCTGTAGTAATTGTTCTCAAGGGTGCTGTTGATGGAGCAGTTGGAACAATTGTATTTGTGACTATTTCAGGGGTTGTTGTGGTCATTGGTTTTCCAGTTGATGTGACTGCAGTTGTTGTGGGACCTTCTGTTGTTGTTCTGGGTGCCTTTGTTGTGGGTACCGTTGCAGTTGTTATGGTGGTAGGCTTTTCTGTCACTTCCGGGGTCAGTTTTTCTGTAGTTTTGGCAGTTGAGCTCGGTTGTTGTGTCATTGTTCCGGTTACTTTTTCTGTAACTTTGGATGTCGTGGTGGTAATGCCAGCAGTTTGTGAAACTGTGGTTGTGGGTTTTTGTACTATGGTTGTTGCAGTAGTTGGTCTTTCTGTCGTTGTTGTGGGATTTTCTGTGGTAGTTGTGGGTTTTTCTGTTGTTGGAACAATTGTGCTTATCTTCTCCGTTGATGCTGTGCTGGGTTTTTCTGTAGCTGCGATTGTTGTGGTTTGGATCTCTGTTGCTGTGCTTGGAGATTCCGTAACAGTTGTTGGTCTTTCTGTAGATGTGGTGGGTAATTTTGTGGCTGTGATGGTTGTAGCAGCCACAGTCGTAGATTTTTGTGTTGTTACAGCAACAGTAGTGCTGGCCTCTTGCGTAACTGTGGTGGTGGGTTTTTCTGTGACTGTGGTGGGTTTTTCTGTGATTGTGGTGGTCTTAATCTGTTCAGTCGTAAGTGTGGTTGCCTTTGTTGGAGTGGTTGTTGGTGTGGATGGCTTTTGTGTGGTGGTTGTCATCGTGGTGGGTTCTGCAGTAATTGTGGTAGGTTCTACTGTGGGTGAGATGGTGGTTTTGGCCATAGTTGTGGGCTTTTCTGTGGTTGTTGTAGGGGTGGGCTTTTCTGTTGTTACTGCATTTGTTGTGCCCCTTGTAGTTGTAGCTTTGGTTGGAGTAACACAATGGTTGAAGCAGCATTTGACTCGAATCTCATAGTCATAACAAATTGGAGGTATGCCTTGTTCTTTGTTCTGACATTTCAGTCCATCGGTTGGGTTGCATGTTACTTTTTGACCGAGCTGATCCAAAGGTACATCAGGAAATGCTTTTGCTCTGCATTCTATTTCAAGTGGTTGTTTGCAGTCATTCAGACTTGGATCATTCACTCTTGCTATAGATTCATAATCTCCACCACTGGGAACAGAAGCAGGGTAATGATTGTTGATCCAATGTGACCAGTGACAAACAAAACAGTCGGATGGTGTTGATGATAGGCCAGTTGTAGGTATGGATGGCTTAAGTGTTGTTGTTGTTGTAATTGTAGTGGGTTCTTTTGTGAATGTGGTGGGTTGGAGGGTTGTTGTGGTCGGTTTCTCTGTGGTAGTTTGGGCCTTTGTAGAGGTTGGTCTTTCTATGATAGCCAAAACATAACATTACATTATGTAATCAGTGTGTTGTTCCACACGGCAATATAATCCATGCTGATTAGAAAGCATCGTGCTTATCATTCATGCATTTCATAGTTGCTCATTACCTGTTGTCACAAACACAAATTCTGTTGTTGTTGGCGTCTGCGTGGTTGAGGAACCGCAGACTTTTACTTCTCTTGTAATATTTCCGTGTTCTCCACAAATGGCAGTAATACAGGTGCCGTCTCCATCATGAGTGTCGTATACTACATCTCCATAATTGTATATTTCCCCATTATATGAACAAGTGCAATCTGCAAAATAATATAAAACACTATGAAGTGAAGATTTGTTTCAAAAAAAGTCGAAAGAGTTAAAAAAACTGAAATCATTCACAAAATAACCATCATGTGGCGTGATGTTTTTACCTTCAACACTGTAGGTGCACTGCCTCTCCGATGAAGAACATTGACTGCAGAACAAATTAGATTATCACATTTTAAAAATTACATCTGGCTCAGGTGTTTTTGGATGTATTGATAGAAAATATCCTACCATTTCTGACAGTTTTCTATCTGAGGCATTCTCTCTCCTTCTGCATAATGCTTTCCTTCATCATCGTAGCACCCACATTGCTCCAGTGACACACACTTCATTGTTACCTCTTCCAAATACGGTTGATCAGGTGGACACCTTGGATAGCAGCCTGAAAGCCAAAAAGTCAATAGTACAAGCACATTCTAGGCAAGAATCAGGAAGCCAACCCTTAGGAGTTAAAACAGCTTGATGATCAGGGATGCATCAGATGCTGATAATGACCGACATACCTTCCAAAGCTGGAATATGGGTATAGCACTTTCCAGAGGGATTCCTGCAAGTCTTCATGCAAGGTTTTCCACAAGGTTCGTAGTGCCATTCACACTCACCGTCAGGATTGTAGTAATCACAGAATAGAGCTGATTAATGACAAGAAATTAATATGAATATCATGTAGATCAGGGGTCACCAACATGGTGCCCGTGGGCAACAGGGAGCCCTCAAGGGCTACATGAGTGGCCCATGGGCCTATCCCCCGAAATAGGTCAGATATCTATTTATTCTGCACAGAAAAATTGAAACCAGCACTTACGACAGACAGACGGAGTTCTCCATTTGATACAAGCTCCGGCCTTATTACAGGCGGCTGCATAGGCTGCTACAGCAGAGCAGAAGCATTCACAATCTCCTCCAGTATTACAGGCACACGTGTCTCTTACACAGGCATTATAATAGTACTGGGGATCCACCTTTCAAGAATAATCATTGTAAAAATGAATAGTTTGACCCACAAGTGTATTGTATAGAACATAAGTGCAGTTGCATTACCTTTGAATGGCAGATACCAAACACCGCACTATTGATGATGCTGCAGCGTTTTAGTGCCCACGCTTGTCTGTGCGAATACAGTGTGCAGGGACTTTTAAGTGTATTTGTGTTGGCACAGCTCTGTGACACTTTCCAGCTGTTTCCGAATTGAAAGGCATCTACCACCACCTCTTTGTTTCGAGTGGTAAAGTCATTCTTGATGTTTCCGTCGTAATTCCCACACAGACCACAAACTTTACCCTGGGATCAATTAAACAGAGTTAAATTATAGAAACGACGCCAATCACTGGTGCGGTTTCTCTCACTGGTTTCTCTCACCTTAAATGTGGAGCTCAGTTTGATCATGAGTGTTGTCTTCTTATTCCAGATGAGAACAAGACCATTCTTCGCCTCAATGACAAGATATAATCCAATGGTATGGACTTTATAAGGTATTTCTAACCCTGTTTTTTGTTTGATGACTGTTCCCTCTTTAAGGACAATTTCAATGTTCTGAAAGAAAGAAAAAAAATGTAAATTAGTTAATCACATTTGAATGGACATCACAATGTAGTAGAGTGCAATTTTCAAATTGCAATTTTGAGTGTGTGTGTGTGTGTGTGTGTGTGTGTGTGTGTGTGTGTGTGTGTGTGTGTGTGTGTACACACACACACACACACACACACACACATATACAGTATATATAAAATTGTTTTATGAAAAGTTGAGGTTCAGATATGTTTGCATTACTGTTGTCGGTCAGAACTATACTGTATCATTCGCCAAGACGAATGCAATAGTAAAGTCATAATTTCACTAAATATTTGTATGAAAACCACACAAGCAAATCAAATAAATAACAGTAAGCACATCAGTAACTGAATGTGTCCTCTTGTGTTGCCTGAACACTGCAAACTGCGTACAAGACAGTTCACTGCACCCCGTTCGTGAATTCAAAACCTCGTATGTCCTCACATTCATAAACCTGAACCCCTTTACAATAGTTGACATGCAATTTCTGATCACAGAATGGTGTACCCCTAAGTAGAGCTTGATAGCAGTAGAGCAGGTGCTTTCACTTGGTCCACACGGAATGCTCTCAGTCAGGACCCTGAAGGTGCCATCCTTGTTGTCCCCACAGTAATCCTATGTGCCAATAACATCAGAAGAATATCCAAATATTTCCAATAAAACATGAAAGGGTAATCAAACATTTTGCACATGTGATACCTGAGTAAAGACGTAACCACAGTCCCCATTAAAGGAGAATTTCTTGTCGTCATAGGTGATATAATGGCCTTCTCCATATATCGTACAGGTTCCATCACACTGCCGATTGGTGCATTCCCACTCTCGGCTCTTACACGTGCTATCATCACGGGATGAAGTTCAAATAAACCAAATGGGATACAACACTGATTCAAAAGGATACATAAGAGAGTACACACCAGGTGTTGCAGTCCACTTTCACAGTCTCTCCAGGTTTGTAGGATTGTCTGTTATAAGTGCAGGGACAATGCGTCTCCTCAATACAGCCTCCTTTACCGTCGGCCAACAGGCCAGCAGGACATATGCAGCCCGAGACGCAATGCGTGCTAACCTGTAAAGTGGAACCACAATGGCAAATTGCGTTCTCATCAACCAAAGCATCACACAAAACTGCACAGTCGATAGCAGACAGTGTGCACCACTACCTTTCCAAAAATAGTATTCATACAACTGATTAATTAAACAAAAGTGTAATATCAGTTCTGAAAAATTTGTTTGAGCCTTACACATTCTGTGTCCAGCGTCTGACAAGTTCTCTGGCACTCTGACCCCGTGTCACCGGGCTGTGCACTTGAGCAGTTGAAGAAAGTCATTGGAGCACTGCATGCTGATCAGTGAACACGTTTGTTAGAAAGGACACCAGTGCTCTCAACCCAATGGCATTGGTCAAAAAAAATTCCATTCATTATTTTCATTAGCGCTCAACAAGCTTTATAGAAAATAGATGGATGGCTGGGTGATTAGTAAATAAGATAATTTTGAAAATTTTTAAAGAAAATGACCTGATGGGCCCTTTATGTTTTGTACCTACATTCAGTTAGAAGGTTTCCCGAACAAGTGAGTTTTCCACCATGGCAGACGCTGAAATGCAACGAAAAGATGGTGAAAGTTATAGTTTATCCTTTGTCAGAGTGAGACTCAGCATTGTTTTAGTGTTTCATGGTGTATAGTGTTTTTGTTATGAATGTATAACTTTCTTTGTTTTGTATGCCTAATTTTTACTCCATGCACTTTGTATGCAGAGATGGTTGTTTTGAAAGTGCTCAGTAAATAAAGTCGAGTTCAGAGTGACCATGTATGCTTGTTTTATGCATGTTCTTGACATGTGTATTCTAGATATCGGGTCAAAAAAATTAGTTCTATTTACATATTATATGCGAGCCAGAGGATATTTCAATCATCCTATTGGTCATTTTCACCATGGGAAATCCAACAATAATTTTTGATTGCTATGAGCCAATTTTGAGGGAAAATAAAGCAAAATCTGGGGATAATATCGACTACAACTGGGGATTAGTTAAGTGAGGCAACATTCAACTAGCAGCTTTAAAACTGCAGACTTCCCTTTTAAAATCACCTCTAAAGGTTTTAGTGCATTTTTGGTTTATCCTGAACTTTTGCCCGGAAGCCGAACATCCTTAACTTTTTCGAGTAATGTATGGTCCTCACCAACTTTGTCCATGAACCCTGATGATCTGCTTAGGCCGTATCACCGTGTCTCCTACATGGCAGGAGCATTGGGAATCTGGCACACACTCGCCTCTCTCGTTGAGGTAAGTTCCCTGAGCGCAGCCGCAGCCGTCCACCGGGGTCAAATCGACATCGCAGGTTAAGTCTGGCTGAGCCAGAGAGCGGCACGTGCGACCACAATTTGTCATGTGGTAGTCGAACACCAAAGTTGAAGGGCAGTTTGATGTGTATTTCCCTGTTGAGAAAAAATGCAATATAATCAACGTTACCTCCAAGTGATTACAAGAAAGTGCACTACGTTCGGGTGAAACTCACCACACACGACGTCCCGCCATCCTGTCAAGGAGACGCCGGCGGCGGCGCACGCACGAACGTAGGAAGACATAGCAGCACATACGGAGTCCAAACTCTTTTCGCCAGCACACGTGTCATATATACAAGACTGTAGAAAGAGAACGTATAAAGCTAAATGTGTTCAATATGGATTTATTATCCCCAACAAGGAGTTTATGTTGTTATTTACTTGCCTGGAAGTGAATTAGCAAAAATTACTGCACACATTTACATGGTGGCCCTTGGTCTACGAAAGGCGTAAGAATACATTACATATTTGAAACTCAGCTATGGCCGTACTTACTGTTTTTCATTAGTGTCTTATTTTTATGGCATGAAAGTCACTTCATACAAATATCTTCTGTCATGAGGATGTTTTGAGGTTTAGAAAATGCGCAACGAACTAGCTTGCGCAAGGCACTAGCTGACGCACTAGCGTAAGAATATATTGTCACATGGCACAAAACGGCACACTCAGTTACCACCATGCCTCTCAATCATATTCAGTGAATAATGGAGAATCTCAATGCCAAATGGATAGCGTGTCCATTTTTATTTGTTTTTTTTACGTATGAAGTTATGTTTGGCCAATGGAAAAAACAATCAAATATCAGTGTGAATCCAGATCACCAATAAATGAATACATTTTGTTTTGACATGTAGTCTAATTGTATCTTTACAATATTTTAGATTAATTATCCATGAACAAAAATGACCAAACCAAGGAACACCCATTTTAGACAAGTATGAAGCACAAATGCTCACAGTGAGATAGTCCTCTGGGTTAATCTCGGAATGGCACTTGGAAAACACCCCTGTTGTGTCGATGAGTATGGAGCACCAGTGGTGAGCATATTTTTCTAAAAACACACACACACACACACACACACACACACACACACACACACACACACACACACACACACACACACACAGGCATTATATTCATTAGGGAATGCGGAACAATGTAAAACATTACTTTAAAATATACTTTGGAGGGTTTTAAAATGCTGACTGGCTGATCGTGAAATAGATGTTTTTCTAGTTCCGGTATGGGATCTTTTTCTCAATATGTTGATTTTGGTATGATCACTTTTGATAAAATATTGCAATTGTATATAATTCTAAATAAGATGTTTTTTTAAATTTCTTAAATTACAATAACTTACCCTTATCTACACTTAAAAGACACGGGTCACCAAGTGTATTGTTGACATCTGGACAGCCTCCTTTCGTCTTCCACGAGTTGGCAAATGCGGCAGCCGTCCCTTCGATCATCCCACTTCTGGTTCGGAAGTCATTGCATTCAACGTCGTTAAAATCCCCACAAAGACCTGCAAAAGGGAGAGAAAGAAAAGAAAGAAAAATTACCTGATGGAAGAGAGTAGCCAGGAATGACAAAGGTTTTGGTCAAATACGACAACTTACCAAGGAGTTTTCCTTTATGGGGAAGACTGGCTTTGATATAAACCTGCATGATGGGCGTGAGCTGAACCTCGAGGTGAAGCCCGTAGACAGTGTGGATCACAACATAAAATGTGGATGGGCTGAAGATTGTGACATCATCTGTCGGGAAAACAAAGATTATTACTGACTGCATAAAGGCGATCCAAGTCACATGAATGTCTTCATTTTTCATGACAAGAAATGAAAACAAAAGGAACGCACTCACCGGTAAAGAAAGGCAGACGAGAGGTGAGTTTGTTGACGAAAACTTGACCGCTCGAGTCAACAGCAATCATCATCTGTACGTGAAAAATACTTTAAATATAGTAAAATACGGTCTGTCTTCTATTGTGTGTAAACAAAACTATCCTTACCGTGGATTTTGGCAGCAATAGAGTGACTGCAGTCAGGCAAGTTGATTTATCGGATTTTTCACACTTGACAAGGTCACCCAGGACAATGAAAGTGCCATTCGTCTCCTACAGAGGAAAACATGCATTGCACCACTATTTCAGAGAATTACAACTAGTGCTGTTGGTCAACACACAAAGTATGGAGCATAATTGTGACTTTATCGGGTGTGGTTATAAAATTGGGTGCGATTAATATCAACATTGTTTTTCAAGGCAATTACAACAGGATGTCAAATGCACACAGATTTTTGCTATTCACTGGCTGGTCCGATCACTATCCTCCATATATATAATTCCAAGATGCTTGCCACGTTTTTAGGTACTGAGCCCAACAAATTGAATGTTCTAATGGTTACAAAATCTAGAATTAGAGCAACATTTTCAGGAAAAATATGAATCTAATTCGACTTGAGCAATGTAAATTCCTTACCTTTGTGAGAACGTAAGAGCAGTCCCCATGGAAAGTGTATGTCTTATCATCATAGGTGGAGATGTGTGAGCCACCCAGTACAGAGCAGACACCAGGACAGTCGGTGTCATTGCACCTCCACTCACCCTGAGTACACGTGCTGCCAAAATAAAATTAAGTCAGCTTCACAAAGCAGCTTCATTAAACCCGATGAAGAAGAGAATGTAGTCATCACCATGTCTGACAGGCCCTAGAGTAGGATTCGCCAGGTTTGTAAGGCGTGCCGTTGTGCATACAGGAGCACTGGTCCACAGGTAAGCAGCCACGATCACCAATGTCATCCAAGACGGTCCCTTCCGAGACAAGTTGGGAAATTATTGCTCATTGTTTGAGCCAAAGCATGAGCAATAACACGGGAGAACATGCATACTCCAAGAGTTAGAATACATATCGTTACATTTTTTGAGCATGACAGATATGACACTGTTAAGGCAATGCCTGGTGTATGGTCGTAGTAAAAATAAATTATACATATACTGTATACTGTATTTAACTGTTTTAGGTATTACTGAAGTATAATACAGACATGGATATACTGCCCAATTTGTATATTTGGTCTGTGCTCCTCAGTACGGCGGTTATATTATGCATTCTTCGCTGTGGGCAAGCATATATATCTATGTATATATATGCCTGTGTGTACTCTACTGGTATATTCTTGGCATATTAACACACATCTATATTTGTTGTTCCACCGTTTGCATCCAAATATCCACTGATTAAAGCATTGTAACACTGCTACAAATTTGCTATCCGTTAGCTTGTCTGTGGCGTTTCTCATCATAAGTCAAAGCAAAATATCATCCGAACAACGGCTTGTATCTCAAAATCTGAAAGTTATATCACACCTATATCAAGGCAGCACTGTGTCTGTATGTATGCAACCCTACCAACTGGGCAGAAGCATCCATCTACGCAGTGTTCCTCACACACTTGGCTCCTCTGTGGGTCACTGCAGGTGTCCGTGCAAGGGCTTCCACATTGTTTGTACTCCATGTTAACCGGGCATATTTTTTTAGCTATTCATTAAAAAACAGGAGTTTAAGTAAATAAAAGTGATAAAAGCATCTCAAATATTTGTTTTCCTCACCGCATAAATGTGCATTCCATTCCTGCGGCGCTCCCCCCGCGTGTGCGCACTGGCGCGAGTACTCTGCCATGGTTGAACATAAGCAAGAGGTGGAGTTGCTTTTACAGGAGCACAAGTCCCTCACACAAGCTTCCACGAAGGCCGCACTGTTGATTCGGTCATGACAGCTGAGGAAAGCAGCCCCTGACACCAAAGTCTCACAGTCGGCTCTCTGCGGGAACAAAGCGCCAAGTTTAACCTGTGTTTGACAAATATTTATTTGAGGCCATCCTTCTATTAGATACCTGACTTATCGAGCAGGTTTGAGGGAAAGGCGGCAAGGTTTCGTCACAGTTGTCAGTTGGACCGTTGGTTTTCCAGGCCTCGTCTAATTCCTCAGGCGGCCCTGGAAAAGAAGGTTTGGTCCATTTCAATTGGGATTGTGGTAAATCTTTTAATATTATTCAAGGTATCCCCCAAAATTTGAAATGATGTCATACTCTATTAACATAGCCAGTTTTTGTTTACAAAAGATCCCAGAGTAAAAGCAAAAAGGTTAATCTTTCGTAAATGTAAAACAAAAAAACAATGTTAAAATGTAAGGTGAATGTTAAATGTTTACGTTTTTCTTTTTTCAGGTCAAAGAATGACATGTGCTAACGTGGCATTTTGTATATTGGATTATCTTTAAACACAGTGGAGGATGTATTTTAAGGAAATGTAAGAAGAATACACCAACTGGAAAGCAGTTCAAAGAAAAAGGCAAATAATAAAATGGAAAAAAAGGAAAAAAAAAGTTAGTCTTTGACACATCAGCAAATAATCATCTGCATCAGAAAAGTCTTGCTTGGTTCACATGTATCTGCCATTGTGTTAATTGAAATTTTATGTATCAAAAGAATTAGTGGTAAAGTTACTTGTCGGCATCGGGGAGGGGTCAAAGGCAATAATACTCGTACTATGAAACAATCTGAAAACAGTGATACCAAACATCCCTCGTGAAATATTTACTCACCATCAGTGTGATCACCATTGAAGTCACCGCACAAACCACAAGTCTGATTCTTGTACTTTGCATCCAACTCAACCTGCAAATCGCACAAAAATTCTCAGAAGAGGCCGCTAATCCATCGCATGTGAAAATTCATTTTACGGTACTGCCTGAGCAGACAGTACTCAATGTCCTGCTCAAGGGCACTTACATAATGTTTTGGGTTTGAACTCGCAACTCTTTAAGTTAGCCATCTCTCTTATATTTTAATTACCGGTAATGGTATTGTCCCAAAAAATACGACATCAAACCTGTAGCATTTCACATTTCACATTTCAGGCCACATTTAAATCTTGCTAGCAGCTTCAAGACAGCATATTCACCCTTTCAATAAATCTGTGATTTGGTTCTCCGAATTTTATTCTGCATATTGCAATCAGCATCGGCCCCAATAAAATCCATATCGGTTGGGGGCTTGATTTTTTTTTTTGGGAGCTGGAGGGGTTGGAACAAATGAATGACATTTCTATTCATTTTAACGCAGAATAATGATCTGGTGGTTGAACCTACCCAAAGCGTGTCTTCTTCATTCCACATGACAACCACGCCACTTGTTGCCTCAAACTTAACGTAGGAGAATGTTTTTACGATGGAGAGGCCTGCCTGACTGAAAGGCAGCGTCACACTAGAGAGAGAAGAGTTATTACAGGTATGGGTTAACCTCCATGTATGAGCGATAATACATTCACCTTGTCAAATGTTCACTCATACTCACATTCTGTCATTGACCATGATGGAGGAGTTTGACAATTCCACTACCGCTCCCTCCAGTCTCATAGTGACACGCTTGAGAGGAGCGGCCAAGCCCGTTTCTTGCCGTTGCAACTGGATGTTAAAGTCTTCATAGCTGCCCTTGCAGTTGGATGCAAGGAGATAGTTGCAATTGGAGCGAAGCTGGAAGAATTCTCCATCAAAAGTCCTGAAATGATAGTTTCCCCATGTGCTGCAGAACTGGTCGTCGTGGGAGGCGCTCACTTCTGTAACAGGGTTGCAAATGAAGTGATTTATGGAAACAGTTGAATCGGTTCATTAAAAGCTTTTTAATCTTGTTGTAATATATATGTATTCTTCATATTTGAGGCATTTAGACAAAAGCATGTCATCGACATATTATCAAAACAGAGACAAATTAAGAAACTAACATTTCTCAATTTGTCTGCTTTAAGGTGGCCTTACCTGTAAATACTGGCTGTGTTGTCACCGTCTGAACTGGGACTTGAAAAGAAAAAAAGATATATGTTGATGTTATGAGTTTACCTCCAGCAGGTGTGAAATGTATTCATTTGTCTGAATAACCGTAGCATACTGCCCCTGGTGGCCACATCGCACACCACTGGAGGCAACGAATAAATCATGATATCGTTTACTAATTCTTTACACGGTATTCCATTGTGATACTACACCAGGTTTTTATAAAGTGCAATTTTTCTTATTCAAAAACACACCCAAAAAATATTTTAGTCTTTTTGGGGGGTGGGCGGGGGTTGACTGGAACGGTTTAATGGCATTTCCATAACATTGATACAGCTCTGGCATTGGATAATAGCATACAGGTGTTCCTAATGAAGTGTCCAGTCTGAGCCTACATACCACTGGATGCAGCACACAGTCCAAAATAGAGGCTGAGCGTCGGGATCACCCATCCAAGCGCCATCCCATCTGCTTCCATTGGCGTCAACTGGGTGAACTGGTCCCAAATGACCCGTGCCATGTAATATAGTTTATTGACTGTTTGCAGTTGAGGTGGGGTAACATGATGACACTGTGGGTGTCAGCACCATATCACACATTCATGAAGAGGTGTCTTACAACAACACATCTTCTCCATCTCCTTCTGACGTACATCGTGCTCCCTCGATATGTTTTCCTGCTAATCTTTCAACATCACCGTACATCCTCTTGCAATTAAAACAAGCATTTGTGATGGCCCTACTGTATTGTCAGTGCAGATGGATTTTGGAAATGTACGCTTTTCTTACGTTCCTCTTTTGTTCATGTACTTCTCTGGTTTCTGTACAAGGAAGATTCCAGTGTACTGTATAGTTACTTCAACAAAGAGTGTATGCTCTTCTCAATCAACTAGAACATTATAAACAGTGGGTTGTGCCTCTTTATCAACTGAGGTGCTCACGTCTTAATAAAGTCTTTCTTCATATCAGCCGAGCGTACGTTGACTAAATATTTGCCATCTATCCATCTGGACCCACAAAAAGTCAAATACAGTATAGCCAAGCATGGTAAACTCAGGCTGAGTTCGCACCTCTCAGATTGTTCACGCACATACACTGAGCAGGTTGGACACTGTCCAAAGACAGAAAAGCAACTTGTAAGGAGGCGAAAAATGATTTACTCCTCAGACGACAAAAAAAAAAACCTAATGCTGAAGTACTTATTTGCCGCTTTTTTCAACTCCTGAGTCATCTTACTCACACATTTCTGTTTGTATAAACCCAACAATGAATGGCAGCTAACTTTTTTGAAATAAAAACATGTGCTGAAGTTAAACATCATTATGTCAATATGCATTCACAACATTGAGAATGGTGCAGCCTCTCATCAAAACTGCCCTGAGTAATTTGGCAAACCTTCTGAAAACAAACAACGCCCACTGCCACGCGAAGACAAGCTCAAGTGGAGCTTCCCCATCTTTTATTGTCCGTGTGGACCACTACAGTCTTTGACAGTCAAGACATAAGGCAATGCCAGAAATGATCGGGTAATTCATCTTAATAAAGAAATGTAGGATTTGTACAAAAGTATGAAAAAACATATTTTTGTGAATCTTTGAGTTGCTGATGAATGTTTTTTGCATTTTTTCAAATACACTGTTGTGCATTTTATTATCATTTTTTTCACTGATGTGTTAACTATGTAGTGCTTAGCAGAAATTATTTTTATTTTATATGAGAACCATTAGCCATGTTCTAAACATTACAATAATTTTATTTTACAATTTGCTCATCCGCTTCAGAAGACATGCAGCTTCATATTTGCACTACATCAGATTGTGTACTGCATTTACTCATATAGTTGCATCTGCCATATTTTAAGGCTGCCATACTTCTGAATTTTAGTTTTGCGGTGGTTATAAAAGTCTGCGTACCCCTGTTGAAATGTCATTTTTTTGGTGCTATAAATGAGATCAAGATAATTTCAAAATTTCCTAACAATGTGACCTATAACCTGTACAACACAATATAATTTTAAAAAAATATTTTCAGAGGGTAACTAAAACTCAACAAGTGTGATATTGTGTTTGTCAAAGTGTGCACACCCTTTTAACAGGGGACATGTTCAGAATTAATCAAGTCATTCATACTCATGTTAAATGGGAGTCAATACACACCTGCCACTATTTAAAATGCTTCTGATTAACTCCAAATGAAGTTTAGATGTTTTAGTATTTTTAGTAGATATCGTGTATTTTGAACTGCTCATAATTCTCTCCACCTTTTCCAAGGTCCCCCCAGTTCCAGGAAGAAGTTGCTGTGTTGCGTTTGCAGCAAAAATACCTTTTTCAATTATGGAAAATAAGTTCAAACTTGTTTTTATCACATCATAAGAGATTTTGTCAGTGTTTGAAAGATTTTGTGATACAGTTGGAAAACAAAGTTGAGCATTTTGGCCATGATTTCTCAAGGTGTGTTTGGCATATAAACACATCAGTTTGAAATTGCGGTCAGTCTCAGCACAATAGCTTCAGGCTTCTGGAAGAAAAAAAAGAAAAAAAAAAAGGAAAAAGCCTAGTAGAACAGCGCAAATGTGTTTGGGTTAATCAGAGGCAATTGAAATGGTTGCGAGTGTATGCAGACTCCTATTTAACCTAAGTTTGAATGTGACTGGTTGATACAATGATGATACTGTAAGCGTGAAACAAAAAAAGACACCAAGAAGAGACACAAGATGCTGTACTTTTATTTGATTTTGAATGTCGATACCTGTACAAGTGTACTAATTTTACTTGTTGAGTGATTGGCACAGTTGACTTGGAAGTTAGAAGTGGGTAAAACTTCTCCTCCTTCTGGCTGGAGCTGCCACAGTTTGGGTGCAGTCGCTGAGGGCGCATCTACACTCGTCCATGTGGATGTAGGTGAAGGGAACAATGTCTCCATTGAGACACAACAAGTCAACCGTGCGATTGCTAGAACGGAACCCCTTACAACAGGAGCAGGTTGGCTGCAGGGTGGATGTCTCCTCTGAGTACCTGAAAGAGCAGATAAAATGTGAGATCAATCATGAAAATGTGCATCTTCTTCATGGACTGGGATGTGTGCGAGAAGAGTTTACCTGGTGTAAGTGTTGCAAGATCCTTCACAATATGGAATATCTACCTCCTCCATGGATTGGCAGTTCTTGTGCGTGATGTGCATTCTATTCTGCACTGGCTTACAAGCCTTCTCCTGCTCCACACCTTTTCAACCGAGAAGAACAATTAACTTGCTTTTACTCACTTCACCGCTAGGGGTAAAAAGTAAGGACATCATGAGTACTCACAAACTTGACAACATCCATTTGCTGCAGTTTGAATGGTGTCCTGCGGGAGGAAATATGAATGCAAGATAAGGCTTTTTAAAAAAAATTTTTAATGTGAATTATTTCCCAATAGATTTTTGAAACTTACAGGTTGGCAGTTGCTTTGCTCGAATGGCGGACACACAATTCGTGTGCCGATGGCTGTTAAAGTCTCAGCGTTCCTCACGCATGTGTAATGCTCACACTTATTGTCCGGTGGGGACCATGTATCACCTTGCTGGAGACATGATCCAGATATTTACTTCTAACTGTGCACCATGTACATGTATTGCTTGCTTGTACTGTAATTGGTTGTAGTTAAGTCCAATGTTTCCCAATCTTGACTGAGCAATGGCAATTATTTTGCATTTGCAAAGAATGTTCCAAAAGGTATATACTGTACATGGAAATAATGATGATCTTGTCTCTATAAAGTCAGAATTTTTCTTGAGGTGAAATCTGGGCCTGTTAAGCTGAACACATTCTGTTGTATGGATGGCAACAGTTGGATATAGACGTTAGTTGTATCTTCTACCATCTAATGGAAGACAATTTTATTGTTCTGCTTGCCACTATACGCTGCTGGCATAGATAGATGAACAAAAATACATTATTTTTAGTCATTAGCAATTTTCCGACAAATGAGAGAAACTGGATAATTTCCTAAGGCATTCCTAACAGAAGGTTTATGTGCCGCAACAACATTCGTTGGGAATCACTGGTTTAAGTCTAGGTAGCTATCCTTTGAAAAAAACAAAACTAAAATAACATTCAAAGTCATCTCACTCACCCTGAGCACCTGCTCACTCCCACTAACGTTGAAGATGCAGTGTGTCTGTACACACCTTCCACAGCATTCATTTGTCTTGGGTTCGGCATATCGATAACCCTGAAAAATGGGACATCAGCGAATATAATGTAAAGCGTGAAACTGCTTTTGCCACACTTTTTGTAACAGGTCAATGGACATTGTGCTTCTCCTTCTGGTGCGTGCGACTAGGCCACCTATGGGCAGTACAATACAGACATACGTATTATGTAATACAGTACATGGAGACAGCCACAACTTCTCAGGACAGAAGTATTATTAGATTTTTTTCACAGAGGATAAAGAATACATAACAGTGAGTATTTCGATACTACCTGTCTTCATCAATTGTTTGACTGTTGGTGTTGAAATATTCGTTGCTTAAAGGGTTATAACACCACAACACTAATGCTATTCATTACCCCACCTGTGGTGTTTTGTTTTGTGTGTTAAAATTAAGATGGCAAATTTTTATACAAGGTATTTGTTTTATGTTTAGTTTGACAGTAAACTTCAAACAGAGCGTGCCTGTTAAGTCCAATTACCCCATGGGGATGAATAAAGTTTTCTGAATCTGAATCTGAATCTGAATCTTCATCTGGCAGTGGCAATAAATAAATAGATTGAAAGCCCCTTTTTGAAGAATTGTTTGTTTGCCCAACTGCTGCTCGTTGATTTGTGTTCACTGGCACTTCATAGCATTCATAGCTCTCAAAAAAAAGTCCAAATGACGGCTCACATCTCCAAAACCTCTTCAGTCGCGCCACTCAGAGCACTCATTGCATTTCTACTATTTTAATTTTGACATACCTGGTCACATAGTCGCTGGCATTGCTGAAGCTCGCAATTTACTTGTAATAAACCAGTTTTTGGGTCCACCAGGTTGGTACAGATACAGTCCTGACATGGAACCACAGGAACTGACTCACCAGGCTAGAAAATAAAAAGAAAGTGTTCATAATGTAGAAATAATCCAGCACCTTTAATTAACTGAATCTATCGAACATATGAAATAATGTACCTGATATTCAGCATTTTTGTGGACACAAACATTTTTCGGCTCTAGAAGGGAAAAACAGACGCACCATATGAATAGGTTAGTCCTATTAGTAGTCATAAATTCAACCAGAAACTGAAGAGCTCACCACATGTGTGTTCTGGACAGCATTTCCCCTCTGGCACACTGACAACTACAGTAAATCCAATTGGACACACCATGTCGATGTGTGGACACGTATTGCTTTGACATCCTGTGTATGTGATGAAATGACAACAACAAATACCTGAGACCACCTGTATCTTCATGATGATAAATAGAGGAAAAGTGACTGCAAATCTTACGGCAAGATAGGACAGAGCAGCACGGGTCCGCTGGGTTGGTTTGGTTGACGAGGACGAAGCCTGGAAGGGTGCAGTTGACAACAGGCGATGGTGGGCAAACCTTTGGTTGGCATGTGATGGTCTTGCTGGTCTCCTCGCAGATGCAGTTTTGGCAGTTGTACTCAAACCTTTCATTAAACTAACAGAATAAACCACACCGGTGACTTACTGAAATTATCCTGTGGAGCATCGATGGGTAAAAAAAATTCTGGATTTGACTCACCTCACGAGGAATACCCTCAGGGTCAATACACCCTGTCGGAATATGAGCAATCCCATTAGACTTGATAAGTGAGTAAAAGAAATCAGCTCATTAATTGGGAGAGGATAAACTCACCGCACTTCTCAACACATATGCCAGACTCTTTGTTGAATAGCATCATTCCATCAGGACAAAAGCAGCCTTCAGTTATGTAGTCCAGCCTCTGTTCATTGGGACTGTGAATCATTGACAAACAACAAATTCATTGGAAACATGTTCAAAGCTCACTTACTTCACTCAAAAAGCAAAAGCACAACAGATCACAGGGCCATTATTGTTTCATTAGATTGAAAGATCTCAGGGCTGACATGGAGTGAGTCACAAGAAGGAGTCATGTCATACTTGATCACTTTCCCAGAGCCGTTTTACAAGATACCTGTACATCCAAATTCCTCAGCAAATTCCCAAATAAGCTTAAATAAAAGACAAAAGTAATTTTTAATTCCAACATACCTGTCTTCACAGGTCGGTTGCTCTACAGGACCACATGGTTTGTAGACTTTGTCGGGAGGGCAATCACTTTCTGTACGTGGAGAAAAGACTTTCCTTATTTGGATGACATTTCGTGAACAATAAACCATACAAAGCTGAACATTATGATCCTGATTTCACAAAAACAAAATGGGCGTTTTACCACAGTGTGTGGTATGATTCCTCCAGTGCAAACAAACTCCAGCCTGAGCACAGGCGTCGGCATACATGTCCAAACTTGTGCATTCTACTGCTGGGTTGGAGACGTGGCAGTTGTCAAAAACACATCCCTGATAGTAATCATTGGGATTTACAAAGGGGTGGCACTTTTCAAAGACACTGCAGAAGAAAAACACAAGATAAACCTGAATGGCCAGCAGTAACGGAGGCAAATTACAGTTACAAAAAAAAAAAATCTACCTGCTCAAGAGCAGATCACATTCAGAGTCTGGCTTGCATGGAGTTAGTGTAGGTGGGGGTAGAGGTTGGTCGGTCGGGATCACAGATGGAATCTGGCAGTTTGGTTGGTAAATGTCTAGGGCAGGCCAAAACTCTGCCATCACACTGCAGCTCTGCACAATCTGGCCTCCGGGCACCATGCAGTCATCTGCCTGGTTGTTGTTGCATTTGCCTGGAACCGTTCGCCACAAAAATCGAATTGATTCACCTCTTAGTAATGATGTACAAATGCAGCAAAACGGCGCGGACGGCTTACCACACTGGCCCTGTGTGTTGCTGTCAAAGTACTTAGAGGGCAGGTTGACAGTGAAGTCACTTAATCCAAAGGTAATAATCACTTCTATGGGCACAATCTCGACAACCAAGTCAATGCCAGAATTGAAGATCTTAATGCCTTGTTGTAAATAGGGAAGTCTCAAACGCTTTTCATCTTTGAAGGCCTAAAAACAAAAAAATGTTATGATTCTTAAAGGATCAGTGGAAAGCATGTTTGTAAAAATGGATGTAGCAGATATAAGGGAGTTTGGGGTCAAATCATTAACTAAGAAGACACTATCAGCATTTCTTTTGGATACAAAATCAACATGGAGGTATTAATTGGACGAATATAATATATCTAGGACAGACCACCAAATGTCACTCTTCCAAATTACAAATATAATGAAGTCTTCATTTACAAAATAGTACGGTGCATTGTTTTCACATATTAAAAAAAACTTGACATGCAACAACATGCATGTTACCTCCAGTTCTGAGGCTCCAATGAGATTTTGGCTCTTGAGTACAATTACGTCCGATTTGTACGATATAATTAATGACCTCGGGCAGGAAACATGTTGAGTGGCATCACAGTAGACGTTGTCAACATAAATTTTTAAGTTGTACTTTGGTGTAATCTCCTCCATGAGAACGTAGGTACAGTTTCCTTGATAGCTGTAGTAAAGGCCATCAAATGTGACGTAATGGGGATCTCCCCAGCCTTTACATTCACCTTAAAAACAACCAAGATAGAAAAAAACTCAAGTCAACAAACACAATAATTCAATTTAGGGAGATCAAATCAGGTTAAAACACAGACTTGCTTACAGTCACAAACATAGTGTTGGCAGCAGTAGTTCTCATCATAAACAAGAACAGGATTCTTTCCATTGGCGCAGGTGATGTTCTTTAAGGGTGGACACTGGTATGGAATAATTTCAATCGTGTTGTTCTCGATGCATCTCGCCATAGTGCAGTTACACAACAAGAAGGTCTCATTTTGCTGAGAAAAAAAATAAAGAACGGTTTAATAAATGTATTGAGTAGTGCTCAACATTGTATCATTTATAAAGATGAAAAACAAGACAATATGTACTGTAAATATGTACAGTGATTCCCACAGATATGAGTTTAATTAGTTGAGTGACAACACTTGCTTTGAAACTGTTCTGGTCTACTCCCAAAGAACAACAACACTTTTTGTAATGCGTTTTTCAAAACGGAAATTAGCATTATATAATATTAGATTATTCAAAGATATAGAGTAATACCATATCAGAACGTAAATTAAACTGTGCATCAAGATTTAATGCTTCACTTTCATTTATTTTGCTGCTCCGTCTGGTGTGCCCATCTTGGCCACCGAGGGGCAGTAGAGGCACAATACTTTCACCCATCCACCCATTTTCTAATCTTCTATCCTCACAAGGGTCGCGGAAGTGCTGGAGCCTATCCCAGCTGCATTCAGGCAATAGGCGCGGCACACCCTGAACTGATTGCCAGCCAATCGCACAGGCACACATAGACAAGCCATTCGCGCTCACACTCACACCAAAGGACAATATAGAGTGTTCCATTAGCCTGCCATGCATGTTTTTTGGAATGTGGAAGGAAACCGGAAACCAGAGAAAACCCACGCAGGTACAGGAAGAACATGCAAATTCCACACAGGAAGGCCGGAGTTGGAATCGAACCCTGCACCTCTGCACTGTGAGGCGGACGTGTGAACCAGTCAATCACCTTGACGCCACAATACTTTCGATGGCTGAAAAATCTGTAATAACAGCAGTCATGAATTTGGTCCCATATATGTCAAGGCATCACTGTACATCAGATAAACGCTGAATAGATTCTAGATCAGTGATTCCCAACCTTTATTGAACCAAGGCACATTTTTATAAGTTTGAAAAATCGCACGGCACACCAACAAACAAAATTGTCACAAAAAGAGGATATCTTTGTCAGTTTCTTACTTTTTACCATCTAACAGAAGGTCATTTATTTGTTCTTGCTGTCACTGTAAGTTGCTGACATAGATAACCTGACAAAGATACATTATTTGTTGTGAATAAATCGTTTTCAAACCAATTATGTGAATTTTGATTCGTTCCCGCGGCACACCGTTAGAGCTCTCGCGGCACACTAATGTGCCACGGCACACTGGTTGGGAAACACTCTTCTTGATGAATGAAAGTTCTTACCACCACATCCCATTCAGGGCACCAAGGAACAGTGGGGGTAGGTTTTGGCCCGGGTGTGGTCGAGCAAGGTTCAGTCTTGTTGTGAATCTCACAAATATCAGAACAAATCATTGTGAGACAAACTCCTGATCCAATGTGTTTCATGTCATAAATGATTTCACCTGTACAGAAGGGAAATAATTGAACAAAAAAATAACGAAATGATACCCAATGTAGAATGTTTGGCTCGAAAGAATTTCTTTACCTGGATTGTAGTGTGTGCCATTTACAACACAGAAGCACTGTGTCGTGTGGCCTGGAGTTGTCGTGATGGTGCTTGGTCCTTCTGTTGTGGTAGTGGGTCTTGCGGATGTGGATGTAGAACTCATTGTAGTTGTTGGACCTTCAGTTGTGGTGCTTGGTCCTGCGGATGTGGTTGTAGATTTAGTTGTGGTAGTTGGACCTTCTGTTGTGGTACTGGGTCCCGAGGGTGTGGTTGTCGTTGGACCTTCAGTTGTGGTGCTTGGTCC